ACCCCCCCCGCCCCCGCGCCCCCCCCTCCCGCCGCCCCGCCCGCCCCCCCCCCCGCGCCCCCCCCCGCCGCCCCCCGGTGTACGAGAAAAGGCAAATTCGCCTAACCCAGTGGCGGCGCTGAAGCTCGACCTGCCTATTTAGAGACAAACTGGAAGATCGTTTGGAAAAACAGTATAGCGAGCACAACAAACCCCGAGGGGCCATGCGAAACATATGACAGCATAGAATGTGGTGATATTACTGTCCCCAAACGCCGACTGTACCTAAGCAAAGAGGCACGTCGCCATCAACATAAACAGGTTGTAGTATACTATGTGATACCAGGGCTAGGCACACGTTAAGTTAAGTATAACGGAAACATGAAGTCTCAGAATCAGGCGACAGACTATGTATGTAGCTTCGAGCGGGATATGATAGAGCTATCCAATGAAAGCTCCATATAGTATACTGTGTAGTTGTTCGCTTTTGGCACATATTGAACAAACACGCGCATAAAAACAATAGCTAAGAGGTAGGTATCCGCACGCCACAACAGTTCTCGACGCTCATCAGACTGCGCCTTGAATATCAGCCTGTCTGAGTTAACGGCACTTGGATATCAAGTACAGAACTATGGGGAGGGGGGTTCACAACTTCTAGTTAACCTCAGATCGATCTACGAGTGACTCCGATTCCGGATCGTACTACCTATCCCGCCTTGCGATGATGTTTTTAATCGACGACAGGTAACCTTAGGTAGGTAGGTAGGTAGGTGGTGGTGGTGGTTGTGTGGAGGTGCTTCACCAGAAACGTTTACGTAGATCGGAGTGGCTTGACTTCCTCCTATACTCAACACAGTACATCATGCAATGTATCTAATATAAGTTCGGCATATGGATATATGTAAGTCAAGCCCCGTACAAGAAACCCCTGCCACCTCCACTCCCCCCCGGTATATGTAGGTAGGCATGTATGTACGTGTGGTCGTGCGTGTGTGCCCGGGGTACATACATTGAATAATACACTACATACCTACATACCACCTTAGATAGGTAGGTACCTAGTACCCTACACGACCCATTCACACTTACGACCCCCATGGCTCTTGCGCCCCGTCCTCGCGTCCACGGGGGACCATGTGATCGAATTCGGGATGTGGGAGAGAGTATTAGTCACTTTGGGCTGCCGCGTGATGGCTGCCTGCCTGCCTGGCTATCGGTTTCGTCTGTATGTATGTATGTACGCAGACATGTATGTACCTATGCAGACGTTAGGTTAGGTATGTATGAGTGGGTTATGCAGTCGACATATTCCGGTCCGCTCCCTTCACTTCTATTCCCTTTTTGAGGAGAGGAGAGGAGAGGGGGGGAATTCCTTCATATTTTGTCTACGCGCGTCGGTGTTTGAGGACTCAATTTTTTTAGGAGGGTGTGTGAAAGGAGGGATGGGATGGGATGGGATGGGGAGGGGCTGGTACTGTATCACACTTCCAAGAAGTGCGCAGTCTAATGCCTTAGGTATTTTATTCTCTTCTAGGGGATGTGGCGTCGAAATTTGCCACCGTGGGCAGACGGATTGCGTATTTTCATCTTCATATAGCCCCGTTTGCTTGGGGCAACTTCCATTCGCGGAGTTGGGGGGAGGTAGGCTGACACGATAAAGGGGGCAACGATCATCTGCTTGCACACGGCAGTATGCCATCATGATAGGAGTTTAGGTCTAGTTGAAAGAAGGGGAGGGCGAGGGCGAGGGCGAGGGCGAGGGGCTGATGGCTCAGTTCAACGTTCAGTTTCTCAGACTCGTTGCAATGAACCTCTCTGACAGCGGCGTGACCAAGTCAATCAGAGTATTCGTTCATGCCCCTTATGTTACTATTCAACTACATGGTGCATCAAATCCTTAAGGAGCTTCTCCGTGCACTTTGGCAATCTATAGTCTATCTCTGCTTTACAGTGAACTGAAGAATATGGCGTCGTCAATGGATTTACTGTCAGAATCATATAAATGATTTGATAATTCCCATAGTTTGTCTTCGTATGTATAAGATTATTCTCTAGCTTTACCAGGTCTGCGTTCATTTTAGTATTATTACAGTTTTGAAATGTATCTAGTATGGTGTTCCTGGGAGAGGCTATCAAGGGCAAATGCTTTGAGAAACTCTTGTTTGTTTCCTGTTCGTAAGGAAATACCAGGCATAACCAGATCATATTCAGCCGGATGAGCTATTATACTTTGGACTGCTAGTTACCTGTTATAGAGAACTATTCGTAAAAACAGGCGTGCCTCTCAACACAACTAGAGAGAAACTGTGAGTGGTATCACTCACAGAAACGTTTATTAGTCAACACGCTGTATAGGGCCAACTAGTTGTTAATAACATAGGACTCTATTTGAAAAGGATCGGTATTCTCTCAGAATAAGATTATAAAAGCATCCCTTTGTGCTTAAGGTATTATATTTATACCAATACATTACATTAAATTATCCCCGCCCCCTTTTTTCTGCCTCCCTATTCCTCTTTATCGTCACTACTCTCTACAGTGTAACTTTACTGAGAAAATTTTTCCAAGCACAATGCCTAATACTAGAGTGTTAGTGATATGGATATAACTACCTAGAGTAGAGGTTCATTGGCTACTAAAAAGGGTAGTTGTGTAGCTCGCTCGTAAGAGGATAGAAGACCAAGTGTTAAGTACTAGATCAACCCAATAGACTCTATTCACGACCTTGATACTCATTCCAACCCTGGCAGATGTAGTTGACAATTGTTATAGTATCTATCTAATGCTAAATTGAGGCATCGTGTCGCGAAATGAAGCCTTAGGCCATAGCTTATCGAACAAAATAGAACGATAGATGTACTCTAATAACGAATACCAAGTCTAGTCCACATCTACCGTTTACCCTGGAACCAATGAATAAAGCCGCTGAAAGTCCGGAGAGAACTTAGCAGGTCAACTAGAAACAGATACGAAATTAGTATACAGCATACACGTGCAGGTGTACCGAACAACTTACAGGCGCAGGGCCAGGGACAGTGTATGAGTGGAAGTTGGAGTAGATCTAATTAGCTATTAGCATGCCTATCACTAGGTAGTTATTGCAAATGATTCCAAGTCAGGAGACTCACGTTGGCAGTGTATCCAGGGTCGGTCTCCTTGAATGCGCCGGGGATCTTCACCGTCGTGGGGTTGTAGCTGCCGCTGCCGCCGGACACCTTAACCTGGGCGCAGGAGATGTAGAACTGAGGAATACCTGCCGGCCACGGGTTGTGGATGGCCAGGCTCTGGATTCGCAAGAGATACTCGCCGTCCTCGATGCAGGTTGGGATGGTGTAGGAGTACGAGCCTAAGCGACCTTGTGAGCTTTCGTTGCTATTACGAATTTTGCTATGTTGCAATAAGGAAGTATATAGGTATGCTTACCTGACATGTCCCATTTGGCTTCACCAGTCGAGAAGTCAGGAGCTGTAAACAGAAGTTAGTGGTCGAAACACCGAGGATTTAAGTTAGGTATTTGAGGGTCGCTCACCGAAGTCCTTGATCTTGAACCATTCGCCACTGCCGTCGTAGTCCGAGGCAGCACTAGGGGCCTTTGACATGTAGCTGGCGATTCGTTAGTATCGCTGGGTACTAGGTAGAGTACGGAATTCATCGATTGTTCCATACATGGAGATGGGCCCTTGGTGGTACACGGGCTAGTGAAGGAGTCAGTCATGATGCTATACAGACGGATCATGCCCAAAATGAACCACATACGGTATCAAGCGTGAAGGTGAAAGATTGACCGGCTTTCACTGGTACCGTCTCGGTGCCAGCACCCTGAGCACCGACATTGCACCTCAGGTCATTCGAAGCCAAATCTATAATAGGTACTTAGTATAGGCCGAGAAGAAAATTGAGGAAGAAAGGTTCAATCTTACCCGTAACGGGAGAGTTGTAGTTGCTGTTCTGTCGGACTATTCACATCGCATTTGCATTAGTCTTCGCTCCTATTATGACACATATAGCAAGGTTAAGAGTCCTATCCGTGAGACGTACTATACTCGAAAGGCGCATATTTAGCATCACCAAGAGAGAGCTGTTGGAAGATGTAGTGGGCGGAAGCACCATTGGCTGCGAGCGCAGCAGCGGCGGCAATGCTGGCGAAGTTCTTCATGGTGGATTAGGGGAAGCTATGAAGTCTAAGTATGACCGTGACGATGATGGCGCTGTGCTTGGTGTTTCACAGCATTTCTAAGACGGCAGAGAAGCACTTTATATAAATTATCCAATACCGGCGTATCCAGGATAGCGGCATCGGTGATGTCACTACCAAACGTTCGATAGCATTATTCGTAAGCGACTGAATTGGTATTCTATCCTGTTCTCTGCCTAGGTAGCTAGGTAGGTAACTATAGGAATCGTATTCCTCCCACCCGGCGTTTCAGACGCAGCTTGAGCGGACCGTCGTTCCATCGTCGGCGCCCATTATTGCGACAAAGCGGAGTCCGCTACACGGTAAACACATAAGTTTTCCGGAACGCGGACGCGCGCGGCGTGTCTTCGTGGGCTGTCGTGGGGTAGCTGTGGAGAAAAGGAGGCCGTGAGATGTCCGAAAGGGGCAATGCCGGAAGGACGTTGGGAATTTTACCCATTTGGCAGGTCGGTATAGCGTATTTCCATCTATTATATATACCAATAAGTGCGAACTACCGCAACCCACCTTGTCGGGTATAACTTATATTACACGCCGCATTGGAAATTAGAGAGCATCCTGCAGGCGACCAAGAATAGGAGAACCTTGTAGACGACGGGTAGGCTCATCACAGCCAGAAACGGCCGATTTATACCTTGTTCCCCATGCGAGTTTTCCGATTTAGACCTGCGATTTCAAAATACTACCTGGAAAAATAAAGAAGATGCATTTCGCGTGGTAGAGTAGGCCAATGCTTTGTTACCATTAGCTATTAAGAGGTGATTCTATTTTAGTCCTTCGGGCCGAAATATCATCGACTCTCATAACATTATGCGTACGTCTAAGACGATTTCATACCCAAAATATCGAGGAAAAGTTCTCAGACGCATCTTCCACCATCCACCTCGATGTTGACCCCAGTGATAAAGGCAGCTTCGTCGCTAGCCAGATAACAACAAGCGTTAGCGACGTCCTCCGGCGTCGAGCCTCTGCCCAGCGGAATTAGAGACTCGAAGGCTTTTCGGTTCTCTGCGGTGTTGGGCTTGCCGATAAACAGGTGCGTCATCCCTGTGCTTCCCACCACCGGAGAGACCGCGTTGAACCGGATTTGTTGAGGTCCATACTCGACTGCCATCGTCTATGATATGATATGGTTAGTATTTACGTATAATCTTGGTAAAGTCGTTCCGGGTTAGAGGAAGAAGATGGTTGTGGACGATGTATGTATCGTACCTTGGTAGCATTAATGACAGCTGCTTTCGAGGCGTTATACCAGGTAAGCCTCGGGCGTGGCCGGACACCGGCAGTGGAAGCGACCTGAATAAAGTTCCCAGGCTTCTTCTTCTCGAGAAAGTAGGGTAAGATGACGTTGGTAGAGATATATACGGACTTGACATTAACGTTCATGACGAGGTCGAAATCTTTGTCCGTCACCTCCTCGGTTGGTTTGTTGGCATACGTCGCTCCAGCATTGTTCACCACAATATCAAGCTGGCTGAACGTATCCAGAGCCATCTGGAGAAGGCGTTCCCAATCCTCACGCTTCGTTACGTCGGTCACTGCGAAGGTACATCCCAACTCCTGAGCCACAGTTCGACCAGCTTCCTCTGAGAGGTCGGCGATGATGACGCGAGCCCCTTCTTCCACGAATTTAGCAACAATTCCCTTGCCGAATCCCGATGCGCCTCCTGTTACGATGGCGACTTTGCCTTCTAGACGGGGTCGAGGAGCCATGGTTTCGATTGATGTCGAATCTCGTTTGCTTCTGGAAGATCGTCCGCGACTTGTTTTCTAACTATGCGGGAGTCTCGTCGAAAGTCGCGGACGAATATCGAAATATCAAATCGAGGTATCAAGTCAAGCTATCAAGCTGACGTATAGTATAGCAAGAGCTGCCTGGATTCATTATAACAACTGCGCCCGTAAGAAAGATGGCGGCGAATAGCGTGCGGGGAATGTTGGGGAATTCCAGGAACTATCGTGAAACCTTGGGACTTCGATGACGAAGATCCCCTCAGATCCTGCCGTTGCGCATGTAGTCATTTTTTGCCTATTGTGTTTGTGTCGTAGGTTGTAGGACAAGATGTTGTATATATCTCTGTCCCTTGTGCATTGATATAGGTATAATTATGAGATGTTGTAATGAAAATAGTTTATGTTGCAATAACACCGATAACTACTTATTACAGGAGGTATCCAACAGGTAGTTACTATGTAGATAGTTACAGTATATATTCGTAATTATACTATGTAAAATATACGTTAGGTATCGTTGTACAAGATAAAGAAAGGTAGAGTTGACTTTTGCTAACTAGCTAAGATGAGAAGTGAGGCCGTACGCGATACCACATCAAGTTTAGCGAGGATTAGTTCAAGCATCCAGCTCTGGGGAATTTGATCGCGCTGACAGGCTGATAACTAAACTAGGATGTTTCGAGTTCCCATATCCTTGTTGATTTACCTGATCTCCTTACCTAGTATGTATGCACTTTGGTGGAAGGATCCGGTTTGGAGATAAGAGAGCTTCATGTTATCAGCATCTTCGACAGGGGGTCTCTCGTATACCTGGTATACGTATAACTAACAAAAAACAACTCTCATAAGCTTCGCGATGCTCACCCACTCATCATTCTTTTCTTATTCGCATCACCAGTTTTTATTTTTATTTTTATTTTTTCACATATGCCCTCGTCGTTTATAGAAAACATCGCTAAAGATGGGCGGACATTCTATTACCAGCGCTGGACCCCGAAGGTCTCTCGAGGTGACGGCAGCCGATGACGCACTCGCTAAGATGGGATATAAGGCCGAACTGCCTCGAAGTTTGAGTATGCTTTCGGTGCTTGGCTTATCCTTTGCTATTGGTATGTACGGAAGAACGAGAAAAAGATAAAAAAGATAAAAAAAATAGCTTTATTCTAGCATAATAGGTAGACAAATACTAACTGCTTGTCGATAGTACGTGATATTATAATTATTCCTTTCTTTCTAGTAGAGCTTTTGTCTATATCGGATTTCCATTCCAATAACATCCCCTTATTCCACATACATAGTATATCAACAGCCATGTTTACCTAGCTGCATTAGGTAACTTCTATATAGCTTCATGCAAGTTACTAACATCAGGTATTATAACTACCTTATAGATGGCTGTTCCGTACGGCCTCAGCACTACATTTTACATATCCCTAGCGAACGGACAATCCGTTACCATAATCTGGGGTTGGGTACTGCTCTCCCTTCTTTCGACTGCTATCGCCGCTTCGCTAGCCGAAATATGTTCGGTCTACCCTACCGCAGGTGGTGTTTACTACTGGGCCGCACTGTTATCAACGCCTCGCTGGGCTCCCATCTCCAGTTGGATCACCGGTTGGCTGACGTTGGTTGGCAACTGGACCGTTACCCTCTCGATCAACTTCGGAGGTGCGCAATTGATCCTCAGCGCTATTTCCTTGTGGGACGAGGACTTCGTCGCCAACGAGTGGCAGACCATCCTGATGTTCTGGGCCGTCATGCTCCTGTGCTACCTGATCAACATATTCGGTTCCAAGTATCTGGATCTTATCAACACCGTCTGCATATATTGGACCGCTGCCTCCATCGTCATTATCTTGGTCGTTCTCCTAGTCATGTCGCCGAGCAAGAGGAGCGGCGAGTTCGTGTTTGCCCACTATGATGCCTCGGCATCAGGCTGGCCGGTCGGTTGGTCATTTTTCGTGGGTCTATTGCAGCCTGCCTATGTGCTCACGGGCTACGGCATGGTCGCAGCCATGTGCGAAGAGGTGCAGACACCTGAGCGCGAAGTCCCCAAGGCTATTGTCTGTAAGTGATCTATCATCCCCTATTTTCCCTCTTCTGTTTTTCATATAGGTCCTCTTATAGACGAATGCGGGATCACCCCTCTTTACGGGCTTCTTGGCTCGTAGATTCAACACACGTTGACAGCTTTTCTTTAATAAGTACCTATATTTGCTAACTCTGATCATAGTGTCGGTCGTAGCGGCTGGTATTACTGGCCTCGTCTACTTAATTCCAGTCCTCTTCGTGCTACCGGAAGTCCAAGCGCTTCTCGAGGTTGCAAACGGCCAGCCAATCGGCCTCATTTTCAAGACGGCAACTGGAAGTGCTGGGGGCGGCTTTGGCCTGCTGTTCCTCATCTTGGGAATTTGGCTGTTCGCTGGCGTCGGCGCGTTGACAGCTTCGAGCCGCTGCACTTACGCCTTCGCACGCGACGGCGCAATCCCCGGCTCTGGGCTCTGGAGTAAAGTCGACAAGCGATTCGACATCCCATTGTTGGCTCTCACTTTATCCGCGATCGTTGATTGTCTGCTAGGCCTTATCTACTTTGGCTCATCTGCGGCGTTCAGCAGCTTCACGGGAGTTGCCACGATATGTCTCTCTACGTCGTATGGGCTGCCAATCCTAATCTCCGTCGTACGTGGTCGAAAGCAGCTGGAACATGCATCATATTCGCTTGGTCGCTTCGGGTTTGCTATTAACGTGACAACGCTTCTATGGATCATTCTTGCTATCTTCCTATTCTGCATGCCCACCAATCTTGCTGGGCTGGACGCCTCCACGATGAACTACGCCAGCGTAGTATTTGCGGGCTTCGCTGCCATCAGTATCATATGGTATTTCGCATGGGGCCGCAAGCATTTCTCTGGACCTCCAGTATTGAAGTCCGAAATGGCAGAACATGGCGTGGGAGTGGTGAGAGGACAATCCCTGGACGAAGAGGTGGGGGGAAAGGAAGCAAGCACCAAGGAAGGGTTTGATTCGAAAGATGTATAATAATATCTAATGGGCATAGCCACCTGACCTAACCTGTCCTAGCCTGACTTAATATTGATGATTCGAAAGACTCACTACCATCTCCTTGCCAACATTATAAATACAGTATTCTGATGTATTAACGCAAAACCCTCAAGCCTTCTACATTTTAACTAAGCAATCTGCATCATAGATCTTTGGTAGTAACATGGAAGGCCTCATACCCCTTGAACCCCTCCACGGCGCCCCGGAACTCGCCAACCGCATCTTTCCAGGCATCGGTTTCGCGCACCTCTAAGTGGGCTTGAACGCTCTCCCATCCCAGGATAACGACCAGCACGCGGGCCTTCTCGCCCTTGTAGTCAACGTCCCTCTCGACCGACCAGCCGAGCGAAGACTCGCCCGTCAAGCCCGCGAATTCCCCTCCAACCAGCTTCGCCACGAAGTTCTGCGCACGGGCAAGCGTCTCGGCCCCGTCGGCGTCGGCGTCGGGCGCGAAGTACATGAAGAGCACCTGGGCAACGGGCGTCCTGCCCTTCCCGCCGGCGTTATCCAGCACGGCAGGCGGAAACGGCGCCAGCTGGGCGTGGAACAGGAGAGGGGGGAGCTTGGCGCAGTGCGGCCTGGCGGCGTCGAGGAAGGCGTTGTAGGATGCCGCTTCGCGGGTCCGGAAGGCGTGGTGCGCCTCGGCGCTGTCCCAGTCCATGAAGATGCCGACCTGCTCGGGGTGCTCGTGGACGGTGGAAGCGCGTATGGCCCGAGCGGAGGATTTCTCTTTTATGATGGAGAAGGCGCTGTAGAAGGACTCCACGTCTGCGTCTGGCTTGAGGGTGTGGAGGACGATTTCGGTTACGGGAGCCATGGTTTGTGATTTTTTTTTTAGTTGCTAATGTTTATCGAACGCTAGGATAGCTGGCTACAATACAGCTTTTAACGGGGGGATTGCGACTATATTTATACAGCTACCTCTTTCAGGACTATTTGGGCACGGCAGTACTAGTCTTTATAGCTATATTTTGTGCATTGTCGACGTGCCAGTAGTTTTCGAAGCGGCACTGAAGAGTCACCCTTAAGCATGCATTACACCCGTACAGTTGCATCGGCTAAGCGTTTATTCCACGGATTCGACGGCAATCAGGATAAGGGAATAGGTATGGCTTTAAGGAGCTCTCTACGCTCTTACTGCCTGGGGCGTCGTCATCATTTCACCGGAAATTCCAACGTATTGCTCACCACGAGTACCTTGGAAATAATTCGATGCGGAATACAGGGTTTACTCACTTTATGGTACTTGACCCTCGAGCTAGAAGTCTGACGGGTTAGCCGGGTTGACTGCAGCAATAGTAAGACCAGTGATCATGTTCCTTCAAAAAGAACCACGGGATTACGGAGTTAATGCGTGAACTGCCATCATATGATAACCTCTGATAATATATTACCTCGTAGGACTACAAACATCTGGTATTGGGTGGGGTAAAGCCGTCTATCTCCTTATCCCCGTTGGTTATTGGACGGACAGATACGTACAGTACCTGACTCATAGGAAAGTTCTGTCTCTTCCCAAGGCCTTAGTATAGTCCACTTAGACAACAGGCACATTATACTGTATTGCCTACGTCTACGATACTCTCTTTGCTAATACCACATTATCACCTCATTCTTCATCCAACTCGTCCAGTATCATATCTCTAAGGATGCTCGGAGATATCACATCGAAATATTCTAATTTGGGCGCCATCTTCTTTAGAAGCTGAGCAATAGCGACGGCCTCCGCAGCTTTAGCGTCGTCTGTGACAGAAGAGGACGCTAGCTGCCTAAGCTCGAGAGACAATAATTGAGGGAGGGATACATCTCTTCCCGCTAGGTTCAATAGGTTATAGGTCCCATACAAGTCAAGTTCTTCTAGTTTCGCGCCGCCGTGCTTCGCAGCCTCCGCCAGCGCAGATTCCGTGAGCTGACACGAAAACATTAGGCGCAGGGCCTTGAGCTGCTGTTGGACTTCCATCATGCTAGCGATGTGAGTATCTCTGAGCATCGGGGCCTCGACTCTATTGCCTAAAATGCCGAGCTCCTCTAACTTGTTAAGTTTCGCCAACCTGATAAGAGCTTCTGGGGTGAGATGGATATGTTGACCTTCTTTAGTTCCATATTCCAACTTTAAAGTCTGTAAGTTGATGCAATGCGAGCCGATGTTGTGGATTACGCAGTCCTGGATTGGAGTCGAAGGAATGGGTTTATATACAACATTGACATCTAGGCGAGAAAGGCCAGATAGATGCAGCAGGAGGTTCGTGAGCCCACCGGATTCCGCGACACATACAAGCTCACGAAGCTGTGGAAAGAGTTTCTCCACGGTGCCCTGCCGGGCTTGTTCCGTGACGATTTTCGAGGCGAGATCTTCGGTGATGAGTTCTTGGAACTCTAGAATCTCAAGCCCGGGCTTCGTAGCGAGAGCAACAACGACGGAGTCAGTTATAGCTCGGCTCATGCCGTACATAACCGAAACTCTCTTTAGAGCTCTGGCGCCGTCGAGGAACCGAAGGAAGCCTTCGGGGGAAATCAAGTCCCGCGGATTATCGATGAGCAATTCTTCTAGCAGAGGGCAAGAAGCTTGCATCTTATCCAGAAAGACATCTGAGATAGGTCCTCCATAGAAGATAAAGCGCTTCAACTTAGGCTGAAGATACGGACCGAGAGAGGCATCGTCATTGTGATCCGAGGCATCCAGCCAAAGCGTCTCAAGATTAGGAAAGCTTAGATTTTTGAATAATTTGTGATGAGCAGATTCATTAGCAATGAACTCAAGATTTACAACTCTATCAGCATAGGTTTGTAAAATTTGGGGCTCATTTTCTGCGATGCTGGCGAGAGCGGAGACGGAGAGTTTTTCGTCTGACATTATTATGCGTTTTGTGTTGTACTGTTATAAGCCATTCGTTAAGAATGGCGTCCTTACTGGAGGATAGAAACTTGTTCAAAACTGCTCAGGCTAGGTAGGTACCTAATATAATTGGCGTGTGGCAATCGATAGGTAATTCTTTAATTAATTTTAAGACAGTTAGAAAAAAAAAAAGAGAGGTGGATTAGATAGACCCAGGAGTTGTACTTAGAGTTGTTGATAAGTCGATTTTGTTATGAATAAAATTTTAAAAAGGCAAGGTCGTCTAGGTTAGCTTAGGAGGTCGGTAGGTGTATGTAAGTGTTGGTTGGGTATGAGGAAATCGCGATGATAAACAACTTATCAGTTCATGGGATATAACCCGGTAGACTCGGCCCCGGTCCCTTCTTCTTTCTACTAATTCTATAATGAAGATATAGTAATATATTCAGCTCTTCTAGCTTTTCCGGCGTCGCATCTTCTGGCGTTGCGCTTTGCCTCTATCAGATTTTATTCCTCATCTATCATTCCCACATAATATATTCATTATCGTATTAGATCTTGTCTTGAGCTGCGTGCCTGTTCTCTGGGGACCCGATACTCAAGATACGTCTAGTTAACGCCTAAGTAATTCTATATATATCCCAAGTTAGACAGACATCTTCATAGGGATCGTCTTGTGAGGATCGTAATTCAGGACCACAATGTCCTCCACCTTCCACCCGTCGATCGAGCCGCCAGTATCGCGCTTTAACTGGAGTTCCGGGAACGGCCGCGGCTCGCGCTCCAACTGTACCTTCAAGGCGTCAACGTGGTCGATGTAAACATGTGCGTCGCCCATGACGTGCGTGAGACTACCGGGGACGAGGTCGCACACGTGTGCTATCATATGCGTGAGCAGCGCGTAGCTCGCGATATTGAAAGGGACGCCGAGTCCCATGTCGCAAGACCGCTGGTATAGCTGACAGTGAAGGTGGCCTTTCGGCTTCTCCTCTCCGTCACTCTCCCCTTCCCTATTCTGTCTCGGGTATGAAACATAAAACTGCGCGAACATGTGACATGGCGGCAGGACCATCTTCTTCAGGTCGGCGGGGTTCCAAGCGGAGAGAATTAGGCGGCGATCGTAGGGATTAGTGCGCAACTTGTGGATGAGTTCGGCTAGTTGATCAACGCCTTGGCCGGTGTAGTCTGTGCGCGCATCTACGTATTCAGCGCCGAAGTGGCGCCATTGAAAGCCATAGACAGGACCTAGATCACCAACTTCGCGCTCCTTGAATCCCAAGTTGTCGAGGAATTCTCGCGACCCATTACCATCCCAGATCTTAACGTCCTGCGCGCTGAGTGAGGTCGACGACGTATTCCCTTCAATAAACCATAGCAGCTCGGCAACGACGGCGCGCAGGAACACACGCTTCGTAGTTAATAGCGGTAGGATCGGCTTGCCATTGTCGTTGAGGCTGAACTTGAGTGGTCGTGGGGCGAAGATGGAATATGTCCCGGTACCAGTTCTGTAAAGGAACCATATGTTAGAAGCTCGTTCTCGAGTTGGGTACCTAATGTATTTGGATATACTAGGCTAAAATATAGTTAATTGGGTATATAACGATGTAGCTTACCGGTCTGGTCGTCGCTCGCCATGATCTAATATCTCCTGAACGAGATCGAGGTATTGGTACTCCTCGTGTCGTGATGTGGATGCCATTCTAACCAGAAATATTATATTTTTGGCTTTGCTAATATTAGATGGAGCTGACAGGTAGCAAGTAAATCAGCAGAACAAAGGCGGGAGGAGAGCTTGGCAACTGGTGATGAGAAGCGTAAAATATAGAGAATATTTGTTAGCAACGCGACGAGGAACGCGTCTTGCTTAATAGGGTACTTAGGTACTCATTACAGGGTCTTTTAGTGCGGGGTCCTAGTGGGGTAGGGCACTGCTCTGCCTCTGCCCCCAATTTATGTAAATGCAGTTCAGGGGTTCATTATTCAAAGTTGTAATTTACCTCTTCTCAACCGCTATGATTTGGATTTTAGCTACATCCTACAGGCACCTAGGTACGTAACATGAGGTAAATATCATGATAGGAGGTTAGAATAGCCAGTTGTTTACCTACTTAGGTAATTCACTAGTAATTATTTTCTAAGGGTTCGTCAGTGTTTTCTTACCCCTGAAGAAGCCGCTCAGTTTTCCCATCATTTGTCCCAACCCCCCGTTCTCACTCCCCTCAACCAAGCCGCCACGGATCCAACCAGGTAGCTTGGTCTTAATACGATCGGCTGCAAACCGTCGGTCAACTAGCACGATAGCTGCGTAGTCGTTTCGGTGACGAATGGCGCGTCCGATGCTCTGGTTCACCGCGCGCATACACGCGTTCTCGTAAAAGTCGCGAGCCGCCTGCTTCGCTATTGTAAGAGCCTCGCTTTTCGGCGTGGAAGGGCTGGTGGCTTTCAGGCGTTCGAGTGTGGTAGACTCGATGTATTCGATCCGGGCTTTCCAGTCCGGCGAATGGATATTCGGATATGGCAGCCCGACGACTACTACGCAACGACCTAACCGGTCGGAAAAGTTGATACCTTCGCTCATCTTTCCACCAACAACGCTTAATAGCAACGCTCCGTTTCTATTAGCTTGAGAGCTAGGCTTGTTCTCGCCTAGGATTGCTTCGCTATACTGCGCCAGCACCTCGTCGCTTGATCCCCCCTTTGTCTCGCGAAACACGGCTTTCTTAGCTTGCAGTCTCTCCCATAGGGGTTTAGGTTGGCCGGCAATAGCTTCGCTCCATATAGATACCACTTCGTCGAGATATCCGTAGCTAGGAAAGAAAATAACGACACCGTCAGGAACGACAGTGCAGATGTTGAGGATTGCCATTCCCAGCTCGTAGATCATCGACTTGTCGCTGCGCTTTTGAAAACTGAACTCGAACTCCACGCCCTTAGTATCTGACTTTGGTCTCGGGGATGATAATGTCCAAACGCAAAGGTTCGATGACGGAATCACGTGGCCGCAGCTGAGAGTCGTGATCTTACTCTGCGCCAAGTCCGGGAAAAGATGTGCTGTGTAATCCTCAAACGGCGACATGGTGCCACCGGCGAGAATGACTGCTCGTGCACTTGACGCTATGGAAGAGAATGCGTGTGTGGGCGAGAGAAGAAGGTAAGAGAGCTTGATATCATCCTTAGAAACCTTGTGATAGAAAATACGACCCTCGGAACTCAGGTTGTTCAAGGAGACAAGAAATGAGAGAAGACCGTGGAGAACCGGCGTTGATCGTACTGTAGATGAACCATTGCCCTCGCTATCGCCCTGTGACTCAGCGTGTGCCACATATCCTTCAATTTTATACGCGAGTTTTGAGTCTTGTATGTACTGAATAAGTTTATACATATTGATCTGGTCGATGCCCTTGGATTTCAGAAGTATGTTAGGGTCGACTATTCCTTGATCGCTCTGCGAGTTATATAAGTTAGCAATTTGACTGATGAATTTACGGGTCATTAGGTAGGTCTAGGTAGTTTACTCTCACCTTCATTTCTACAGCGCCTTCTAGCCATACCCTTAGACCGTCCACAACCTTAGCAACTTGCGCGACCATGACTCGATTTTCGCCCTTGAGCTTTTTCCCGAATTTTTTCACATAAACACCGAGCATTTGCCTAGCTCGTTTTAACTCGTTCAGACTGATCTCCGAGGCATACACGTTAGCTACTGCGTCCATGATATTATGGGCCTCGTCAATGATCACCACGTTACCCTCTAGCTTGATGCCAAGAGCATCCCTCGCCGTCTTTTGTAGTAGCAAAGGATAGGGAAGCGTGATGATTTCTGCGCCAGGTACCGCTGTCCTTGAGGCATAATACGGACACACCTGCAGCTTCTTCCCAAGCTCGAAGAGATCCTCGATATCCGGAAGATTGGCAAGGGCGCTGTCTCGAAACTGGTGCGTCGAACTCATATTATCTGCATTCGGTACAAATTGGCACCTGTCCTTCGACTTCGACTGTTGAAGCTCGGTGCAGCGATCATTGATAGCAGGAAGAGACCCGAGCCGAGAGACAGCCGGGTTTATGCAGAGGCGCTGACGTGAAGATAACGGAAGATGCTTGATACCTTCTGGTACGGTGCCTGAGTTGTCACCAAGAAGGGAATCCGGCAGTGATGTTGGAAAGGTTGGTCGGCGTAGTTCCGAGATGAATTGTGTTAGCTGTGAATGAGTTCTTGACGTATAATAGATCTATGATAAATTAGCTTCAGTCGTCAGGGGTACTACCTATGAGCTAACGTGCCTTAATACCGTTGTCGTTTATGTCTTCGTTTTCTTCCGAGGGTTGAAGACTTCCTAAACCTAATTTGTTCATCAGGACTCGCGTCTCTTTGCTGAATCCTGACGTGTTATCACCACCTTGGGATAAATCCTCGTCCTGGCCTTCATCTAACAGCCACTCATCATCGCCGTCGTCATTGTTGCCAGCCTTCTTAATATTTCTGACGTTGCCGTCTTCTAGTCTTCTTCGTTTCGACCCTCTCTCTTCTATTGCTTTTTCCTTGGCTCGTATTTTCCTTAAGCGCGCCTCTCTCTCTTCCCATTGCTTAAGTATCTCCTCCTTCTTTCGCTTTAGCATCTGATCGACAATCCAATCCGGCTCATCTTTAAACTCCTGAGCGGCCTCGGTAACTGAAGTCTCATACTTCGATCTCTTGTGGTTACGTAACCAGGTGAGAGCAGCGCATATGAGAGAAAGGGATTTTCCCTGAAGAAGTTAGCACGAGGAAAACTTGATTATAGATAGACGTTGACATACGGTTCCAGTTGGGCTCTCGAGAATTCCGACTTGACCATCTCCTCGCTCTAGAACTTGATATGCAGTGTTCATAAATTGTTCTTGTACGTCATATGGTGTATATGGGTGGTGGAAGTCGATCCTTTGGACTCGATCTATTACCTCTTCCATGGTGGATATTGGTCGTTTGACTGTTTCACTGATCGAAGCATGTCCTCAACAGGTTGTGTTAAACTACCTGTTTAAGCCCAGCGGCGTTTAGGCACCTCGGTTTATGAAAGTTTAGAACCTTAGACTTAGGTAGTATGTACGTTTCTGCATGGTGAACACAGCAACGGTCTACTCATACGTTTTTACGACGAGGAACGAGGAACCCCCGGCAAGATCCTCAAACATTCAAGATACATTTATGCTGGCGGCCATTTACATATTCGCCGCGGTTCATGCGTCCTCCAGTACCTTAGCAAATGGATAGGGGGCATGTACCTATCATGTATTCTTTGAGACGATGTCTATAAATTTTCCAAGGTTGCAATTGTGAATTGTAATTGGCTTGGAGTGTAGGTAACGGTGTTGGTTTAGGTACGGATTACGCGAAGTGGGGAATAATAGTGGCTGATAATATTTTCTTGTACCTTGTAACTGGATGTAGGTGGTCTGTGTGGCTTGGAATCCACAACTGCATGGGCACAGCGCCAAACCCTACCCAAAAAATTAAACGAAAAGAATTTCACAAATTCATTACAACATTCAAAACCCGCCCTAATCTTCGCAGCCCACCCCGAGTAGGCAATTTCAACACATCACAACAAGCCACTCATCCGACAAAATGCCTACCAGATTTTCGAAGACCAGGAAGCAGTACGTTTTCACCGATGCCAATTTACTACCTGTTGCTGCAATTATCGTCGCGCCCGTCCACCGTCAATATGCCTTGAATTTTGGATATTTCAATTGAGTAGCCGTGAAGAGGGAACGGGTAAGAGGAGGTGCACCTAGGATCGATACGAAGATGGAATTCGAGAAGATTGCGCGATAATATTGCGATAAACTCGTCGGGTCGATAATTCAAGGCATAGATACGGTATCCGGCGCGACGAATTGAGCAGCAACCGATTTTCTTTGAATCTTATTCGTATGCTAACTACTTGATAGCCGTGGCCACGTCTCGGCCGGTTACGGTCGTGTTGGCAAGCACCGCAAGCATCCCGGTGGTCGTGGTTTGGCCGGTGGTCAGCACCACCACCGAACGAATCTCGACAGATACCACCCTGGTTACTTCGGTAAGGTTGGTATGCGATACTTCCACAAGCAACCGAACCACTTCTGGAAGCCCATCATCAACATTGACAAGGTACGTTGATCCAATATACATATTGTCTACCCCGAACCTGGTGGAATATCGAACAGAGAACAAGGAGCAAGAATTCCATGTTCTTGTTGTTGTTCGGGACCATATGGTTTTGAAGCTACTTGACTTCATTTTCAGATATACGTATTAACCCGATATTTTGTAGCTGTGGTCGCTTGTCCCTGCCGAGACCCGCGATGCTTACCTGTCCGGCGAGAAGAAGGACACCGTCCCTGTCATCGACCTCCTTCCCCTAGGCTACTCCAAGGTCCTCGGAAAGGGCAGAATTCCCGATGTTCCCTTACTCGTCCGAGCAAGATGGGTCAGCAAGCTAGCGGAGAAGAAGATCACGGATGCTGGTGGTGTTGTTGAGCTGGTCGCGTAAGGATGCGCAGGCGGGATGGTTTCTATTTGCGGAACAAGGGAACGGATACCTGACGTTTGGGACGGTTGTAACTCACGGGCCTGCACATATAGCAGGTAGTCTTGGGCTTTCTCGAGCATCGCATGGCATGATCGGATTCTGCGAAAGGGAGTTCAGCTGAATACAAAAAAATGCATTTTACTCAGTTGAGAAGGCGACCTGGTGCCCTAATTGCGATTTTCGGGAGCTAGACAGAGAAGGCTTCGCCGAGGGTGAAATCGGTTCTGTAGAGGATACTAGGTCTGACCAAGGCCATGTTCTTCTTTTTAGTGAATAACTAACTGCTTTACAGAATACCTAGCTTTTGACTGTAGCAGCGCACGGTCTTTGCTGTATAGTGATTGCGGTGATTCGAATGTGTGATGACTTGAACGGCGCCCAGAAATATTGGAGGTCGTAATTTAATAACCTTTCGTTTTGCTGTTCGCTACTTGGGGACATTGAAAACTGCGGGTTTTCAAGTTGCCCGGTTCGCCGAGAGGGCAAAAGGGTTAATGGAGTCAATGGAGTCGACGGAGACAATACGAGACAATACGAGACCCTGATATACAAACCTACCTAGGTATATGCGGCTCAATGCGAGGCTCAATAAAATATCGGACTTAAAATAATATCTACCTAGGTAGGTACCTGATGTACCTCTTCAAAAGTTGGAATATTCTCTCCGACTTTCGTCATCTTTATAGATCTGGCATGTGATTATGGTCTTGTGTATGTATTTTGCGTTTCGGTCAAGTGACTTGATGCGACTGATGCGACTGATACGACCCGGATAAGACCGTGCAAGCGGATTAGGTACCTAAGTACACATATGACACTGGCGGCTCCGCGTTTCCCGCTCTGCCGCTTTGATCGATAATTATAATTGGGTAGGGTATAATAATTGCTAGAATGATGATTGGAAGTACTTAAGGGATTAACGCACTGTTACATACCTTTCTCAGGTACGGACTTTTGTAGAGTTTAACCTTGCATCTACCTATCCATACAGGAGGCCCTCGGGGTCCCACGTCATTTGAGTGCTACATTTATCGATAAGTATACGAATAGAATACGATAAAGCCTGTAAGCTTGTGCTAGAGGTAGATAACGGGCAAGATTAGGTACCCGTGGACTTTACTGTATTGTATTGTAACGTACTTACAGTGCTTACTTCATATCCATTGTACAATATAATACAGTACCTCTTACACAGTTGCACAACAAGCTGCAGCACCTGCGATGTGATCCCGATGCGCAGTGCAGCACTTATCCTAGTTTATCCCAAGGTTGTTCCCAGGCTACCGATTCTAGGCTACATTCATCCACATGCAACACGCTTCCTATAAGTCACCTACTTCGGCCAATCAACTGATTCCTTCCCATCATTCCCATCATTCCCATCTAGTCACCCTTCCCCCCGGCCTGAGCACTGAACAGTCGTCGTATCTGGCGTATCTGACTGTTCAAGGTCTAGTAGCAGATAATAATAAATTAATACCAATCATCATTATCTGCTTCACATTGTCTGCTTATCCGCCTGCCCGTTCAGTTCGCTTTTGTTCACCTGCTTTCACCTTTTTTTTTATCGACCTTTCACCGTCGACCTTCGAACTTCGACCTTCGACCAAGTATCTCCCATCACCTACCGTATCGCCTTTTCGATGATGCAGAACAACCGTTAAATCTGTCGCGTAATCTTTTACGGGCTAATTCTTGATTCGATAGTTCTTGAGTCTGGCGTAACCTGGATTTTCTTTGTCTTTAACCCTTCCTAGGTCGTGGACCTTGGCAACGTTGGCTTGGATAGCCGTGTCCTTCTCCCATTCGCCTCTCGTTCGTGTAGCCTGTACCTGTACGACTTACTCGACGAAGCTAATTTGAGAACTTGGGCTTCCACTCCGGCGTGCGGAAGTCGGTAGTTCTTGAATATAACCCGGGTCTCTGTTCCAACTTCCAACTATGGCTCCCTCTTCAGAAGAGAGTGCCGCGCATTCGCGCGTTACTAAAAAGATCCACAAGAAACGTAAAGCTGATCACCGACCGACGATGGAACTCCCTGAACGTTTGAAAGACCACGGCGACGATGCGGATGAGGATGTTCTGTTACCCAACCAAGGCGCTCAGATGTTCATGAATATGAACCAATCGATATTCGGACTGATTGCCGCTGCCGGGTCGAATGTGGATTTTAACGATCGGTTCGAGGGGCAATCGAGCGACGAAGACGAAGATGTTGAACGAACCGAAAGACACGGGAAGCGTAAGGAGCAGGAACAGATCGCGCAAACCACAGTGTTAAAGAAAAATTACTCTGGAAGAGAGAAGGGCGATAAACAGCGTAGGAGATTATCGGGGCAGCTCTTACGCTCGTTGCCCCAACTTCCGCGGCTGGCCACGCGGTCTAAATCTAAATCATTTAAACCATCCGGTCTTCAACCCTCCAACTCGAGCGCTGGGGGCGAAGGTGGCGACTCGGGTCCCCAAACCGCCGTAGACTCGTACCCACCTACATTTGATATTTCGAAGACCGACCGCGAAGGTAAACTTGCTCCAGTCATGAGCCGAATGCTAGAAGCGAGAGAAGAAATGTCATCGAGGCCGAGTTTTGATATCGAGAGGCTATCCGGGGATCATCGAAGGGGTGACGGAGATGAAGCCGGACCTAGTCTACTAGCTCGACAGTTGAAACGCATATTTGAGTTCGATGAACCCGAAGAAGTCATAGAAGGTATTACTCCACCTCGTATCCCGCTGGCCGTCCAACCGTGAATCGTGAGATATGAACTGCAGCTAATTGCGCCCTCTCTTAGAATACCCTTGCTGGCTCCTACAAAGTGTCCTTTTGCAGGGCTACATGTACATCACCGCGAAGCACATTTGTTTTTATGCTTACTTACCAAAGAAAGCTGTATGGTTCTCCTTCTTAGAATATGGCGCTTCTACTTTCCTTCTTTTCCCGCGCTAATGGCTATAGCAGCACGAAGTTGCGAAATCTGGTTACTTATCGAAGAGCGGTAAACGGAATCCCAAATACAGCCGTTACTGGTTCCGTCTGAAGGGGGATGTATTAGCCTACTATCGCGACCCGTCGAATCTCTACTTTCCTCATGGTCAGATCGATCTAAGCTACGCTATCTCAGCAAGTATCGACGACAAAGAAAAAGATGGCCTATCTTTTTCCGTCGTCACACATCACCGAACATATCATCTCAGAGCTGATAGTGCCCCGAGTGCCAAAGAATGGGTCAAGAGTTTGCAACGAGTCATTTTCCGATCTCATAACGATGGCGACAGTGTCAAGATTTCCTTGCCGATAGATAATGTTATCGATGTTGAAGACAGCCAGATGATCGAATTCGCCGATACGTGCAAGATTCGTGTCATCGATAACGACGAGACATACGCCATTGACGAAGTAAGAAAGAAACTATTTACTAAATTTTATTCGTAAAGAATTATATTGTACTAACAGCATTTAACAGTATTTCTTCTCATTTTTTAGCTTTAGCAAGGAAGCAATCAACGTCCTCAAGATTTTGGTCGACGATGCATCGAAGCAAACGAAGTCAGATTCGTCACGGCAACAGAGCCAAGAAGGAGCCTCTCGGCACAGCTCCGCAAGCTTAAAACGGGATCGCGGTCCTGCTGCGTTAGAACTCAAATCCCCAAAGATCCGCGAACATGTTAGAGCGACATTGGTCCCTATATCGCCGCATAGTCCGCGAGAACTAAGCCCTCGACCCAGCGGCGATGGAACCCGTAGCAGTTTCGACGCATTCCGTCAATTCGGACGGCGGAGTGTCGATTTTGATACCCTAGCGCGGGATGCGTCACCTCGTCGAAGCTTTAGTACTGCCAGCAGATCACTGAGTAAACATCGTGTGCACGATAACACCGCACCGCAGGACAAATTGGAGTCCTCCGAGTCATACGTACAGTCTCTAGAAGACCCAAGTATGTCTGCTATAGCATCTTCGTCGAACGAGGACCCTTCGGGCAGCCAAATCCTTCGAGGCAGCGAAGTCTTTCATAGGCCTACTCTGCGTCGATCTACCTCTGCTTCACGAACTTCGAGGCGTGACAGATCAACCGGCACAAGCCGTTTACGCGAGCAATCGGACGAATCGATTTCTGATCATAAAGAGCGTGCCGTCACTACAGGACACATGAATGATACTGGAGTTAGTGAGAAATTTGACCAAGCATCGGCAGCTACACCGGGACTAAACAAAATCGCAAAAATGGGAGCTTATCCGTTGCAACGTGCAGGTTTATTTGCTAACTACTTGAATCAAACTGGCCGTCATATGAGTAACCTATTAGCCACAGAGTCGATGGGCTACGTGGAAAAAGTATCGGGCATGTGGAAAGGTGGTCGCAAGCACTACCAGGAGACTCCTGCACTTAAGCCTGACGGCGAACTAGACGACGATGACGGCGTTGACATGGATCGGTTCAGGGCGCATTTCGCCCTTCCGGAAACCGAGAAGCTCCAGGCGACCTATTACGGCTATATCGTCCGAGTATTGCCGCTCTATGGCAAGGTCTACATAAGCGAACGATATTTCTGTTTCCGTAGTCTGTTGCTGGGGACCCGGACCAAGTTAATCCTTCCTTTGAAGGATATTGAGACTGCCGAGAAAGAGAAGGGATTCCGCTTTGGGTATTCTGGCCTCGTAATTGTTATTCGCGGCCACGAAGAAATATTCTTCGAATTCAACAAGGCAGAAATACGCGATGACTGCGCGGTAACCGTTCTACGGAGTCTCGAGACGACGCGTTACCTCCGAGAAATTGGTATGTTGGATCAGGAAGAACAAGAGAATGCAGACGAAGCGATGGCCGAGCGCGACGCGCTCCACAAGGCACGGCTTCAGGGGAATATAGAGCACGAACTAAAACTGCCTCACGAGACATCTTGTCTCAGTGATTCATCACCAACGATTCTCTTCGACGACCCTAAAGCGTCGATTTTGAATTTCAAGCCCTCAGAACCAATGAAGATCACCTGCTTGACGATCGGATCGAGAGGAGATGTTCAACCCTATATTGCCCTCTGCAAAGGGTTGATGGCCGAGGGCCATAAGCCTCGAATAGCAACGCATGCCGAATTCAAGACCTGGATTGAGGGGCACGGCATTGAGTTTGCACCGGTAGAGGGCGACCCTAGCGAACTCATGCGCATTTGTATCCAAAACGGCACATTTACGTGGGCTTTCTTGAGGGAGGCCAATTCGAAATTCCGGGGCTGGTTGGACGAGCTTCTCGCATCTGCCTATACGGCATGCCAAGGTTCAGACCTACTTATTGAAAGTCCGAGCGCTATGGCTGGGATTCACATCGCAGAGGCCCTCGCTATCCCCTATTTCAGAGCTTTCACGATGCCCTGGACCCGAACACGTGCCTACCCTCATGCTTTCGTTATGCCTGAACATAAGATGGGTGGCGCTTACAACTACGTCACGTATGTTATGTTTGACAACGTATTCTGGAAAGCGACAGCCCACCAAATCAACCGTTGGCGGAACAATATCCTCGGCCTACCTAACACCAACTTGGAAAAGTTACAGCCGAATAAGGTGCCTTTTCTCTATAACTTTTCCCCGGCAGTCGTCGCACCTCCACTTGACTACAGCGACTGGATCCGCGTTACAGGCTATTGGTTCTTGGACGAAGGGACTGAATGGACCCCGCCAGATGATCTTATGCACTTCATCCAGCAGGCACGCAAGGATGAAAAGAAGCTGGTTTATGTTGGTTTCGGATCAATTATCGTACCTGACCCGGCGAAGATGACGCAAGAAGTTATTGATGCAGTATTGAAAGCTGACGTCCGATGCGTCTTGTCTAAGGGGTGGTCAGACCGCCTCGGTAATAAGGACGTCGCCGTGCCCGAACAAGCCCTTCCACCCGAGATATTCCAGATTAAAAGTGCACCTCACGACTGGTTGTTTGCGCAAATGGATGCCGCCGCTCACCACGGCGGTTCTGGAACTACAGGTGCTAGCCTGCGTGCCGGTATTCCTACCATCATCCGTCCGTTCTTCGGCGACCAGTTCTTTTTCGGTAGCCGAGTTGAGGATCTGGGTGTTGGTATCTGCTTGAAAAAATGGGGGGCCAATAGTTTTGCCAGAGCACTATGGGAGACCACGCACAGCGAAAGGATGATAGTTAAGGCTCGGGTATTAGGCGAGACCATCCGCAAGGTAAGATTATCTGAAGATTGGGTCAAATATACGTATCTAACAACGATTCTTATAGGAAAATGGTGTTGACACGGCGATTCAATGTATCTATCGGGATCTTGAGTATGCCAAGAGCCTGATCAAATCTAAGGCTGGGAAGAACGCAGCTACGGCAAGCAGTCCTGATGGCACTGTAGCTGACGACTCGGAAGAAGAGAGTTGGACATTTGTTGGGGGTGACGACATAGATCCAGAGCTCGTTGTTAAGAAAAGCGCGCTCTCCCAGATGGAGTCCAGCATGAGCGGAATGGCTGGGTCTACTGCATTGGGTTCTAGGTTGCTCGGCGGTAGAACAGGGACGAGTCTCGGCATAGTTAGACCATCGCCGACGGTGACGAGTTCTTAGGGAGACTCCTGCACGGTCGGCTAGTACCGTGGCGTCTGGACCAGAACTAGGGATTTTCTCCAGGGGACCTTTGATGATATTTGCAATTCAAGTGCGCAAACTGAACAGGGGGATACTTTACCAGGGCATTGAGCGACTCTTGAATTTTGGTACAAGACGTTACCTTTTGCACTGTATACCTGGATCAACACATATGGCGCGGGGAGCTTTATAGGATTCGTGGATTTTACATTACGCATCAGGCTGCGCGTGCATAGATTGGGCTCTCCGCATTGCCAGCGCGGGCGTTTGGGGCTGCTTGCGTTTTATTTTTATTTTTTCGTTGCTACCTATATCTCATAATGACTGTCTCAGCGTCTTGCAAGGAAGTACAGGGGTAAAGGGGTAATTAGCAACGGTTATGCATTGGTTTCATTGGGTATAGGAAGCTTATAAGGAAAGAAGTAAGACGATAGAGACCGGCCCGTCTCTATCACACTATCATCAATAATTGGTATTAATAGGTGATGACTGTGGTATGGATTACGGATGGTATTCTAACTTGAGAATTGCGGCCGCTTGAGATTCTGTACAACACGGGAATGCATAATGTGCTGCGATACTACCTCTAGATCTGGCGAAGCTGTGATATACCCATAATCAACCTAAGGTGACGAATGTTTAAATAGAGACCATATGGTATTCTGGTCATTTTTTTGAGAATATAATATCGCATAAAATAAAAATATGTTACCTCCGTTAATCCCTATGTAAGGTTGGTTTGATCTATGAAGTACCGTACCTGGATCATTATTTATTCTACACCTTTTTTTCGATATGAAAGATGGATATATCATAAATGTAATCTATTGCTATTCGAATCTGTATGATGTAAATCGACATCTGACGATCCTACAAGGTACGACCCGTCATATATAAGAGGTACATTACCTATGTACATTATGTAATCATGATTGTTGAAAGAAGTACCTAGCACTAGCCACGTCATTTACACATCCAATCAAAATGTGTATACGGCATAGCTTTCCCCCCGCAAACGGACAAGGGGCCACGAGGGGTGCAGCTCAGCCCAGGTTTCTTGCCAGCAGGTACAAAAAGGCCCCTCATCCCCAAGTGAGATTTTTAAGGGGACACCATCTCGCTTGTGAATTTTAGGGAGAAAGAGGCGTTTTGTTCGGTGGCTTGTGTCCAGACGAACGTTTCTTTATTCGTTCTCATCATCATCACCTTCACTTTTTTTTTGTCTTTCACATTTTCAGCATCCTGCAATTCCTTTCAGGTTTTCATCCCATCTAACTAACCTAATTACATCCTCTGAACTTTAACTTGGGGTGTTTACCTACCTACTTTAAGCATCCTAGGTATACATATCTCATACAAATAGGTATGTATATGTACCTTTACCTTTATAGCCTTTAAACAATATGAGCTAGGATAAGTTAACAATTATCATCTGTATAGGCATTTAACTTTTATACTTCTGGTACATCGATTTAAACGATCACCTTTAAATATTACGCCACCATCGACTACCTGGTACTGCAGTACCGCGGAAGTTTCACGCCCAACGCATTACCTTCAACATCCATAAGGTAACCTTACTTTACTTACATTACCTCTTTACTTTACCTACCTTTAGGTACCTCTGGTGGTTGGTTGGTTAAGGGTGTTCTTCTGCATTATTAACCCTGCTATTGACCAATTGGGGGTAACTCCCATTCCCCATTCTCCAATCCCCCGCCACGGAGCATTGAATAAAGATCGAGTTATTGGTTTCTTTTTTTTGCTGCTGCAGCCAATAAGTTGTCAAGGTACTCAGGTACCCAAGGTACGTTCGAACGATACATTTCTTTATGCATACAAGTTTCTTTTTAGTTGAGGCTGGAGCACCCGACTTCTTCACGTCATATGATTGGAAGAGGTATTTTGTACGTACTCATGTACAAAACAATGCCATCATCATCCTATTTTCTACTACGTGCAAGTGCCGGCTTATCTACTGTTATTTCATCCCATTGCTTTATTCCGCTATTCCGCCGCATCAACCACAGCAACCGGTGGAAGTCGGGTCTAGCTGTCGTACTATTTAATAAGTACTGCTCGGACGCCGTTCTACCTACTTCCACTACTGCACATATGCTTGGCAGAGGTACTTCCCATATCATATCTACCTTACATACTATGTACTTACCTAAGGTACATTTATCTATCTCCCTAACCTTTAGATACATAAAATCCATTATATGTACCTAATCTTACATAACAACACCCCTTATAAACCTCCATTCAATTCCACTCACTTACCTTACCGCCTAATTCGTCTCACCGAAGAAGCTTAGAAGCTTAGAAGCTTGGATCATTGATTGAAGCTATTTCCCCAATTAGAATCGTTACACAAGACCGGGATAAACCGTACACGTTTATTGGTTCTTTTTTTTACATGTATTACCACGCATATTCCCCGATTCCCTATCAATTGATCTAGCCCATTTACTTTTATTTAATCAATCTGACTAACCTCCTTTGGCCTTTTCCAGACCATTTCAGAAGTATTTCAGAAGCATTTCAGACCCCCAAACCTGGAAGCTATTGCAACGCGCGCACAAGCAATAAGCTCATACCTTCTCCTAAAGGCATTCACAACATTTCACACGCACGCCTTTAAATATTTACATCAGGTACTCACATACTTACACCTTTCACATCCTCACGTCTTCACATCTTTACATCTTCACGTCTTTTCGTCTTCCTTCACGAGACTTTCAACAAGAAAAAACCATTGTATCTTGTGGCGCGACTTTGTGTCAATACTTATTTGACATCACATCACCAGAGTACGAGTATTAGAACTGGCCGCTTCGCATCACAACAACTTATACGACGAACGTCCTATTTACGCTCTTCTGTTGCTGCTGCTGCGATAACCCTCAACCTGCCTGTCAGGTGTGCCGTCGCCTGTCAAAAGATCTCCCCCAATCCCAAGTGCAATGGGCAGAACTGAAGCTCTTCAGCTCAACCTTCAGCTCAACCCAGCCTTCCGCAGCTTTCGCCATCGATAGAGTGGCACATAGAGGTTAGTTACTCTTAACTCTAACCCTAACTTAATCTTTATTTTTTTTTCTATTCAGCGCACAATACAAAGTACATGGTCCTTCTTTGTCTTGTCTATAGTGTGCATACCTACCTAAGGTATTCTCTCGGTCACAGTCACGCAGTTTTAATTCTTTTCTTTCTGCTCTCCCTGCTAACTTACCTCAAATACCTCACCTCGAACAAGGGAGTCTGATTTATTCCCTGATGCACACTCCAACTTGAGCTACACATGAAGCCCGTCCGTACCGATAAGTGCTAACATTTCGTCCTTTGTCCAGACTTTAGTTCAGGGTACTTGATCATTCTCGGACCCTTTCAACACACTGCCAACCATGGCAAAAACGCTCCGACTCGGAGCTCGGCTCCGTTACCCCATTACCGTGTCCAAATTCCTCAAAAATCATGGCGACGATGTTTCCAAGCAAGAACCCATCCTTCGATATACCTTCAACTTTAAGCGCAAGATTGGCGACCCGACTATAAACGAAGAGCGTGAGGTAGAAGAAACAGGTGTCGCAGATTGGGACAGCCCTGCCGAGGGCAAAATCAAGCAATGGCGGGTTAAGATAGGAGACGTAATTAAGAGTGATCAGGACCTTGTCACTATCGAGGAATCCTGCAGTCACGAAGTACAATACGCTGGTCTTTGCGCCATATGCGGTAAAGATATGAAAGAGGCGACGTATGCCAGCGAGTCGCTCGACACTGAGCGCGCCACAGTCGCCATGGTGCACGATAATATCGCCCTGACTGTCAGTGCGGATCAAGCCGCACGCGCCGAGATGCAATTGCAACGCCGATTGCTTCAAGACCGGAAGCTCAGTCTTGTCGTCGATCTGGACCAGACGATTATCCACGCCTGTATCGATCCTACAGTGGGTGAATGGCAACGCGATCCGTCGAATCCCAATTACGACGCAGTCAAAGACGTGCGAAGCTTCCAGCTCGATGATGGTCCGCGGGGTGCGGCCAGTGGCTGCTGGTACTACATTAAGATGCGACCGGGCCTGGCTGAATTCCTCGAAAGGATATCCCGGCTATTCGAATTACATGTTTATACAATGGGGACTCGCGCGTATGCTCTCAATATCGCTAAAATTGTTGATCCTACGCAGAAGCTCTTTGGAAACCGGATAATCAGTCGAGACGAGAACGATAGTATAACGGCCAAGAGTCTGCAACGATTGTTTCCTGTAAGCACCAACATGGTCGTGGTCATTGACGATCGAGCGGATGTCTGGCCACGTAACAGGTCGAATTTAATCAAAGTCACCCCGTATGATTTCTTCACGGGCATCGGAGATATTAACTCTAGCTTCCTACCCAAGCGAGAAGACATTATAGCCGCACCACCACCCCCCGAGATGAAGTCGGCCAGTGGTAACCCCGCGCGGCCTGACATCAATGGAGGCAATACAACAAATCCCATACCGGATAATCAGAGAGCATTGGCTAACGGTAGCGACGAGAGTGCGATTCTACAACTACAAGCAGAAGAGCAGGAGCGTACTCTGGAAAAACAACTGAAAGACCGCCCCTTACTACATCTGCAGGAAGAGCTGGATAAAGTGGACGAGGAGGCCGAGAAGAACTCTGTAGAGAATGGCGACGGTTCGGAACTTGCTACAAACGGAGAGTCGGAAAGCCCATCACATCAACGGCATAAGCTTTTACGGGATGACGATAAAGAGCTCAAATATCTCGAACAACATCTCACCAGCCTCCACCACTCGTTCTACGAGCAATACGACGCTCGATGTGCGAATCGCCGAACTGGTGACATCGTGCCAGATATAATTCCCGATGTGGGATCAACTCTCAACTTCCTTAAATCGCAAATCCTCAAGGGCACGAAACTTGTGCTTTCCGGACTCATTCCGCTAGACGTTGACGTACGCAGATCCGAGATCGGGATGCAAGCTGAAAGCTTTGGGGCTGAGATACGGACGCGCGTGAGCGATGAGATTACCCATCTAGTCATTAATATGTCACGCCCACGAACTCAAAAGGTTCGGCAGGCGGCGCGCATTCCGACGATTAAAATAGTAAACCAAAATTGGCTTGCGGATTCCATCGCACAATGGGTGAAGCTCGACGAAACACCGTATCTTATACAAGTACATCCTGCCGATCGAAATGCGGAGACACCTTTAGAGGAAGGCTCGGCCTCACCTCCGCGGCCGAAAATCACCATCGTCAACCCAGGCCGTCCATTATTCGAAGACGAATTAAACGATGCCGTCGATGATGGCGATGCAGACGGTTCAGGGGAAGATGAAGACGACGATGAAGACGAAGAAGACGAGGATGACGAAGAGTTCAATGACCGATACAACGTAATGCCGCCCGAGATTGGAGACGGTCAGCATAGTCCCATAGACGACCTCGATGGGATGGAGTGGGGCGATGTCGATAAGGAACTTGAGGAGTTCATGGGATCGGATATGGACGACTCCGATTTCGAGAGCACTCAAGGGACTGACCACGGCACGGATACGGACTCTGAGGAACCTAAGAGCAGAAAGCGTAAGCTAGGCGACGATGACGACGACGACGATGGTGTCAGCGAAGAAGCTGAAGGAAGTGTGTTAGCTAAGAAGCAGCGCATCGCGAAAGCGAGGACTACGGGTCTTCGAAATGTAAGAAACGCCACAGACGAAGAAGATGAAGAGGACAGCGGATTGCCTACGCCGATGGGCACTGGAGACGAAGATGATGCCGCGCGAGAGGCAACTCTCAAAGGTAATGGGGAAGCCAACGATGACGACGAGGAAGATGACGATGACGATGACGACTTTGCCGACTTAGAGGCCGAGCTAGAGGCCGAATTACAAGCAGAAGGCGAAGGGGGCTGATTTATCAACCTACTCTTAAGAGAAGCACGATAAGGGCTAGGGGTTGGTAGAGAGGCAGGAAAGCAGTGTTTTGTTTTATTTTTCGACAGGATTGTCCGTCTGTATCACGAGTGGACGAATGCATGACTCTGGCGGCGCATAAAAAAAACAGGCACATCATCATAATCATGTTTATCATCATCATGCTGTGTAAGACTCATTACCTATTTCCCCTTTATCATCGCGCGAGGACATGATATACTCGGATCAATCGTAATCGGTACCTATTCATACTTGATAAATCTCCGAGGGGAGTTATTATAAGAGGAGTTATTTTGTCGCAGTAGTGCAGAGACACATAGGAGTCGGGGAGTGTAGGCTGGCTGGCATTTAGGTACCTCCTATGATATCCAACCTTGAATTAAAGGGGAGTTGTTAAGTGGGAAAGAGATGGGGGGGTTCGGTTCTACTTGAGAGGTTTGGGTTGTTTTTTTTGGAGGGGGTTTTTTTCTGGCTGCATAGCGCTTTTATTTTAGTTGAACCGTTCGGGGGACTATACAATACACGAATGTTTTTCTCCGCTTGGGTTTGTCGTCGATTACCTTGGGAATATGTATTGCATGTACATAGGTGCCTACCTTGGATTGTGCATAATTTATGAGCTTATACTCATAGTTACCTTATACATGATAGTTACACAATATCTACCTAACTACGTAAGGCCTCACGTGACATTGTTATGTAATCGTCGCAAAGCTCCGGTCCAGTGAAAAGTCGCGAGATTTCGAACCATCAACCGTCATCAAATCGGAGCTTTGACCAATTGGTTCCACCCAATTGATTGATTGATTGATTTCCCCGACGAGAACAACGAAAAAACAACGGAAAAGACCGACGACGACGACGACCATATCTTCTAAGCAGATATAAACATAAACCTATACGGAAAGACACCCAATTGCAGCTGGCCATAATGCCTCAGGATCTACCCCCCATCGGGGGCTACGGCCCTGTGCAGTACAAGGTCAGTTAATTTTATTATCTATGATATTTATTTATTACTTGCGTTGAACCTCTTTTCCCTTTTATGCCTGGCGATGAATGGCTAACATATGATCCTTCTCTCTCTCTCCCTACCTACAGCGCAACCTCCCCGGTCCCGGCTTCCGTCCGGCCACGCTACTCCTCGCCATGGGCGCCGTCATGACCTTTGGTTTTTACAAGTTGGGACAGGGCATCCACGAGCAGAAGTGTGTTTTAAACCCCTCCCCTCCTCCTCGCTTTTCCACCCACCCCCGGCCCGGCTACGATCAACCTACCTAGCCCCTCATTATTTATTCCAAGATGAGACGAACGAACGAAGATACATATACGCATACAAACATAGGTCCGTGGTGGCTGACGACCGTTACAGCGAGCTCGCCCGCGAGAAGATGTGGGCGCGTATCCACCTGATTCCCCTGCTGCAAGCCGAGGAGGACCGCGACCTCGTCCGGAGACATCTCGCCGACCAGGCCCGCGAGAAGGAGCTGCTGGGCGAGAACATGCAAGTGTACAACTCTGGAAAGTACGTTGATTCCCAACCCTTGCTCCTTTCCTTTTCTCCATATCTCCCTACCTCCCTATCTCGAGCAGCAAATATTGGGGAGGGGGGAAAAGAAAGAGGAATAATGGGAGATAATGATTATAATGATGACGACGATGAATGCTGACTTTTATGCACGCTGCTTAGATACGTGAGGCCGACATTTGCTATTACACCGTCTACCGTGACGAAATAGGGGAGGAGCAGGAGGAGGAGTATAGGGGAGATAGATGTACTAGGGAGTGGGCATATGGGCTGGCTTATATGAGTTACCTACCTACATAGGCAAAGATGCGAATGCAAATGCAACTGCGACTGTGAATGCGAACGCGAACGCGATGTTCAGCTGGCTGCGAGCGGAAGAGCTCCCCGGAGTCGGCAACGGGTGCAGGACGGGGGAAGGGGGAGGGGGAGGTGTATATAAAATAAAAGAGGGCGTATAAGCTAAACTAAGCTAAGCTATTAAAGCTGTCCAACTGATGAGTCTTTAACGCAAGACTACCTAACCTAAAGTAACCTATTTTTTTTATTTTTTTTTTTTAAGTAATCAACTGTCTATGATATATCTACCAGGTACCTAACCTACCTGGTAAAAGTACTTGGAATTTTCGATTTCCACGTTATGGGACGACTCCTTATTAATTGTTTTTTATACTCGACTCTCTTAAGTACCTACTTTCAGTCGGCATCCGTAAGTTAATATACCGAGTCTCGAATTAGCCGAGGCAGAGGTTATACTATACATCTTCGAGTTGCGAAATAACTGCTGCCATAAATCAGATTTGTCAATGTATGTATGTATGTATCCCTATAAATCTCCTGAAAATCTCTTGTGTGTAAAGGCTAGAGGTGCTCTTTTCATTTTGTAGATCTGTGGTATCCTGAATTCTAGTAACGTATTCAATATTAGGTGAGTATTGCAGCAGTAACAGAACTGGAAATAAAGGTACGTATGTTATAAACTACTGATTTTATACGATCGTTATAGTACCTCCTCACACAATGACAGAATCGTTGGGATAACTTTGTAACTAAGAGGGGACACCGCTCTAATTTTATCATGAATTATCATTTCGATAAGTACATCTCCCCTAAAAACAAGGAGTATCATATCGTAATAACCAAACGCCGGACTCCTCCCACGGTCATTAACCTATTCATACGTGTCGCAGGTATAGCTTCTCGCTTGCTCGTTCGAGAGGATGCGTTATTGCAAACAGGGTTATTAGAAAAACCTAAGCAGCGGCGTGTACCACCTTGAACCCTTCGCTCACCACCTTCGTAATATCCTCATTCTTATGTTGAAGCAGTCCAAGTGCGAATGCAACGTCGTTCCATTGGCGCTCCGTTTCGCAGCGTGGAAGACGAGCCGCCAATTTCTCCGCGAGCTGTTTTGCGTGCTTGTCCTGTCATATTGTCAGCATTCCCATATGATAAGGCATAGAGAGCATATTAAAATGCTGGACAGCACAAGGATCGATAATGCGCACAAGACTCACCTTCTCGACAAATCCCAGCAAGAACTTAACAATCCGTCGGAATGCATCCTCCTCCATCCGGCGGTCCGCGGACAGCAGACTGAACATGTCCACAAAGTGGTTATACACCGCATTATCCTTGGTGCTAAGCTCCGTGAAGAACATACGCGCCAAGTCGGCGATTCGCTTGTCTTCATCCTCCAAGCATTTAGCCATCTCACCTAGTTGTCCCTTCACCTTAACTTGTCCAGCGAGGATCAAGAAAGTTAGCGTCATCAAGCACGTCCGCTTAACGGATAGGTCCTTGTCAGCTAGCCGTCGGTATAAGAAGTCTGTATTCTCATCGATAAGATGGTTAAAGCAGACTGCCATATCGCCGAGTGCGATGACCACGTTTGACCGTACCGTCGCATCAGGCGATCGCTCCATAATAGTGATGAGTAGTGGCAGATGAGCCTCGCAGTACTCGCTACTGACGCACATAAGCTTCGCGAGGCAGAGCGTTGCCGCGGCTTGTAAGCCTTTATCCCTATATATGTCGCTGCGTGAGCAGATCTCGGCTACCATGGGGCCAAAGTTAGACAACAAGGACTGTGGTCCATACAAAAGCTCCTGCTCGCGTATGTGCGCCATAGCTTCTGTGAAGTCATCTTCTGTCGTACCGCCAATTAGGTCCAGCTCGTCGCCTGCCTCCTCTGCAGCCGGAGCGGGTGTCTTGCTCTTTCGGCCTACGGATGGTCGTGGAGCAGCTGGTTTCGCAGCGGCGTCCTTCTCCTTCTCTTGCTTCCGTCGCTTGAAATCGAGCTCGCAGAGTTCTAGGTGAACGATTTGCTTGATGGCTACGTGGCCAACTATGAAAAGTAGCTGAGATAGAGCAATCGCCGCCTTCTGTTTAGGTCCAGCCGGTGGCTCTGGAGTTAACCGGTTAACGGTTTGAGTTGGAGCGTCGAGACCCATGGTAACGCCTTGGGTCATGCCTTGGTCAGCAGTGGCAGTGGCAGTGGCAGTGAAATCTTGGTCCCTCGATCCAGGACGAGATGCGGAAGGGGATTTCTGCTGGGCGGCGAACACGGCCTTAGTCCTACGTCTAATTATCTCAGAACATAGCATATCTGGGTGTTTGGCGAGAGTATAGATAGCGTTGATGGCCTGTTCGGCAACTCCAAACCATTCCTTGCTGTCGCTTGGTACCTCGGTAATCGCCGCTAGCCTTGCTAATACGGCGTGCTCGTTCGGAAGGCGGCTGAACTTGACTGTCGAATCCTTGGCTTGTCGACCTGTAGGATTGAGCCTCTGAAGAGCAATGCACGTATACTTGGCTAATTGGAGATCAGCTCGACCATGCGACCCAAGCCCCGTCCGAAGCATCGTTTCCATTTCGCCGACGACAATCTCTGGCGCGGCCGTTGCGAGCATGCCTAATACGATGATAGCACCTCTTCGTTGGGATCGGGAAATTTCTCTTTTGTGGAAACCGTAAACCTCCCATAGTTTTGTTACTACCCGGTCAGAGATCATCCCGCCCTTCATCATGGTCGCGAGGAGCTGTTCTAAACTAGTCAGTTCGGCTGGTGTGGTGCCTGATGTGAGACTGATCATGTTCCTTGCGATATAGATGGCGGCGTCGTTCGGACTAAAGCTGTCTGGCGCTTCGAAGAATAGTCGCCGGTAGCAGTCGATAAGGTGCGTCTGCACACCCTTGCCTTCGTCGCTGTTGCCTTTCGTCCAGATGAGGCGCATCATTCGTCGGATTCCGACCATATTATCTTCGATGTTATACGCATTTCCAATTTCCAGGTAATCCATTGCTTCAATCACTTCCGACTTGTTCTTGGATCCGAGAAGCTGGCAGACGGTGGAAGTAGCTTCATGTAAGACTTCGATAAATTTGAGGGCATCAGTGTAATATCGCTTTGTCAGAGTTAGCTTCTCGATGGCCTCCGATGTGGCAGCGTCTTCCCGAGCTTTCTGGACTGCCGCTATCTTTTCCTCATCGGTCATTTCTCTAGGCTTCTGAGGTGATTCTGACTCTATTTGAGTTGGCTCATCTAATAGTGCCGTATTGTTAGCCTTGTCCTCTCCTAAGCCAGGCTCACCAGCTGGCGGCTTCAAGGCGTCCAGCTCGGCGTCGACCTTGTCGAGTCTTTCCTGCCAATCCTTGCGAGAGAGTTGAGCCCCATGAAGCACGGTGAAGGGGTGAGTCTTGATCAGGGTCCCGAGAAGCTTTATTGCATTCCTTCTGACGTGACTACTCTTGTCCTCGAGACTTCTGCAGGCAAGTTCGGCGGCTTTCTGTCTGCGTTTGGGGAATTTTTGTTCGAGTTCGCAGAGCTTCGTGTAGACCTGCATAGCTCTACACCTGCAGTAAGGATTGATATCTAGGAAGCGCTCTTCCAATACGTCAAAGAAAGCATTAAGTTGAGATTTGTGGTTCTCGCTACGCTCTTCCTGGGTAGTAAGATGCGCTATCATGTTACCGCAGACCTCGATTAGCGAGCATCGCAGGGTGTACGACTGATTCACGTTAGGCTAGTTGGACATAATTCGGGGTCACACATACCTCGCTATCTAATTGTTTGGCAAGCATTGTCATCTGTTTGATCACTAGGCGGGGAATAAGCTCGGAGAGCTTGACGATAAACGAGGAAACCGACTTCGGGCCCCGGGTATCATTGCTGTTGAATTCCTTGTTGCTAATCTCTCTTAGAACCTCGTCAGCTAACTGAGGGTAGTCATATTGTTCAGCTAGAATGTGTAGAAACTCGGCCATCGGCTCGGACAGGTGTTCAAAATATGTCAGATTCTGGACGATGGATATTTGTGCCGCTATAACAGCATCAGCATTCAACCTCATGTTACTTGGACCGTCATAGTCCGCTTACCGTAGCCATGACCGTGGTGCTTCACGGCAATGCATAGAACTTTGAAGGCATGCATTTTTATGGCTGTATTCTTAACCCTTTGCTCACTTTCCAAGACCATGTAGACGGGTCGAGTAAGGAGACCGATGAAGGTATCGCGCTCGCTGGTGGTTAGGAATATTTTGCCCAACTTCAACTTAAGAACTTTAGACATGACATCCAAGGCTGACTGAAGCTGGGCGGCGCTATCCCAGTTACCGTCCTTGTCTTTGCTCGTAGTCTTAGACTTGGCACCTTTGCCCCTGGCGCGCGAAACGGGAGCGGTAGAAGACTTCTCGGCGGCTTTCGTCTCGACGCAGGCGATTGTCCATTGTAATAGAAAGGCGTATATCTCAAGTAGAGACTTGTGGTGGGCGATGATCTCTTGCTCGTCGGGGTTCTCGAGGTCGTGGTTGATGGTATCTGCCTCGGCTGCCAGGCCGCTCATAATGAGGTCAAAGATCTTGCTCAGGGCGTGGGTGGGCAAGAACTGCGTATATCTGGATTGCAGGAAAAGCTTAGAAATAGGTTCTCGCGATTTCGAGACGGAGGACTGTGAAGACTGGAAATCATCAGGGGGAGCAATGGAGGTGGGTGCACACTTGAGAAGGAACTGCAGCGAGTCAAAGTAGGCGCTGCGCATGATAGCATCTGGATTTCCGGCGACAGCATCGACGATAGGGTTCAAGACCGGGTTAAGAAGCGAGGGGTTAGATAGGGACTCGGGATCGGACTCGCAGTCGACTAAGGCGCAGTCGGCTTCGGGAGTAGCAATACTCGCTGGGTCACTCATGTAGTGCATGAGCGCCTCATTTATATCGAAGTTGACCGGATCCATCGTGGCCGGGATTTATTTGCGCCTGACAAGCGCAAACGGGAAAGGAAAAAACGTAGATGAAGTTGAAGCTGGAGGAATATATTCAACAAAAAAAGAATAATTTAATTATCTCGTAGAAAATCAAAATTTGATCGCTTGGAACATTCAGGAGAATGACATAAAGGGGGGGGATGAGGGGAAAAAGGAAGAGAGGGGTGAATATCTCGGGTATCTTTAGAAAAGTTGTTGTTATTTCTTTTTTAGAAGATCATAGCGGCATAGCGGCATGGTTGTATGGTTGCATGGATTAGAGATCAATGTTTTGGGGAAATTCTATGTGTGGAGACTTGAGTCAAGTGCAAAAAGCTGCAGGTGCTTTAGCAACGGTTTTGTTATTGTTTAGTTCCCGATAAGGCGCGACCGCCAATCATTTTCTTTCCTCCGTAGAACCCCGCGCCTAACACCCCTGTTCCACCTAATGAAAACGCGTCCAAAAAGAAATTCGGAGAATTCCCAGTGCATCCCGTCTTGTTGGTTCAGGTACCATGTACCACATTCATACCACATTACGTCCTACTTTCTATGGAATTTCCAACATTGAAAATAAGAATTCCAACTTTAAAGCCATGAAACATTAATTTTTACCACAGCAATTTACCTATCATACCTTGCACTCAAACTATAACCTCTCACCTCTTCCTTAATTGTACATACACAATTGCCAGATCCAATTACCTGATCCTCTGAAGTCGTTCCTGAAGTCGTTCCCTATCAAGAAGATACCTACATTACCTTCGTTTTCTCGAAGCTTTGCGATATATAACATAGAATCAGACAATTCCGAATTGCATTGGGTTATGTTCGGGGGGGAGGAGATAGAAGAAAAAAAAAAAAAGAAACAGGAAAGAAATCTTACAATCTTAGGATATGGCATCTGCCGTTCATCGTCGAGTGGCCAAGGCGCCCTTTCAGATCCATCACGACCAACCTAGAGACCAAACCTCAGATACCGAGGAGCCTATACAGAGCAATGCACGAAGAGCCGAAGAAGAATATGACGACCACGACGACCACGATGCTCATGACGATCATAATGATCACGATTATTTATTAGCGGAAGAGGGCGAAGACGAAGAACAAGAACAAGAACAAGAAGAAGAAGAGAATCCAGCCGAGGAAGACGACGGCTGCGAGACAGACTCCTCCGATGATAGCGACGAGATCGATCTCAGTGTTCAGCATGATATGGACAAATTACAGGCAGCTTTCCCTAACTTCAAAGATAATTATCGCCTGATAAAGCGCATTGGTGAAGGAACCTTTTCCACGGTTTATAAGGCTGAAGACATACAATACCACCGGTACGAGAATCGTTGGGATATAGACGCGGTAGAGAATCAATGGAGACCTCCGCCTCTTAGAAACTCTCGATCTAGTTCTGCCTCATCTCGCACTCGCCAAAAGCCAAAATTCGTCGCGATCAAGAAGATCTACGTAACATCTTCGCCCGCTCGTATCCTTAATGAGCTCGAATTACTTCACGATCTACGAGATTCCCACTCTGTCTGTCCCCTGATTACAGCTTTCCGCGAAGCAGATCAGGTCCTAGCTATCCTCCCATACTTCCGCCACCAAGACTTTAGAAAATACTACCCCCATATGAGCGTCTACGACATGAGAGTATACTTCCGATCCCTCTTCACAGCTCTCGCTGCCGTACACGAAAAAGGCATTATACATCGCGACATTAAACCCACAAACTTTCTCTACGATCCGGATAAGAAGCGCGGGGTTCTGGTAGACTTCGGCTTGGCCGAGCGAGAGGGTATAGACACTAAACCATGTCTCTGCCACGAAGATCGACAGGTGAGGAAGCAGAAGTTGCAACAGTCCGTCGCATTCAGCTCAGTTCAGGCTGGTCCGCAACCAGGCTACCCGGTGAATGATACCCGTCCTTCTCGTCGCGCCAACAGGGCGGGGACCCGCGGATTTCGAGCGCCCGAAGTTCTATTCAAGTGCACGGAACAAACGACCAAAATCGACATCTGGTCTGCCGGTGTTATTCTTTTAACCATCCTCTGCAAACGCTTCCCTTTTTTTAACAGCGCAGATGACGTCGAGGCGCTAATCGAAATCGCTACTATATTCGGCTCCAAAAAGATGAAGATGGCGGGACAGCTGCACGGCTGCGTCTTCGATACGAACATACCTACTATCGGCGAGAGGGGCTTTACTTTTGAAAAGATCATGCTATGGAGTACGTGTAGGAGCGACGTTAGCAAGGACGGTAGACCCAGCACGTTGACGGAAGAGGAGAAGGGCGCCATCGAGTTTCTGACAAGGTGTATGGAACTGGACCCGACGAAGCGGATCAGCGCCAAGCAGGCGTTGGCCCACGAGTTTCTGCAGATCGACGCGGATACGGAGCCGGAACCGGAATTAGAAGACGATGTAATGATGTTATGATAGCTCTGAAATAAGATGGTGGCATTTTATCTACCTATGAACGCTATACGGGATGGGATACAGTATCCTCCTTCGAAAGGCAACACGGATAGAAAATCAACCTTCGCGATTGTGTACTCTTATGGAGATTCTAGGACTATGTATATGGATGGATCCTTACGCGCACTGCTGTTGCCGTGGCCGTGTACAGGGCGTTTGGAATAAGTGAACGCGAGAGAGTATTAGGAGTTGGCTATCAAGCTAAGCTGTCACCTCATAGAATATAGCAGTAGAGCGGCAAGAAGCCTAGGTACCCAGGTAATCAATGTGCTCCGATCTAGAGCTTGTACTCAATAATATAAGCTAAATGCGAATAACTTTATATTGCTTTTGTTTAAGAATTTAGGGGTGGAAACTGGGAATAGGTGTAGGCACCTAACTAGGGCAATTAGATACAGACGCTGGTTACGAGGTATGAGAGGTATAGATCAGGTTCATGTTGGCTATCTGCTGCAACACACACTGTGGATGCTATCCGATATATAAATATGGAAGAGAATTTAGTTGTCCATTGCTAAATTGGAACTCACCAACCACGCCGCCCCTACGCCTATACCCTAAATACATCACTTCCATGGCTCCACTATCTTGAGATGCAATATCATAGTATGTACAAGTGCCCAAGTTATAGTTACCGAACCCTGCCTATCCACGTCCTGGAATTTCCTAAACCATCATGCGCTGCTTTTCCAAACCATCTCCTCCACCACCTACATCCAAAGACATAGCTTTCCACTCGAAGTTCCACCGGCCTAACGGACGCCACGTTAGTTAGTATTACAATTTACTCTGAATCGGCGGGGCGAGAAGACATCAATGCCGGGAAATTCCAACAAAGAAAAAAAAATACATACCAGCCAATTCAACGTAGGATGGAACTCAGCAACCGCAGGCACAGCAGTGATCCCTTCCCCATCCAGCTGACCGAGCTGCTTCCCTCGACTATCGTAAATATCCACGAACCGATTCATGTTGGCGATGGCGAACTTCTCCACGCCGTCCGCGGGGTCGATCTGCCATTGCGGCTTCAGAATAGTCACCCAGCGGCCCGTCTGGTTGTTATGCGGGATCGCGTGCGCCGGCTTCATCTGCTCGTCCGAGAGGTCTTGGCCGGGCTTCCACTTCATGGCGTCGGTCATGTCGTAGACCTTGACCGTGTCGTCGTAAGACGAAGTTGCTATGTAGCCGCCTCGGCTCCACGAGGCATGCGACACGGATAATCGAGACTGGTGTTCGCCTAGTAACGCGGGACGACGAAGGTCGCCTTTTCCTTTAATCATTCTCAGGTCCCATATCTTCAGTGTCCTGTCGAGCGATGCTGTCGCTACGAGATGAGGAAGGAGGGGATTAACGGAAAAGCCACCGATTTTATTGTCGGACAGGCTCCAGATATCGGCTTTGCTCTTTGCACGCCTGTCGAACCTCCCTAAAGTGCCTTCGAGGGTCGAGAAAAGGATGGTGTCTTTGGCCTCGGGCGATAGGTCAATGCATGAGATACCCATGTCTATATCATCATCGTCGGGCTGCCATAGCTGGGTGCTGACTTGAGACTGCAAATCTAGGCAACGTATCGAGGAATCGTAGGAGCTGGTGATGACTGAATTTGGATCGAATATGGGCACTTTTATGGAAGTGATCGTCCTACTATGTACTTCGAAGGCACCCACTTGAGGCAGAGGAATATCGACGTCTTCGTCGTCGTCCTCGGGATAGGTGGGCTTCTCTTGCGATGCGTCGAAAAAGCCCAAGGTGCCCTTCTTGTCACCTGCGAGGATGATCGGCTTGTCCCGTATAGGGTGAAACGTGAGAGAATACACTCGTTCAGGGGTAATTTTGATATCTGCGTACCTAGTGATTAATACTACGATGCTACACTGGATGTATACCTAATATACGTAATATGAACACCTACCGTTAGGTACCCAGCCGTCATAGAGCGTAAGATCACTCATCTCCTTCCTGAGGTCTTTTAACTTGCTGTCTGAGGTATCCTTGATATCATCCTCGGTAAATGTTCGAACGCCTGGTTGGGCTCCCTGCACGAAGGAGGCGAGAGCATTGGTGCTTGACCACCTCTGGCCTTCGACTTGAAGATTGGATAGTTGTAGATCGCCACTTGTGCGAATGCGCTTGGGTTCGGGCGGCTTCAACTCGGCAGGGATATCTTCAAGCTTGAGACTTGCTTCGGCACCAGCTCCCGCCAGTCTTGCACTTTGTCGCGTGGGCATAACGCGGGTACGAGGAGTTGGCTCGGCGGCTCTCCTCTTCTTGGGCGCAGTTGCCCTCGGCGGCGGAGCGGCAGCTTTGCGCATCTTGGCCGCGGCCTCGGCCGAGTCTTTTAGGAGTTTCGCATTGTTCACAACGTTCGCTCTTCTTCGAGCCTCGAAGGTGCTTAGCTCGGGAGCCATTACGACTACCTAAGGTAGGTTTTATGAATTATAAGGTTGATACTAAGGTAAGGGTAGGTGGGCGATTACTATTCGAAACGAGTAGAGAAAAAAGAAAAAGAAAAGGGAGAGTTTCGCACTCGAGAAGGCGTTGAAATTGGCGATGCTGAATGGGCAATGAAAGTGACGGAGGGGATAAATTAGGCTTCAGTCGCCTCGGATGGAGACGCTATCTTCTTTCTGAAGGATAATTGAATAGCGATTAAATTACAAACCCATTTACGTACCTGGGTAGGTAGGTAGTTACCTAGGTATATAGAGAGAATAGCAAAAATCAGTTAAGAACATTGAACATTTCAGCTTGAAGACGCGATTTACCCACGCGATGTCAGACGCTAACCGCGTATCCCCTGCACATACCTCAGGTACAGTACCTTTTACTACGTCATTCAGGGTACCTACATTAGGTACCTACATTACCTACATTACATATGTACCTAAGCAGATAATTAAAATACCTTCATTCCTTTCTTTGTATGATTTCCAGTTATTTTGAAATAAGCTTGCAATGGCGTTTTCGAAGACATTCAGACTTCAAACGGTATAGTATGATAATTTGGGACTTATACAAATGGAGAACATACTTGCTAATATAAACATTTCTATCTAGTCGCGGAATTGAAGCGAACTTCTTTGTCTTTTAGAGCGGGAAAGGCTCATACGCCAGTACGCCTGGTGGGGGTATCCACCTTATCGATATCTTAGCACTTAAAGTCTATAGACTGGGTACCTGCAGGTACCTCCTATCTTATCGATAGACTACCCACCTCCAAAAAAATCATATTCCATATTCCATTTCCCATTCAACTAGCAAAAGACTTGCAGCGAAAAACAAAAAGAAAGAGAGAATTCCTTTTTGGGGTAATTCCTATCTTCACACCGTTTCTCAAAATGACATCGACCTTACTACCGTTCCTTTACCAGACGAGGACCATCTTACGAGGTAGTCTACGAGGTAGTCTACGAGGTAGTCCTCGAATTTCCTCCTCACTTTCTCGTTCCTTACATGCCACGCCGCGACAATTAAGAGAGGATGACGAAATCCCATTTGCCTCTTATGTTCCCAAAGAGAGACTCCCGCCGGACCAAAGCTTTCGTAGTGGCACCATCACCCCGTCAGAGAGACGCATCTTCGAAAAAATCTTCGCGGACATAAGAGCCCGCGGCCTGAAGCCTTTCGTGCCTGCAGATTCACGGCAAGCAGCTTCGCCCGCCCGTACCGCCATGTCCAGAATGCAGAAAGCTGCCGAAGACGATGCTAACAGGCGTCGCCCGGCTACCGTTACCACAACTGGTTTCGATGGCCTTACAGATGATCGTCGCAAGGCTCTTTTAAAATTTCCACCTGAATTGCGCGCCGCTGCTGGCAAGGCGTTCGATACTATCAAGCCTCCAAAAAGACGTCCTGATGATGATGACATCAAATACGACGAAGCTTCTATCGCGGCCAACCAAGAAGATCCTGATAGCGACGAAGGTTGGAAAGTGCCCGACAATGCCGTTGATCGCAGTATGGAGCTAGAGGCTCAACGCTCTCCCGAGCGAACCCGTGTTGAAGGGTTGATTACTGCTGCTAAGACCGACTTCGAAATTTGGGATGTTCTAGAGAAAGAAGTGTTCACAATGCCTGCCAGACTTGGTTTCGGCAAAGGCGCACCAAACTTGAAAGAATCGGAATCCGAAGAGGAAGAGGAAGAGGAAGAGGAAGAGGAAGTGGAAGAAGAGGAAGAAGAGATAGAGGAGGTTGCAGCTGGCGAGGAAGTAGAGGATCCCGAAGATATGGCCGCTGCTCTCGAGACGATAGATATGCCAGAAACAATTCCCGAGGAGGTAGATGATGCTGTATCTGCTGAAAGCGATCCTACAACCCAGGAATTGGATCTCTACATACATGGGCCGCTATATCCCGAATATCTCTTACTTGCGCTAAGACGTCTGAACAGCGCATTTCGTACCCCATCGCCTCTCGTCTTCTCCATCTTGCCTCGAATCAAAGAGCTAGGACTCGAGTCGTATATGCTTGGTGTGTCAACACCTTTCTACAATGAACTTCTAGAGATTTACTGGACTCGCCGCGGCGACATATCCGGGATACTGGAACTGCTAGAAGAAATGCGCCATTGTGGACTCTCTTTTGACGCGCAAACCGCGTCTCTCCTGGGGAGAGTAAATACGGTGGTAACTAAGTTAGCGACTAAAGCGTCCTCCGGTTCCTTTGGGAAGGCTCTCATGACCATGCCTGAATACGATCGGTCAGTGCGACTTCGCGTAAGGGATTGGTACGATGCTGTGGACACTTCAGTCAGCCAAAGCAAGGCATAAAATTAGATTTCAAGAGTGTACTTCAACTGGAGTAGCAACTGTTATTAGTTAATATGCGATTTGATAAGTGGGATGCATTCCGCTTCCAAGTTAATGGCAACTTACGTCGCAACTCTATCGCAAGCCGTGTTCAAATTTCTCGAATGATACCGAAGTTTATTCCATACCTTAGGTACCTGCTACCTGTCTAATGTTTGTCCTGTTAAGGCGATAATTATCAACAAGATGGTTTAATGCCTAGGACAATTTCTAGGCCAAAAAAAAAAAAAAAAAATCAACTCAATCCTAAGTACACGACATAGATGCTTTCCATCCTTCTTGATTCGAAACCAAGATAATTGATATTTCCCTCCTATGTGTCTAATGTGATATATGTTGATTAATACCTAACTACGAAGATGGTGGTAACAGTCTTCGGTCCTCGGATTTCGCAAAGACTCGCGTTGTCATATGGCAGGGCCCAGTTGGAGTAAAGTGGGATTGGCCAAACTTTTTTTTTTAATATTCGTCGACGTGAATTCCCATTTGCTGATCGATATTATAAGACGACACAACCCTTAACATCCTGGAATTTTATTACGCCATCATGGATTTTGATGAAAGTTACGATGTCGTGGTTATCGGAGGAGGTAATGCCGGATTCTCGGCGGCCATCACCGCAGCGCAGGCCGGCGCTCGGGTCTGCCTGCTTGAGAAGGCGCCCTTCGAGGACGCCGGGGGTAATACGTTTTACACGGCCGCTGCGTTCAGATGCTGCTTCGACGGCTTGCAGGATCTGCTGCCCAACCTGTTCCAACCCGACGGCACGAAAGGCCTCCCGCGAGATCTTGTTGAGAAGATCGAGATGGCTCCTTATACGGAATCGGACTTCCATGCGGTAATCTTCTATTCTTCTACTGTATCACACTAGAGGCCTGTGTTACTTTAGGTTAGGTAGAGGTATCTATGGCTGATTTAAATCGAAGGACATTAATAGGGTTACGAAAGGAAGAGCAGACCCGGCGCTTGCTGATGTCCTCGTGGAGAATTCGAGAGAAGCGGTTCAGTGGCTGATGGATCTCGGAGCCAAGTTCACACTTTCGTTCAATCGACAAGCTTTTGTTGTGGATGGCAAGTATAAATTCTGGGGAGGAATGGTCTTGACCATGGCGGGTGAGGGCTTTACCTGTTATCCTTATCCCGTCTTTCATCCCCCCCCTTTATCCCGATACTAATACTTGGTTGGTACAGGTCAAGGAAAGGAATTATTCGAGTTTCACTTGCATGCTGCTAGGAAACATGGTGTGAATGTTCATTTCGACTCCCCGGCAGTTGATCTAATAGCTGATCCTTTAACAAACGGGGTAATCGGTGTCAAGGCCTTTAGGGATGGAAGCCTGAAGACCATTGGCGCCCGGGGGGGTGTTATATTGGCCTGCGGTGGCTTCCAAGCATCTCCGGCCTTACGCGCCCAATATCTTGGTCCTGGTTGGGATTTGGCTCACGTCCGAGGGTCCAAATACAACACCGGCGACGGCCATGCGATGGCCAGAAAGCTTGGGGCTAAGCTGGAGGGGAACTACTCGGGTTGCCACTCTGTCGCTTGGGACGCCAATTCGCCCATTGCGTCCGGAAGCCGCGTATTGACTAACAGATACACCAAATCGGGCTACCCTCTCGGTATTATGGTGAACGTCGACGGCAGACGGTTTGTGGACGAAGGCTTTGACCTGCGCAATTTTACGTATGCCGTTTATGGAAGAGAGATCTTGAAGCAACCTCAGGGTATAGCCTTCCAGATTTGGGACGCGAATGGCAGTAGGTTTCTGCGCGAGGAGGAATACGCAGACGACGTGACTGTAAACCTGAGGGCCGGAACGCTCGGCCAACTTGCCGACATCCTCGTAAAGAGGGGGTTGAAAGACAAGGCACAACTTCTCGAAACGATTGCCGAATTTAACGCCGCTTGTAAAAGCTTCCAGAAGGAATGCCCGCCCGGAGCTAGGTTCGACCCGACCGTAAAAGATGGCATGTCGACACAGGGCAAGTCGAAATCACTTGGGATTGGCAAGACCAACTGGGCTTTGCCCATCGAGCGTGGCCCGTTCCAGGCGGTAGAGGTGACGTGCGGCATTACGTTTACTTTCGGTGGACTAGCAACTACACGTTCCGCCGAGGTCGTGAGCGAGGCTACCTTTCGGAAGATAGACGGCCTCTATTGCGCGGGTGAGCTACTGGGGGGACTCTTTTGGGATAATTACCCCGGTGGCAGTGGTCTAACCATGGGCACTGTCATGGGTAGGATAGCAGGAAGAGAAGCTGCTGGTAGGATAAAGACTTGTCATCCTGGTGACGGTTCGATACGAAATAGTTAAAGAGATCACCTATTTCTGACTGAAGATTACTTGTTTACCTTGAGTACCCGATGATGCATATGTCTTATAGCATGTCTGCTTCCTGAGCATTATTGCGTAGTGAATTATTCTATACCTAATCCTAACCATGTGGATGGAAAGGGACGATGAGATAAGGGGTTAATACAGTGTGAACGCTCATCATACACGCCCAAAATAAACTGTACGGGGCATCTGAGTCTTTTTGTCAAAGGGAGAGAGAGAGACGACATTAAGAAAAACTTTTTATTTTCTGTGGCAATTACATCACTCGATTTACCATCTTACTAGTTCTAGGCCCCTGCTTGCTCCCACTAACTAGCAAAGTAACTCTATACCAGGTACCTATGTCTTGGACCTAGAACTTTGGGGCTTTATACGCTGACATGTATGGGTTAGGTCGTCTCATTTTCAAATTTTCTGTCTGCCCTTGTTCATGTGATATCACGCATACCTCTCTCATCGGCCCTTTCTGGCGAATTTCGTACATCGAAGAAATAAGCTTTTTTTTTTTTTTGGGGAACCCAAACTCCGGAAACATTGGTTCGCAGGGCTGGTTTCTAAACCTGCTTGCTGTCGTTGCGTTGCCCCTCACATTATACTGTCACTTAGCGATTAGCCTTCTCCTGTATTCTGTCTATCACCCAAAAACCTTATATATTAGGTACTCTTATTGAGTGTATGACAGGTACCTAGTAATTACGACTTCACAGAAAATCTGTCTGTGTACTATCTACAAAGTGTATAAAATTCTACGTTCTTCAACCCCCCCATCACGATGTGGCAAGGTGGGCAGGACACACAGGATGGGCAAATTCCGAAGAGCAAAGATGCCGAAAAGACAGTCGGACAAAGTGACTCTGTGGAGTCGAAAAGCCATGCACCACTAAAGAGGTTTCGAGAGACTTTGGCGAAACTAATATCGGACGGACCCATCGAAGACCGAGGAGTTATGCCAGTAGCGTTGGAAGACCGGACAGCCACCAATTATAGCAGCTATTTTTCGATATGGGCATGTATGAATATTAACCTCTTACCGTAAGTCTTTGTCAACCTTGCGTTATCAACCAAGGCTCGAAAAAGTATATTGATGTCTGAATTAGTATCACGTTCGGTATGCTGGGACCGACTTACGGGTTAGGTTTAAGAGACTGTTCTCTGGTTATCATTTTCTTCTGCCTTCTAACTGCTGCTATACCGGCTTACCTTGGAACCCTCGGCCCCAAGACTGGATTGCGCCAGATGATCCAGGCTCGCTTCTCATTTGGGAGGTACTTCGTTTCTGTACCCGTTATCTTGAACTTGGCTACGCTCACCGGCTTCTGCGTCGTCACTTGCGTCATTGGGGGTCAATGCTTATCCGCCGTAGCCGGAGGTTCTCTTACTCCTGCCGTAGGCATCGTTATCATGGGTGTTATGGCCCTGCTCATCTCTTTCTGCGGATACGATATCCTGCATCAGTATGAGCGCTTCGCCTGGATTCCGGCTTTGGTAGCTATCATCATTGCTACGGGTTGCGGGGGGCAGGGTCTCCGCGAGCAAGCCCCGGCAGAGCCTGCGACTCCTGGTGGTGTCCTTAGCTTCGGGATGATCATAGCATCGTATATGATACCCTATGCTTGTCTTTCCTCGGATTTCACAACATATTTAAACCCCAAGTTCTCTTCGTAAGTCATCGTTGTACCTATGCCCCGAAACTGTTTGGTCACTGTACTGACCGTTCCTAAGCGTGAGGCTCTTCTTATATGGGTATGCGGGTCTCGTATTCCCGGCGGTGTTACTGATGATATTAGGGGCATCTATCGGAGGCGCTGTACCTAGTATTCCTGAATGGGGAGAAGCTTACGAGTCGACGCAGGTTGGCGGCGTCTTAGCAGCAATGTTGTCGCGAGCAGGCGGTTTCGGGAAATTCGTCGTGGTCGTGCTTTCTCTTACCTTACTTGGGAATATCGCGGCGACGATGTACTCGATCACCCTCAACTTTCAAATCTTAATCCCGCAACTTGTCGTGGTACCGCGGTATATGTTCTCGATCGTAGTCACAGCCATCGTCATACCGGTGAGTATCAAAGCAGCCGTGGAATTTTTCGCCAGCCTTGAGAATTTCGTCGCCTTGATTGGATATTGGTCTGCCGCATTTGTGGCAGTGGTGATGGTAGAGCATAGCGTCTTCAGGGGTGCTAAGTACCACACGTATGATCACGATAGTTGGAACGTGGCATCCCGCCTCCCCTGGGGCGCCGCGGCTCTGACGGCGAGTGCCTTGAGCTTTGCGCTGGTGATCCCCAGCATGTCGCAAGTGTGGTTCGAGGGCCCAATTGCGAAAAAGTCTGGCGACATTGGGTTCGAGATGGCGTTTGTCGTGACAGCGGTCCTCTACCTACCTCTCCGATATCTCGAGAAAAAGCTGAGCGGACGATAGAAATGGATTTTGGTTGAATAGCTCATAGATGGATACCCGTTATTCATACTAGATAGACATAACAATATACCCAAAGAATAGGACTGTTTCATGGACGGGACTCCTTTTATCTCCCAACATCAAAGCTTTTCAATGCTGAGACGGTACTGTATTTTTCCCCATATGGTTTAGGTACATTTCCATTAGACATTTTACTACCGAGTTCACTTCTAGACTTATACAGTATCCTTCTTGAGCTAGTTTCTGCTGATGTACGATGAAGGAGCAGCGCATGTCTGGATAGTCGATAGACTTTGAAAGCTTTACTTGTTAGTTGCCCGTGCATTTTCTTTCCAACACTAGGCCGACCATTTTAAATAGGGACGGTGCTGTTCTGTGGTATGCAAGCTCCGTAGAAGGATTTCGTTAGCGACTCAGTCGAATTCTTGACAGCTGCACCTAGCGCAGTGGTTCCACACCTAAGGCCCAACACGAAGCTCCCAGCCATGACGTCGGCCATGTACGCTCCTGTATGCGTGTGGTCTTTTGGATAGTTGGCGTTGACAGTTGACGGGCCCAAGTTCTTCATGGCTTGGACTGCATACTGCTTATGCGGGACATGGTACACATTCGGGTTTGCTAGTTCGGCAGCCGCATGCCTTTTGAGATGATCAGCGACACCATAAGGCTTTACTGATCTGGGACGCTTACCAAGCATAATAGTCAAATCTTGACACGTCGTCAACACACTTGCCGCTCTCGCAAATGTTGTTCGGGGTAGGAGAGTTCAAAATGACCTTCGCTCCTTTATCCAGAAACAACTTCGCGGCGTTCTTATAGTAAGCCGGATATGTTAGGACCGTCTCCTTAACGCCGTTATACGTCGTCTGGCAAGTCTGAGCGCCATCTCCGGGGCAGTCGGTTCTGCCGTTGTCGTTGCTTAGACTGCCCCCGTCGTTGTGGCCAAACTCGATAACCACCCAATCACCCGGCTTGACCACGTTAGCTACTTCCGTGAAGCGGCCTTCGCGGGTAAATGACCTTGCGCTCCGCCCGCCGATCGCAGCGTTGTGTACGACGTAATCCGAGCCGAAGCTGTACTTCAGGTACTCGCCCCAGCCCTCTGTAGGTATTCCCGAGCCACCGCCCCCCTTTGCCATGGTTGAATCGCCGCATAGGTGGATAGTAGTAGGGGCTGTTGGTGCGGCCGTGGCTGTCAGAGCTAGCAGCCACCAGAACCCAAGGAAACCCATGTTGGAAATATTAAAAGGAGGAACGATGCGATGACTCTGAAGACGATGATTTGTCGAATAGGTGCCTTCAATGGAAAGGTTGTTGATCAGGCAGTGTTTTTCCAGGTAGGGGATGCCAATGGTATTATAGACTTACACAGCATGAATCTGTACCCCTAAGTAATCTCCTTTACGGGCATGAGAGCGTGATCCACTGGCGGTTCCAGAGAAACACGATCTAGACCGGACCCGCATCGCGATGCAACCATAGCTTACAGGTTCGGGGTATTAACAAGTATGCTTAAAAGGGACTTTATTGGCTTGGTAGTTAGACGTAGTTAATTATTCCGTATCTTAATCAACACCGCAGGTAGGATCATACGGAGAGATGCCCGGGTAAGACAGGTGGGGTGCGAGGGGGGCCGGAGTGGGTAGGAGTGGATAGGGGGACGTTTGCCGGGAGGTCATCCTCCGCAAATTCAACGGCCAATTGCCTAAACAGTGAACTTTGTCCGCCTCGTATAATTCTCCAATAGGCAGGGAAGAAGAATTATTCTTGGCGAGGCCTGATAATTGGTGGCTTTTCAGGAATTGATTGCCGCCAGTAGTTCATGTCGTCTAGAAGTACTCATTCTTGGTCCTCTATTTTCTCAATCACGTTCTAATGAATCTGCTACGACTTAACTACCTAGGTAAGGGTATAAAACTGAAAATATTATTTGTACCATCATCGCTAGCGCTCGCTGACATCCAGAGATGACGTAAATCTATTAGGTTTATGGTTTATACCAGCCATGCGCATTATTCTGTAGCCCCGGGTTTCTACTGCAGCTCATGATGCGTCCCCCATAGTGCTCAGTTTTATGCTTCATACGATAGCCATGTGAATCTGGAGGCCACTTTTGCTCTCTAGTTTGACCGGAATACCTGGGGCGATGAAAAAGATGAATCCCTCTTTGAGCTGGTGTTGTGCACCGTCGGCGTGCATCACCCCATTCCCAGAAGTTACAATCATCACGCCGGGCCCGTCGCTTTTAGTAAGTTCTTCACTCTCGCCGGCGCCCAAGTCCGTCTTGAGCATGTCAAATTCACTCATCGGTGGCTTATATACCATCGTCTTTCCGGTTTTGCTCTTGTCCGACTTCTGGCTCGGAAGATACACGTCGTCCCTGCTATGAGCTTTGAACGTCAGGGTATTCACAAACAGGTCGACGTTGTTGCGGTCTCCAGGTGGACAGAAGCCGGTGTTGAGCACGTTGTTGCTTCGAGCCATGCACTCGACGATATCGCCGGCCAAGTACGCATGGATCCCGTCGGCGGGAATCCATATCGCGTCTCCGGGATTAAATACCATGAAATTCATGCACAGAAGCGCAACTAGGCTGCCTGCGTCCTCTGGGCCATACTGATCCTGGAGACGAGGGAGCAGGTCCAAAATATAGGCCGCATCACCTAATTTGTCTCTCGGGATTGTTGCGAGTTCCGTCTGAACTTTTTTAACCGTATCGAGATCAGATTTGAGTAGATTCCCGGTCACGGTACGTAGCGTCTCATCTGTCCATTTCTCTGGCTGCTCCGGATTGAACTGTCGAAGTTGTGGTAACTGGAAAAGGGGCGCTATCTGCTCAAGCGGTTTGAATCCGGCGAATACTTCGAATTTAGACAGTGCGACCGCAATTTCAGGCTTGTGATTTGGATCGGTAAAGTTGTCTGGATCTTTCTCGTGAAGCTTTTTTGCGAGTTCTTTATTCGGGTGAATCTGTAGCGGAAGGGCTTTCGCTATTGAGAGGATCTACGATCATTCGTGAGCTTTTTTTTTTTTTTCTTTTTTTGTACTGCTTAACGAAGCCAGTTTTAGTTTGGGAATAAGACGCGGATCTTACCTTGGGCAAATATGGTAGCTGGGCGTCCAGTTTCTCAGTGACCTTCTTCCCGAGGAGCTGTTCTTTGTTCCCCTGGAGCACTTCGGCCAGCGGCTCACCCGTATCTAGCTTACGAGCAGGGAAATCTGGGTAATCTCCAAACCACATCTCTGAATAGAACTCGTCATCTTTGATATGGAAACCCGTCCCGGGAGTCTGTGCGCATAGTTGTGCTGCTAAGGATTGCTTTCCCTTCTTGCCCCAGGGGTAGTTATTACAAGAGCCGCTTAGTTGGAAAACGAGTTGGGACGTCATTGCGGTGTTCGCGGCGCGTGTTAGCTTCAATTAGGGTTTAACTAGGTAATTACCTAGGGAAAGGGATGATATGATACGTTGATAGAAAATCTAAGACCGTGATTGACAATTGGTTATGCAGATTGCTCTTCTCTTGATAGGTAATAGGGAATACCAAGGTAGATGAAATAGTACAGCCTTTATTTAGCTACATGAATTGTTGTTTGCTATTATCATTGCTCTTCCATCTTTCTATATACACCTACTTGGGCACATATTTGTACTTGAAAATCATCCAACTGTAAAGGGTGAATATGCGGTATTAACATGTCGTCATAGAAGATGTTTGTAATACATAGTAGACCTCAGACATGTCATTATTATGTGTGGGGGTCTGGGGGTTTGGGGGTTTCAAAATACGTCTACTATGTACCTACCTACGCAATAGTAGGAGATACCTATCGATATCTGAGTGGCAATTCGACCTAGAGCTCCTTTGGAAAAATTACCTTCCAAATAGTAACAACGAATTAGGTTTCTTCTAGACCAGATTTCGAAAACAATGGAGAAATTTATATCAACTTCATATTTACTAATTAGTATGACATTTCTTATTTATTTCACTGTTATCTGGTAGTGTCGTTTTCTTTCTGTGGCTTGAATCGATCGTCTAAGTGCGGCTGAGCGCTAAAGCCGAGGGGAGATGCCATGGAACCTGTTTTCATGCGACTTTGCGCCGACGAAAACATACCTAAGGTAAACATCGGCTTCCTTCTATCAACCAATCTCAAGGTTGTTTGAAATCTCATACTCTTTCAATCAAAACCGACGTTCTTGGAAATGACCTTCCTAAGAATAAAATTTCAATCAAGTATTAGCCCCGTACTATGTATATAGAGAACCGGCTCCGCGCTAAAAGGGGTTCGCCTTCCAGATCTTCACCACCACCAGACTTTGTTCTCCAGGCTCCAGAAAAGCCATCGACGTCATCGGCCTAGCTAATTGGTAGAATACAAATGTCACCCTTTTATATAAGACCCAAGAATCATGGATAATTCGAAAGCTAGGCGTGTATTAGAGTGGGATCTACTCTCAGTTCCAATTTTCAAGTTCCAAGTTCCAGCTCCACGTTCTATAAGTTGCGAGAACTCCCACCACCCGATGAATCTCATACCTGAGAATTAGGCAGTTGCTGTGCGCTGATTGCATAATGTCAACCGATGATGAGCGAAAGAGAGAAGGTCCTCTGGGCGAAAACATACCTGGTACCAAGCTCACGGATGTCCTTCCCATTCCTCCAACGATGCAGCCTGTCAGTGAACCCGAGAAGCACGAAAAGGCAAACGATATAGGCGAAGAACCTACTTTATCGCATGCCTTGGCGACGACCGATTACGAAGAGAAAGGTTTAGCCCAACAAAAGCATGAAGAGGAGGTAGTTGATTTAGGTTGGAATGAGAAGAAGCACGAGATCCCAGCGCCTTTAGTCGGAGGGTTGGACAACGAAGATTTATGGCTCCTCATTCGTAGGTTTGACAAGGTATGGCACAGTCGTTCGGATTAGTGTTCGCGATTACGGAAGTGCTGATAGAATTGGCTCATCTCATCAAATAGCAAATATACCATGTCAAGGAAATTCCTACTGTGGTACCTGGAGATCTGGATCTAAATATCGCCGACGACGAGGAATTCTCTCCCGATAAACTACGCTCCAATACCGAGCGTTTTTATATGACAGTTGTGGTAGGATTACTGGCGGCTGTCAAACATGTTGCACGCTTACGATCGTGGCGCGAGACTCAACGGACATCATGCTTTTGCGCGGTAAGCCACTAGACGATGGCTATGGGGGAGTTTCCACGTTTCTGACAGGAATACACAGGCTTATTTCATCGCATGGGCGCTCGATTTACTTGTTCCGCTTCTAACATTGATTTTGGTCTCCTTGATTGTCTACCCGCGGTCGAGAGGTGTTCTATTTCCACCAGCGCCCCTTGCTTTGGTAGACACCAAAACCGGTGGCGTGCAGAAACCTAAGGCGGGCGTTCTTGGTAGTACAGAAAGCCCGACTGGAGCACCACAGAACTTGAAGGGCGAAGCTGTTGAACAGGAAGCGAGCAACTTCTTCAACAGCTTTACTTCCGTCGTAGTTACGAGCGCTACGGGGAAACATCCACAAGCATCACCCTCGGCAGAGGAAGGCTCTCCTGATAATGCCGTACCCGATCCTACGGGAATAACGGTGGCGGCTGCTGAGGCTAAAGATGTCGCAGCCGGAAGTAAAGGTAGTCCGGAACATGATAAGACTAAGGTTCCCGTCGAGACGGCAATGTGGACAAAGATGAGGCCGATTATGCACGGCATCGCAGATGTATCGGACACTTGGGAGCGATTTGCAAATGCTCTTTCTCCTACATCGCCGTTCCCAAGAGATGTATACAGACTCAGGCTTGCTGCCTTGATAGTTCCTCTCTTCCTCATATCACTCTTCGTCACGTCGTACATGTTCATGAAAGGAATGACATTTGGAGCAGGCTTCGGCTTTTTCGGGGATCCGGTTATTGCTCGCGGATTGAAGTGGCTTAACCTCGCATTCCCCCGCTGGCAGAAGCTCCTAGAGCTTCGCAATACCGTTCTCAAAGGCGTGCCAACTAATGCGCAACTGGCACTTACACTACTTCGGATAGGCGAGGCGAATAAGGCACCCCTACCGCCTCCTCCACGTATCAGCGAGCCGCCTCCCGAGCGACCTACGGAGGTAACCGACGCAGAATTACGGGCGACGGGGGCCGAACCGCCACTAAATGCGACCGAAGAGGAACTTCGAAATGCTATGGAGCACGATCCGCAGATGGCGTACGAAACCGGTGGTTCGGATATAGACGCCGCGAAGGATTCATCTAAGAATAGCAAGCGTGGAAGTAGGATCATTGGATTCTTCAAGGGAACAACAAAAGGCGCAGTGAAGGCGGTCATAGGAACCGATCACGCTCGGGCTAAGACGGGATCTCACCACGCTAGGAACCGTCTGGGCGCTGTTCCACGGCCGAACGCCAGCCGCGTTTCCGGACCCATCGACTTCAAGGGTCGCTGCAACGGCAAGAAAGGACATGTATATATCACGACGAAATCTACGATCCCCGCCGTATCATTCAGCACAGACGAAACAATCGAGAAGATCGGCTCGGCGGATCGAGAAGATTTGCATCCTTTATGGACTGTGGCAATCAACGATATCGCTGAGATTAAGAAAGTTGGTGGATATGGATGGAAGGCTAAAATGGTTGTCGGCTGGTCTTTGGGTAGGGAGGTGGCCGACGGGCTTGAGATCACGGATCGGATGGGGAACGTGCGTCGCGTTATGGCGCTACCGATGAGGGACGAATTGTTTAACCGTCTCGTGGCGATCGGAATACATAAATGGGAGGCCTGGTGAGAGGCCCAGGGCCATCAACGTCCTGGTATTTCCACGTGTCTAACAGAGAAGGTTAGTACAAAAGCATGTCCGGGCGATTGATCCATCGCTATAGATTGAGACATGACCAAGACATCTTATTTATGTATCTCGCTGAGAATGTGTATGATAACGATGTACGATATTTTATTCTAGGTCTTGTAGTCTACTTTACAATCGAGATACCAGCCAGTGACTAGAACTCTGCTGATACGGAGGATGTTATAGTCCATAGCGCTGCTTAGATTTCGAATTGGTCGTTCAACCGCTCTATTCCGTATTAGAGTGTCCGCACACTATCAAGATTTTCACAAGATTTGCGGATATGAAATAACCATAAGAGGTACCACGAATCATATCCGGTCTATCGAACAAGATCTTCAGAGTTTTGCCGGTGATGCGGGCTAAATTGAAGTCATAATGGTCATGCAGGCAAAGTGAGGTCGCAACGTTGCTAATACAGAAAATTACAGAAACAAGAAAAAAGAGAGAGAGAGAAAAAAAAAAAAAAAAAAAAAAAAGAGCCCTGCCATGATAGCATGTTCTGCTGATGCAGGTTTATAAAAGGGCGTTCGTTTCCGTCTCTCATCAACATTGGTATGTCAAAACCAGAAAAGGAATCACCCGCGGATACACCAAAAGCAATCGATTCGGCTTGGCAATATACAAAGACAGGGCAGTCATTAGCCACCTAACATAATAGCCATTTCCATGCATATTCATCTCTTAATCATAACGTCCCTCCTTTCCATTGCAACATCACAGCAATCCGGATGTGTGGAAGGAACCAATTGCGAAGCCTGCGGTTGGTATTGTAACCAAGGCTGCAGCGCACCACTGGTGGGCAGCGAATGCAATCGATGCCTGTATTGTCGGCGCGAAAGTTCTTCGTGCGGCTTCATTGACATCGGCGACACTTGGACACATGATCCCCCGAGTAAGGAGTTGTGCGCTGCTTGCGATAGGGGATGCTGGTGCCACGGGGACTGGTATTGTATGGATAATGCTACGGGCCCTCCTCCACCCTCCCCTCCTACTACTACGCCGAAGGGAATCATAGCTGAAGCCACGAATTTACCCGGAGGGGCATAGAAGGGAAGGGAAGAAGGCCAAACTGTGTGTGCATAAGTGCTTCATTCACACGGAACGAAAGTCATGGAATCTGTGTCCGAGTCTATGGGGACTTGGCTAAGGAGTAGGATGGCTGATTGATGGAATAGAGTTCGATGACCACCTAACCTAAGGTACCTTAGGAACCTACCTACTAACCTAAGAGCTACCTACCTAACACATGAGTCTATACGTATAAGGCTCGACCCTTGATGTTGTTGCAAGCTCTTCGTTGTGCATGCTTTGGTGATTCATAATGGATCTAATGCCAACGAATCTGATGTCGCAATGGAGTCTTCAATGGGCAAGTCAAATGATTTAGAGGCTCTAGCAATATATGCACCGTTATGATATTTTTTACTATTATTTTGTCTTCTCTTTTAGACTTGAAAGCGGTATCATAGGACTCCGGACTCCTGGATAGCAAACTGATCCTTTTCAGAGTCCAACACAGCCAGTGCGTCGAATGGTAAGGTAACCATCGGCGACGTATGTCCAAAATCAACATTGAATAAGATAGGGAAGCTCTTCTTGGCCAGCGGGCCATCACACAAGAGGCCTTTTATAACACTGATGTATTCTTCTCTCTCCGCAGGAGAGTCGTACCCGAACGGTCGTCCTACCACTAAGCCGGCGACTTCTTCGAATACGCCCTGAGCAATAAGGTCTGCGATGCCAGCTCTCACGCGATAGATTGGATTGCCTTTTCCATACTCCTCCCCTGTAGCCGTCTCGATAAATACGATTCGGCCCCGCCAATCCGGAACAAGGGGTTGTATTCCGTGGAGACGTGCCATAACTGTCAAACAGCCACCGAAGAGCCGTCCCTGCGCCTTACCTGGCCGGAGCCATATCCAACCGGGAGTGGAAGCGAGCTCTGTTGGCTGTGTTGATTCCGGCTCGAGGTACCAAGCAGGGAGCTTGTGCGCATACGTCAGCGATCGGGGAATGTCACCGACAGGCTCGCGATCGGCGATGACATGGAAAAGATGCTTAACAGAAAATGCGAGCGGCGACGTTTCGTCGTCGACGGATTCGGCCGCGCCAAGTTCTGGTATAATTCCTGGTCCGTAGAAGGTGCGGAGTCCCGCGAACGCATATAAAAACCAGTGCAGACCAGTGATATCGGAATAGCCTACGACTATTTTAGGGTTGGCACGAATGGCACTGTGTAAATCCCGATCGGCGATCAGACTTGGTAGAAGCTCCGTGAAGGATGGCCCGCCGATGGTGCAGATAATAGCGGAGACTTCGGGATCTAAAAACGCGGCGCGCAGCTCGGATAAGCGGTTGGTAATGGACGATTGGATGCCGTTGTCCTTATTGTAGAATTCTCGAATCTTGTAACCTCGTCCTTCCAGGACGGCAGCCCCTCGAGACATGACGGCGGGGTATTTGTCATTGAGTCGAGCCGAGGGTGAGATGAAGGCGATTGTTGCACCCGGCTCCAAGGCTTTCGGAATTATAGTGGAAGGCATTTGTTACGATATCGATAGTTATTATTGTGTTATTATTGTGTAGGATGGTAACTACCCAGGCTAGGTAGAGGTAGGTATCTAATTCTAATGTCCATCATCGTAAAGACGATTAGATGGACTGGTAAATCATGTCAAATATATAAGCCAAAGCCTTGATGGTAAACCAATAAAGGGCGTAGGTCAAACCAACGATTATGCACCTTTCAGTTAGTTCATCGACTCAATCATGATAGCGAGGTAACGTCTACCTACCTAACGTAATATAAATTCGGGATATTGTGATTCCGAAGGTATTTAATATAAAAGAAGTTCCCTAGATGCATGAATGCGTGCCATTGATTGATGATGCGTGGGGGTGCGTTGAAAAGGAAGCGGCTCCGTTCAGCTGGGAACGACAAGCTACCTGTAACCTTAGGTAACCATGTCAAGTCCGGAATCGGAGATTTCTAGATATTCGGGAAAAAAAGTGTTACTGACTCATCATTTGTATACCTAGGTACGTGATAATTCAAGCCTCAGGATAGCCTGTGGCCTACAAGGTACTTTAGGTTTAAAATACGAATTGCAGTGAAGATGTGCTACCTAACCTGAGATGTCACCTTGAGTTAGGTAATTATTTAAACTAATTACCTCATAAGAGGGAGCTGGTTACTTGGATTTAGGTAACATGGTGGATATAACGCAATTGACCCACTCTGAAACGCTTGATGAGTTGAGCATTTTCTTTTCTTTTCTACAAGATGACTAACAACCAGTAAAAAGAAAATTTCCCCTTTTCCATGGAATTCAAGGCCAACCCACTTAGACCTTGGTACGTACGAAAAAAACCACGTACGACCACAAGTACTATTTTATCAGGTATCCTATCTTAGTAGGTAAATTCACTATCCGTATAAAGTTCATTCGCGCTTCGGATTAATCGATTTGCACTTTTTATAGAGTGTATCCATATCCATATCTTGAGGGAGGATAGCGTTGGTGTAAGTGGTGGGCCACGGAACGCGTCGACAAACCCGATGTGCGAGAATCACGCGATGGCGAGAAAGAGTCTAAGCTAGGGTTAGCGGAATAGTGATAAGGAAGACGGACCGTAGCCTGTGGAGATTTTGGTCTAAGCAAGGCATGCACAAACCCCGTAGTGACTTCTGTAGTAACCCGTAGGTGCCTTCGTTTGCTTCCAAGGCAAGTTCCAAGGTTGGCAGAGGTTCCATCCGTGTAAAGCGTAAAGTGTAAAGTGCGAACGCCGCTCGAGAGATAAGAAATAAAAAGTATCAACTATTTTCCCAACCCCTTCCCTAAAAAAAAGTCTGCTTCCTCCCTAAAAACTCTACCATAATTAAGTCCCTCTACCAACTTTTTTTTTTAAACCATCCGCATTAAATCATTCTATCCCATCTCATCCGACAAGGACAAGGAAAGATAAAATCCCATACGCGTAGTATTATCGTCAACTCATCATCGTCAACAATGTCTTCCGCTTTCGTTCAGCGTCCGGCTCCGGCCTTCACTGCCACCACCGTCTTCCCTGGCGGCGAGTTCAAGGACGTTTCCTTGTCGGATTACCTTGGTCAATGGTTTGTCTCTCTATCATCTTATCCCCCTCTCTCATCCCGATCCGCCTGTCTGCGTTCCCGTCCGTAGCCTGGTTTCGCCGACTCGTTACGTGTATGAGCTTATCGTTCGATACTAATCCTCCTCGTTGATAGGGTTGTCCTTCTCTTCTACCCTCTTGATTTCACATTCGTCTGCCCGACTGAGATTATTCAGTTCAACGACGCCCTTCCCCGTTTCCGTGAGATCAACACCACCGTCCTTGGTGTATCGACCGACTCCCACTTCTCCCACTTGGCCTGGACCGAGCGACCTCGCAAGCAGGGCGGCTTGGGCTCAGACCTCCAGCTTCCTCTGGTGGCCGACAAGTCCCACAAGATCTCCCGCAGCTACGGTGTCTTAATCGAGGAAGAAGGTGTCGCCCTACGTGGCCTCTTCATTATCGACCCCAAGGGTGTTCTCCGACAGATTACCATCAACGACCTTCCCGTCGGACGAAACGTCGAAGAGACTATCCGACTTGTCCAGGCGTTCCAGTTCACCGACGAGCACGGCGAGGTCTGCCCGGCAGGCTGGCAAAATGGTAGCAAGGGAATGAAGGCTGACCCCAAGGGCAGCCTTGAGTACTTTTCTACTCAGGGTGCTAACGGAACTGGTGAGTCCAAGAAGCGTCTCAGAGTGGATTAGATCAGGAGGGTTGCTTTTTGCTTTGCGGAGAAGTTGGAGAAAAAAAGAACAAACAACTGACTTATTTAATTGGTTTAGTATAAATGGCCATGTATATTAGGGTTTTATGCATCATGCTCTGCCGATGCTTTAATGCTGGAGGAGTAATTAGACCGTGCAATCTATTCTTATAGAGAGAGCGTACGTTCTTCTATGAAGCACATAATAATAGCTAAGTTTTATTATTACATTTCGGTATTAAGTCTAGGTTCCTGCGTGTTGCATATCTTACATCTTGTCCGTGTTTTTTTGGTGGTACTATGGAGGTACTATGGAAGTACTAAGGTATGATGCGCCCGACATTCTCCAATTTGATATCTCCAATTTGGAATTGGAGAATGAGGAGCGTGAGCTCCATCAGGCCTCTTACGTCTTATGTGTGAGTATATACATATTTCAAGAATTATTCATTTTACCGAGTCTAATTTAGGTACATTTGATCATGTTCATACCTGCAACAACCCCCTCTCTCTTCGTTTCCCTTTTAATATACCCTTTCATAGGTAGGTATTTTCAAAGTCATGTTACGAGGCGGGGTACCTGTTGGCTTCCCCGCCTCCAGGACGGGCGCATGTGTAAACTTACCTAGGTACCTAAACATTAGGTACCCGGTATGATTGCGAATGCAAGTGGTAATTCAAATTCATAAGAGATTAATTACAAGCGAATGATCATAGGACGAGATCTAACAGCAGCTATGATGGGATGAAGGTGTGACGGGCTTTACCTTATGTACCTGTTATTAATAGCTAGCTGACGGAGACTGATTCAATAAGCATGTTAAGATAAAAAAAAAAAAAAAAAAAGATTTATCTAAAGAGTTAAATTACGACAGTAGAACTTCGTCGTCTGGTTTCTATAGCCTTTCGATCTGATGAGCTGGTGGACCGACCTTGTTACTTGATCCCTCATTCGCCTTAATTCGTCGCCGAGCTATTGACTTTACGAAGTGACGCCCATCTGCTCGAGCACCTTTTCAAAGCTACCTCTCCAAGTCTCCTCGACTACCTTTCCAAGTCCCACTCCGATCTCTCTCTTGAAACTGCCATCTTGGTCAAGCTGCTCTAAGGTCTCGAACACTTTGTCCATATACTCTTTCAGGGGCATAGCAGGAAAAGCCTTTTCTGGGCCGCCTTGCAGGTTGGTTACGTGGTCGCGATGTGCATCATCGAGCCCCGTGTCAACATATGGCGGGATGATTTCCACTATGTTCAGATTCTTCGCCTCTTTGGGGCCGAAACTTAGCTCCTGCCGTAAGACCTTGGCCAGCGTATGGACGCCAGCTTTGCTCGGGCAATACGTCGGGTAGAACGGGAGCGGCACGTACGCCAAAGAGGACGTCGTGACGAACAAGTTGGTCTTGTCTCCCGCCTTGGCCAATTCTAAGAGGTGCGGAATGAACAAGCGAACGAGAAGAGACGGGCCCGTCAAATTCGTATTGATCTCGTTGATAATTACTTCGGGGTCGGAAGTTGACGGGTCGAGCATGCTGTAGCTTCTCTGGACCCCGGCGTTAATCATGACGGTGTCTAGACGGGGGTAGTCCTTCAAAATGCTATCTACGTTGGGCGCGAGGCAGGTCAAATCTGCGATATCGAACTTATAGGGTTAGCCGGAATTGGAGTATGCTACCTGGGTTCGGAAGGCTTTGGTTTCTTACCTGGCGCGTATCGAGATCTTGCAGTTCTTGAGCCAACGCATCTAGCCTGTCTTTCCTACGGCCTGTAGCGATCACCTTTTTACCCAGACTGTGGAAGCGACGGACCAAGGCCTCGCCAATGCCGGAAGTGGCCCCTATGATGAGGATAGTATTGATTCTTGAAGTCATCTTGTAAAGGAGGTTGCTGAATCTGTTTTGGTTTCTAAATAGTACGTTGATTCTGGGATGCTGGAGGAAAACAAAAACCAGAACCTCGCAACTTTGCCTCTTATAGTCGGCAACGGCCCGTCGGCAGTTAAGAGTGACGATATCATAGTGGTCAGCACTCTATTTTCCATCAGGAAAATCGCGATTAAAAACACCGCATTCATCATAGATAAATATGCTGGCGCCGGAATTTAGCCTGGCTTTTATAATAAGCCCGATGGGACTGTCCTAACTCCGGTTTATCAACTACTATGTATGCTGTGCGACATTCGTACAGCTCAACTTTTGGGATCGAGATGACTGGGACGCGCCGGTGTCCGGTGTGAACCCAGCGGAGAAGATGACTCTACTTCGGAGACGCGATCATTTCTGGCGACGAAGTAAGCGACTTGGGAGTTAATATTACTATAATTAAATTGCCTTCACTGTTTAGCTAGGTAACTACCTAGACACAATAATTGAGGTATTGTTACAGATGGGAATGCTCAATCCCAACTCAAACAGATGCCACCTAGGCCGGCCTGTATGCACTTCATGAAATATCCTAACCCCTCGCCAAAATTGAGCCCAAGTGAAGAAGCAACAAATGGAAGTGAGGTAAAGAGTGTGGAATACCCAGTATGTGATACTATGTTGCCTACGAGACGGAGATTCCACTCGTTAGTATCTGGCGGCCTTCTTCCCAACCCCGGTGGGCTGCGATCTCAGCCACCGTCATTCCGGAGTCGTCTCTGACATCAAGGTCGACGCCGGCCTTATCAATAAGAAGCCTAAGGATGTTCGCATCGCCATTCTCGATGGCTTGGATGTAGGCGTTGTGGCCGCGGTAGATCTTATTCGGGTCTGCCCCATGCTTCAGGAGCAATTCAATGATCTCGGTGTCAGCTCCGCGAGCCCGCCGTAGAGCCTTCACTATAGGGAGATGCTCGCCGGGCGCATTTACGTCAGCTCCAGCTTCCTCCTAGACAGATACGATAATTAGTCATATCAGTAAATCCATAAATACATTTGAAGGTATGAGATGAGGAAAGAGAATCGGCTTACAAGCAAGAAATGCACTATTTCCTTACGATCTTCGCGGATAGCCGTCGTTAGAGGAGAGAAAACACCTCCATTGCGGTCCTCTACGCTTACACCTGCCTTGAGGAGCAACTTGACGCTCTCTAGCTGGTTTGCCACGACAGCCATTTCCATTACACCTTTGAAGGCACGCGGTTCAGCCAATGCCGGTAGTAGGCGCTTCAGGATCGCGGGCTGGTGTACTGCCATGCATACGGGCCAATCTTCTCCTCTGACGTTGGGGTCGGCACCACGGGATAGGAGAAGATCCTGTTAGGCGTCGTCAGCAACTGTCAAGTGCTTGGGTTGATACCTAGGTAGGTGTGCTCACCACCAAGTCAGGACGGTTCTCGCGGATCGCCGTAGTCAGAGGCGTAGCACCGGTCTTGGGCGCCTTGTCGTTAGGCGATACCTTCCCTGTGTCTAAAAGCCAGTATAACGCCTCTACATTTTTGAACTGGACAGCAGTCTCGAGAATTCCCTTTGGCGTGTTCAGGTCAGCGCCTGCGGCTACGAGCGGCGCCAGATACTCCGTCCTGTAATGCGTTACGCACTTGAACGCGGGATATTCTGCGCTCGGCACATTCGGATCTACATAGTTGTTGAGTACGAAGTTAGAGAATTCCTAATGCGGTAGATACTTTTGCAGAGGACCATGAAGAAAGTTGTGGCCGACGTGAAAATCATGCAGGAAAAGCTCACCTGCGCCATTCGCGAGAAGAAGATCCAATATATCGCTTCTATTGTCACGGATAGATGAGCAGAGTGGCGTATAGATGCCGTCCTTCTTGGAATTTGGGTCGACTCCGGCCTTTAGCAGTACACGAACCGCTTCTATGTTGTTAATAGATGTCGCCAATTCCATAACCCCGGGGGCTTTCTTAGGGTCAGCGCCCCGTGCGAGGAGTAGTTCGAGAATGCGAGGTAGCCCTGCCGCAGGCCAAAGCTTCGAAAAGTTAGCATTCCATACGAAGTATAATAGGGAGGCGAGATAGGATAGAGAGCTTTATATACCATATGCTTCGGCCCAGGAAGGTTGGGATTGGCGCCGCGGTCTAGAAGGCTTGTTACAATTTCAATGCGATTCGTCTGAATGGCTTCGAAAAGGGGGCTATGACCTTCTCTGTTCTTCGCGTTCGCATCGGAACCGTAGTCAAGCAGCATATCAATAACCCTTTTCGTTCCCTTTCTTATTATGGCTGTCAATAACGCGGTATTTCCGTTTGTCATGATATGGTTAACATCGCCTCCGTAGGTGAGGAGAAAACGAACGAGCTCAGGTTTGTCTTCGGCGACGGATATGGCAAAGGGCGTCTCTGACTGCGGGCCAGCCGCAAGGTTAGGATCTGCTCCGTATCTGGAGTCGAATAATACCCGTTAGTGAATTGCATTTCTCAGATTGTGTAGGTGCCCTGTCCTCCTTTTTTCACTTACTTGAGTAGCATTGTGACGGCATCCCGAAAAGATTCTTCAACTGCTAAAATCAAAGGGGTTACATTGCGGTTATCTGGAGTATTGGGGTCGGCTCCGAAGAGTAGGAGAATGCGGACGATTTCTACGTCGTGACGCATAATTGCCCGGTTGAGGAGATGAGCCTCCGGGCTGCTCTCGGGAGAAACGCCTCGGTCCAGTAGCTGTTCGACTACCTGATGGTTTCCCGAATCCACAGCGGTAAGCAGAGCTTCCCTTAACGCTGGCGTATTTGCTCCGGCCGTATTCCGCGGGCCCCATCGAGGCATTATATGGGGTTCGGCCTTCAATCGAACGACTTCATACGGCTCGAACGAGTCCAACTCTTCGATAAGCGTATCCACCTCGGTGTGACCCCCCGAGTTCACCGTACTATGCGCAATTGATCGGTCCATAGTTTCAACTGTATAAACTACACGTTCTCGGGCACCACGAGAGGACGCCCCGCTGCGTACGGTACAATTTGATATCGAAGGTTCACGGTGTATTTCGGGGAGGAGATGCGGTCCTGGACTGTGTACCTCGCGCCCCCTTAGAGATGAATGATATGAATGATCCGTAACCGAACCTTTGCTGTTGGAATATGGTATGGGCGGCATAGGCCAGATAGGTGAAACTTCGTACACTTGGTTACTAGCCACCGTGGTGTTGCTGTGAGACTTCACTCCGGTAATGTTTGTCGTAGTCTTATTTCTGGACATGCGGTCTAGAGCAGCGGCAAGGCCCGTGTAGCCAATTCCGACGGACTCATCTACCTTGGCATCGCCAAGGGACCATTGAAATACGAGAGCGCTCATTCTTAGAGCCTCCCGGGTCTTAAGCAGATTGTTTCTCAGCTTTTCGACGTCGTTATCCGCGAACATCTTGCGCCATCCTTTTTGGATCTTCCCCATTGTGCCCTTCTTCTCATAGTCTAGGAGCCGACCTAGCACATGATCGAGTGTTTGAAAATCGGTATGAGCGGCTTTGAATTTCTTTTCAAGTTCCGCAATCATGTCATGCGGGAACGTCTGATTAGTTCTAGAAAATTCAGTCAATCCAGCTTCGAGCGACCACATTATTCGGCACGTCTCTAGGAAATCATGCGCTAGCTCGTAGAACTGATGACTTTGCTTCTCTACGGTTCCCACATACTCGAGCATGTGGATGGATATCTTGTTCCCGAGGACTGTAGTCTTATGGCATACGCCAACTACCGATTCGATAGAGAGGCCCATGACCGCGAGAAATCGACCTAGCCTGGTAAGCGTACCTAAGGTGATATGTCTGTTAACGATGAGGGTTGGACTTGGTATACGCCTGCAGTTTTGCTTCAAATAAGTGGTAGGTATGTTGGCAAGAAGGAAAGATCTGAAATTAGATTCAAAGGTTCTTGTTGGGTGATCACCAACCCAAGAGGCCTTTATCTGAAAAGCTACATAGTATTAGCAACCCCCATCTCAGCTCTGTGGGCCCATTAGACTTCATCGGAAATATGGAAAAGCATGAATCCTGTCTACGATGTTTCCACGTGGTATGTGGTTACTAATCTTGCTCTTGCGCCAGTTAATATCATCGACTAATACTATGTAGGCCGTCGATACAGGTTTAGCTACGCTTTACTATGTATGTGTCAAGGATCAGCCCTGTAGAGCTCTCCTTATAAATCTAATCTGACAAGCAGATCGAGATGATTCTGATAGTTTTGTGCTTGAAGTAGTGTGGAGTCTAGATGCAGGTACGAACGGACGTTCTAGTATCGCCCCCAGACTCGCAACACTCCACATCGTGTGCATGTGAAAATAATTTAGTATAAGGTTGAATACCTTACGTACCTCCTACTCATACTATATTTTATTATCATTCTTATGCCATAGCAGTAACGCCTCATATAGCGAATATCTAACTTACCTAGGTACTTCATAAGGTAGGTAAATAAGTTGCAATTAATGATACACTTAACTATGTTGACTCTATCAAGATGTAGGTACCTAGGTAGTTTCTGAGCCCCATTTACGTTGAAACCAAGCCATATGCAAAGTCAACTATAGAATATCTCTCAAGATTCAAGATTTAATGTAATAGTGAGGTTTGGTAATATAAGGGTAAAGAGTCTTATCTGTATGTAGATGTAGATCGAATCCAAGTAAAGGAAACCCTGTTTCAATGCTCTCAAGGTTTTATCACACTAAAATCTGCATCGGCTTCGAATCCGGCCCCAAACAACGAGGTGCTGGTCCCTTGGTGATTTAATAGTTACGGAAGTTTTGCCCAGGCTGGCGTAGCCTATCCATTTCCCTATAGTCTAAAGTCAAAGCGTCATTATATAATATCGTCGCAAGGACTCTTCAGCTAGCTACACTCGATTAGCTAGATTGAATTCAGAGTAGCATCGGACACCTTAGCTTCTAACAGGGATTTGCATTCTTCCTTCCTCATTTATATAGTACACTAGGGCTGCACCGAGACGGCGAGACCTAGGTGGTTTGAACTTACGCAAAGCACGCGCTTAAGAGTTTCACTTTGGGTCTCGACTATGCGGCCGCTTTTGCATAATATCACACCGCGTTGAGGAAAGATTGAATATATCTAAGCGCCGTAGAAATATTAGAGAATTTATTGCTTTCTATTACCTTCGGGACTTGAGGTTTGCGCTATTCTTGATTCAAAAGTTTTGCTCGCCTTCGTGATTGTACCTAGTACGATAGCGTCTAAAAGCGTCAAAATTTGGTCATTCTCCCCAGTGTCTTATACTTTTGTCTAGATACGTAAGGTACCAAGGTAGGTAACCTATAAAGACTGGCGCATGCCATTATTCGAAAGGGGAAGTCGCCCCAGGAAGACTCGGGAATGTTTCTTCGAAGCGGAACATGAATTGGAGTAGGGTATCTTCCCTTCCCCCGCGAGCCAGCGCAAAGTGTCCGAATGGTTGCCCAACTTCATTCAATCTGCCCAAAGTCACAGTCCCAATCGACCATCCAGCCCAGGCTGCGTAAGAGACCAATGTTGAATTGGATGGAGCTAGGATGATATCAAGACCCATTACCTTGCATCTTCTAAGGCGGTGTGCTGAAGCATAATGCAAAGTTCACGACGTCGATCCCCCGTCATGTCGTTATCACAGGGCTTAATTATTCCAGTTTGGGTTTTATAGGCTACATAAACAAAATGTTCAAATCGCACTCTTGGCTTATAACATAATAAGGAGTGGTAGGTAACATGGCAATGTTCCTCGTTCGACTTGATAACATCGGCTAGTGATTCCATGCCCGAGTTGTGTTCGAAGTTGGCTAGAAATTCCTTCAATTCCCAGGGAACTCATAATCTGGTGCTTATCAGTAAAATTGACTTGTCTTGAGAGTGTATGAAGAAGTGTTTCCGTATAAGCAACCATGCTAGGTTTTCAGCGCCAACGCATAGTGTTACCGTCACCAATATTATTCAGAGGGTATGTTATTTTGGTTCCTTTGCCTTTAAGAATGAGAGGAACGTTTTCATATGTAGATTTCTGTGCTCGAATTAGTAAGAGGTTTTTTTTTTTTTTTTTTTTTTTTTTGCTTAATCTAGGGTCTGCACGCAATGAGAAAAGGGGGTCGCAGGCGTGAGATGTACCATTTCTTCTCGGCGCCACTTCTCTGCGGCATGTGCTACACCCCAATAATTGGGACTATGTCGACACCAAGTCCTTCCCAGGATCCTAACGTTCGTGAGGCCATGCCATATGGTGTCGTTTCGGACGAAGCCTCTTTCTTTATAATGATCTTAGCGAGCAGAGCGAGATCGGTAGGCGTTCTAGCTAGAACACCAATAGTATCGAACGACTCGCTCAGTTCAAATACTCCTTCAATTGAAACTGAGCCTAGGGTAAGTTCCATTCCGTATAAGTCGCAGCAAGATGCAGGATAGACGGTTGGGCCAGCTGTCTCTGCTTCGATCGCTAAAGGGCAAAATCCAGTAGCAATGGTGCCCGCCGGACCAGAGGACGAACCCCCAGAAGTTTGTAGGCTGATTTACCAGAATTGTCCTTCGAGTTTATATGGATACTCACGGGCTGTTTCTCATCTTCTAGATTTGGCAATCTATGTGTGGAAAGTGTCTGGCCCATATACGCGCTCCAGCTGAGAGGAGTATCCTTCAATCTGAATAGTTAGTAGATGTTAGCTGAAGTTGTTCTCTGTGAAGCCTAGGGGAAGATGACAAACTTGAGACCAAGAAGCTCCCGTGACATATTAGAATATACCAGGTAAAAGGACTTGGCTTACGAATGCGCCCTGGATATTTGCCGTTAACTTGCCCTTTCCGAGGATGATCATGCCGCCATCGATAAGCTATAGGGACGGTGAGTTATTTGATCTAACCCTATTTTCTTAACCTATATCAAGCTATACCTGATTTACGAGCTGGGCGTTACCCTTTGCGCGCATTCTAGCGAAGCAAAGCGATCCTACAGTGTCGGTATTCCTAATTCGAGGCCAGTAACAATGCAATCTTATGCCACGCACGTATTAGAGTTATTAGGGCAGACTTCTTTCGAGACGTCTTGCTTATATACCTTGACAATAATGGATATTCCGTGTATAATGTTTCTTATCTTGTCATCCTTCCTCGCCGCGTCGAGACGGTTTGCCCTTTCTCAAACTAAACTGCGATCTAGAATAATAGATATAACCGCATTAAGACGCATTCCATTGAGTTGTGTCTCTCTCGATCTGATTCATGAACCCCTTAACAAGACGAACACTGGTGACTTCGCTAGCTTCTAGCTGCTGTGTAGTGTGGTAGCAGAAGCTGTTAATAGCCTGTGATGGTGTTGAGTTCTATGCGTGCTTACTCTAAAACTTGCCGTTTCTCTGTCGTGGCGTAAAGTTGTTAGAAGTAATTTATCTTCACCTGTCTCCTCACTTTACCTATCTGCCTACCCTGACCTCATATTGAAAAGAGACTCATAATTTGGTATCTTAACTCCGGCGGGGAACTTCCTTGTTGAGGATAGGTTATCTTACAACCACGTTCCCGGCGGAATCCGATAAGTTTGCGGCCTTGTGATATGCAGAGCTTTGCGGGGAGATCAGATAACCCGCTTTCCTTCAAAACATTCGGCATCGAACGGCTACCTAGCCTAAGTCCTGATAATTATTCCGTTGTGTTTGCATCCAAGATCGACCGACCCTTTCGGATTGGCAAGCCATCATTTACAGAATGGCGCAAACTTATCTCATGTGGGTTGGGGGTAAAGAAGAACCAGGCGAGGGGGAGTTGTAAGTTGGCATTAATTCGGCCAATTGCTAGCACAGAGTAATAGATGTTTTGTTGTTAATGAATGGGATAGATTACCAGTAGAAGACCCCGCGACTGGGGAAACCTTTGCATTGTAAGTTTTCCCATATTCCACAGCTATGCAATGTTATGAGTATACGTAACCTAATTGCGTTCTTCTATTTCTGACTAGTTGTCACACGGCATCGGCGTCAGATGTCGAGCGCACTGTCGGTCTCGCCCAGGAGGCTTTTAAATCAGGCATCTGGTCCAGGTCCTCGCGCCACCACCGCGCCGATATTTTAGACAAATCTGCAGCGCTTCTCACGGCGTCTCTGCCGAGTCTTATCGCGCTCGAAGTGCGTCAGACCGGCCGGGCGATCCGCGAGATGAACGCTCAGGTTCCGTCGTTAGTACGCTGGTTTAAGTACTATGCCTCGCTTCTGCGTGTGGAGGAGCAGCCTGTCTTACCGACAGCGGGAAAATTGCACAATTTTCTGCAACGCGTGCCGCTCGGTGTTGTGGTACAGATTACCCCTTTCAATCATCCCTTGCTTATTGCTGTGAAGAAGCTTGCGCCCGCACTGGCCGCTGGAAATAGCGTCATCGTGAAGCCGAGCGAATTAACACCATTATCGACATTGCTACTTGGCCGGATCCTGAAAGAGGCTGGGGTACCCGATGGTGTTTTTAACGTTTTACCTGGATACGGCGTCACCACCGGAAAGGCGCTCGTGCAGCATTCCCTAGTGAAGAAAGTAGACGTCACAGGAGGGACGGTGGCGGGGAAGGAGATCGGGAAAATCGTTGGAGGAAATCTAGCAAGATATACGGCAGAACTTGGTGGAAAGGCGCCTTTGGTCGTATTTGACACGGCAGATGTTCAAATGGCTGTGAATGGAATTACGTTCGGTAGTTTTATTGCCAGCGGACAAACCTGTATTGCAAGCACGAGGATTATTGTTGACAACAAAGTCTTGCCGCAGCTGCTAAAGAAGCTAAAGGCGAAGACGGAGTCGATCACACGGCGTATGGGTGCACCCAGCAACCCGGAATCAATGATGGGGCCGTTGATCTCGGCAAAGCAGCTCGACCGAGTTGAGGCGTTAGTAAACGACGCTGTAAACAGTGGCAAGGCGAAAGTGGTAATAGGAGGAGGGAGGATGCGTGGTACCAGCTCGCTAGATGGGACTGACTTCTCTAAAGGGTACTTCTATGAACCTACTATCCTTGTCTCTAAAGAGGGCGATGACATTATCGAGACTTGTATTTGGCGTGAGGAGGCCTTCGGTCCTGTAATTGTGGTCTTGGGGTTTGACACAGAAGATCAGGCTGTCAAACTAGCTAACCAATCTGAGTTCGGCCTCGGGGCCGGAATCTGGACCCAGAACCTGGCGCAAGCTTTCCGGGTCTCGGAGCAAATTGATGCCGGAATCACCTGGGTAAACACGCATCATCGGAATGACCCAAGTAGTCCATGGGGCGGTGCTAAGCCGTCGAGTGGTGTCGGAAGCGAGAATGGCACGGATGCTTATAATGCGTATACGCTGATTAAGAGCGTGATCATTAGTTATGCTTCAACTGAGGAGTCACTCGTGACGGATGATTGGTTTAGCGACGGGACGGGACCTGTTAGATACGGCTAGGGGTCGGGATAGATGATATTTGGGGTAGAATTTGGCATAACCCGTGTGTCGATTTCATAGTAGTGTTTTTTTTTTTTTTTTTTTTGATCACTTGGGTCCTTCACCCTTTACTATGCATGAATAATAAATAATAAACTCGGCTACAAATGTAATAACATCGTACGATACTGCACGCAGCATCTTTACTCCGCTTGGGTTGAAAATCTCAATAGGAGCGAAGCTATGTAAAAGGGGAAAAATGGTTTTTTTTTTCCTCAATCACTCATGCTCAAGAGAGAGCGATGTGGCTCATGAGTGGCACACTCAAAAGATGGCGGGCATTAGCATGTACTTAATACTTATCCCACTCCTTAGTGGATCTTACAACCGTACCAACTTCCGCTCGTTCTTGTAAACCGTTAATTCACCGTCTATTCACCATTTATTTATTTTTTTCATTAAAAAAAATTCCAACTTCTTGAACGTTGAATAACTTTGGCAAGCGTTCAAGAAGATCTCAGATATTCGAAGTGCTTTCAAACGTTTATATTTTTAAATTATTAAAATTTAATGAAGAATTTAATCTTTTAAACGTTTGAATTGACTTCGAACGTTTACGCGTTTACGAAAAGGGGTACAAAAGCCTCAACGGGAGCCACGGGAGCTAACGGGAAGGTATATTAGGTACGTATATACGTACAAACGAGCGTACAAACGCAATTAGAAGCAGTAGGATTCTGAGGCTATTGAAGATTCTACAATTCTACGATGCTACGATGTTACGATGCTACGTGATGAGGCTACGTGATGAGGCTACGGGGCTACGATGACTCCTGGGTCCTAGGTCCTGGCTACAGTGGCTTGGCTGGCTGGCTGGCTGGCTGGCTGAGGGTTGAAACTTAGAAGAAAAGAAAGAAGAATCGCTTTCAAAGGAGGGAGGGAGAGGCTTTTATATAGACGATTCCGAAGACTTAATCAGCTAGGCCTCTTGCCAGGCCTCTTGCTACCTACCTACCTAGGTACGTACGTCAAGACGTATTGGATCAAGGTAATAGGGACAACGGCAAGGAGATAAACGCCTGAACGTTCGAAAGCCTTTCGAACGTTTGAATCATTTAAATGATTAAAAATATCTAAAGTATTAATATATTTAAGTATTTCAACCCCTTTCAAACGTTTATTATTAAAAGCGTGTCAAACGCTACTTTTATATAAATATTTAAAATAATAAATATTAATAAATATTAACTGTAAAAAGACGGTTTATAATTACGAAACGGTTAACTGGTTCCAGCAGAAGTTGGTATGGAACCTTTACATTGCAGTGCAGTTATGTAATCGGGTAGGCTTCGTTCACTAACTAAAAAAACGTTACCAATACAACATCAATTTGTCCACATAACAACATCAAGAATAATTACAAAGATTCCATGGCAGTTAGTGATAACAGCGGAGTTAAAAGGTTTTAAGTTTCCGACGACGAAAGTAAGCAAGCAAGCGGAGCTCTCGGTTTCCGTGCGGATTTGTTCGGACACACTATTTAGAGGTTCATAAGTGGTACTGGAAACGCGAATAGGCGCGTTGGAACTGGCCAAGTTACAAATCAGATTTTAGGAAGTGAAGAAAGATGTAAACGCGACTTAAAATTGATCACCCATTGGGTACGGTACTTCATCTATCCGCATTTCACTTGGATCTGTTACTAAATTTCGAGAACGGACTCGGATGTTTTCCGTCCTGGAGAGATTAGATACCTCCTAGGCCGGATGTGTTAATTGTTAAGCTATACAATAACTTCCAGCGGAGTTATGGTCTTCGAATAAGTACTCATATAACCCTATTGCAGGGGTTAGTTATCTTGTGGGTAACTACAGTACATATACTACGAGGTAAGTGGCTAGGTACCCAGTTATCAAAACTCAGGAATAAGCCATAGCCTACCCGATACACGATGTCATTATATTAGGTGTAGAGAATAGACTAATTCCACATTTCACTTGTTCTATATTAGGTGCCCGAGCAGGTACCTAACTGTCAACAGCGTCAAAATAAGGACATAAAGTTGGGAATCCCCACATGTTTTAACAGCTCCTATGCGCTATCGCCGAGCTTTATGACGCTCGAGTCGACGGCGGAGCAACTACATTCCGATTATATGACTATCCCGGACCCGTGAGTTGTAGAAAAAGTAGGTAGAGGCTCGATCAATAATACGTATAGTCTGATAGTTGATGTATAAATACAGGCAGGCGCCTAACCCAAACATCACTTATTATTATTATCTTGTAACAAATAACACAGACCGTTCTACAGTTTCAAGACCTACTAATTTACCAATTGTTACATATTCTGAATCTACCTTAGGTAGCTGTTACCCTTAATTCGACTATGACCACCGAATCTCCGGTTCCGATTCCCGAGGCACCACATCTCCCAATCCTGGGATATGTGACAGGTGTTGACCCGGAGAACGCAGTCCGTTCCTTCACTAGATTCGCAGAAAACTACGGCGAGATCTTTCGAGCGCACGTACCAGGGGTTAGCTTAGTATGGGTCAGCACATATGCTCTACTCAACGAGTGTTGCGACGAAAAGAGATTTGGGAAGAAGATTAATGATGTACTAGCTCATCTCAGGAAAGGCTTAAACGGTACTGTCATGGCGAACACGTAGTCATAGGTTATACGTTACTAATATCCATTCAGATGGGTTGTTTACGGCAACGAGTGATGAACCGAACTGGGGCATTGCTCATCGCGTCCTGATGCCGGCTTTTGGACCCAAGGGTATCCGGGACATGTTCGACGAGATGAAAGACATAGCCTCTCAGCTTGCCCTAAAATGGGCCAGACATGGACCACACGCAAGGATTAACGCACCTGAAGATTTTACGCGACTCACTCTCGATACGATAGCTCTTTGCTCTATGGGATTCAGATTTAACAGTTTCTACTCCGAGAACCTACACCCCTTTGTCAACGCCATGACAGAATTTCTTCTTGAGAGCGGTCGTAGGGCGCAAAGGTTACCACTTCCTTCATTCGTCTATCGGACACGAGACAAAGCATACGAATCTCACATAGCTGTACTTGTCGATACCGCCCAAGCAGTCCTGAGTGAGCGCCTCGCAGACCCGGAGAACGATCGAAAAGACCTCCTCTCCGCTATGATTAAAGGGCGCGATTCGCTCACCGGGCAGAAGATGAGCGATGCGTCTATTATCGACAACTTGATTACATTCTTAGTTGCTGGCCATGAAACTACGTCGGGCATGTTATCATATGCTATGGTAAGCTTATCCTTAATCTATATTCGTCTCTCTTCCTTGTCTGTTTTCTCATACCTTCCGAGTACCTACTGCATGCTTGTACCGCGAATAAACTTGGTGAATGATTTACCTAATCTATCACCGAATCAAGCGAGATTTCTTTGCGATTGCTAGACAATTCCCTGGATTCCTTGCTAACATATTATGTCGCCTTTTATAGTATAGATTATTGAAAAACCCCGACGCTTACCGGAAAGTGCAAGAAGAAGTCGACCAAGTGTTAGGCAAAGGTCCTGTAACAGTACAGCACATGCAAAAGCTCCCATACATCACAGCAGTATGTCATATCTCCCTCCAGTCGTGTAATAGGCACCCCCTCGGGAACGTCGAGCTAACTGTAATAGGTTCTCCGAGAAACACTACGCTTGGATGCGCCCATACCAGTGTTTTCAGTTAGCCCCTTGGAAGACACTTTACTCGCAGGAAAGTACAAGGTTTACAAGGGAGAATTTATTCAATGTCTCCTTGGTAAAACGCAAACCGATCCAGCAGTCTTCGAGGACCCCACGGCTTTCAAACCGGAAAGGATGCTTGATGAAAACTTTAGCAAATTGCCAAAGAACGCGTGGAAGCCATTTGGTAATGGTGCCAGAGCTGTAAGAAACCCAGTTTCATTCCCTTTTCCATGTCCTGAAGACCATGTTTGATGTATGGAAGACCCTATACTAACCGACGAAAAACAATCTAGTGTATCGGTCGAGCATTCGCGATGCAGGAGGCAATTCTTACCATGGCCATCCTGTTCCAAAATTTCAATTTCGTCCTGGCTGATTCAGACTACGAGCTGAAAAACAAGCAGACCTTGACTATGAAGCCTGATAATTTCTTCATAAGGGCTATATTGCGCGACGGGTTAGATCCTGTCAAACTGGAGCACCGACTTTCCGGAACTGAACAAAATTTTAATAAGCCGAAAACACGCACGAACGGCTCAAACCACGAGCATGAGAGTCATGATCGGCAGCTGACTATCCTATACGGCTCTAATAGCGGCACATGCGAGTCAATAGCCCAGCGTTTGGCTTTTGATGCCGCATCCTACGGATATAGAGTTTCCACCCTAGATTGTATGGATGCTGCTATGGAAAAGCTTCCAGAAAATCAACCTATCATCATAATAACGGCGAGTTACGAAGGACAAGCTCCCGATAACGCGGCCAATTTCGTTCATTGGATCGAAAATATCAAAGACAAGTCAGCTCTGTGCGGATCATCTTACGCGGTTTTTGGATGTGGTCACCATGATTGGTCGCAGACATTCCACCGAATTCCTAAACTTGTAGATACAAGGCTAGAAGAAATCGGCGCGACGAGGATCACAGAGTTGGGCCTTGCGGACGCCGCCCAGGAGGATCCATTCGTTGCTTTTGATACCTGGGAAGATGTAAGTGCTTGCCAATTAAGACAGTTTGAAACCAGCATTGAAGTCTATCAAAGATAGGAGCTGTCTCGGCTCATTATTCTATACATTAGGTACCTAACCTACCTGTTATACTTACGCTAACGTGTCCAGGTGCTCTGGAAAGCCTTGGATAACTCAGGGACTGGCCAGGAATCGAATGTATTACTCAAAACGCAGCCCACATCACTGACGGTAGAGATATCTAATACACGACCGGCGATACTTAATCAGAGCGTGGAGGAAGGACGCGTACTCGCGACCAAGCTCCTTACAGCGGATGGCGAACCCGCGAAGAAGCACGTAGAAATACAGCTTCCCGCCGGCGTTAATTATGCACCCGGGGACTATCTATCCGTTTTGCCTATCAATCCCAAGGAAACGGTCCATAGAGCCATGCGTAGATTTGGATTGCCGGTAATGTGGCCAATTTCCTTTTTACCTATGATCATTGATACCTCTCATCCCCCGCCATATTTAATATCTAGTACCTCATTTTTTTTGAGCCTTTGACTAACTCGTCTTCATCACCTTGATAGTGGGATACAAGCATCAAAATCTCAGGTGCTGGCATAAGGCTACCTACTGACGAACCGGTCCCTGCTAATAGCATATTGAGCGACTTTGTCGAGCTCGCCCAGCCGGCCACCAAAAGGAATATTCTCGCACTGGCCGATAAAACAGAAAGTGAGGAGGACCGTCAAGCACTAAAGAAGCTGGCGACGGAAAGCTACGACGCAGAAGTGTTAGCAAAGCGAGCATCCATATTAGATTTGTTGGAAATGTTTCCTTCAGTCAACTTAAGTTTGGGATCTTTTCTAGCGATGCTACCGCCTATGCGTCTTCGCCAATAGTGAGTTTTCCTTACATCACTCCCCAAAAGCGCGTTCAAAGCATTAATAGGGAAAACAATAGTTCTATTTCCTCATCACCCTTGGAGGATCCCCTGAAGGCGTCTATCACTTTTTCTTTAGTTTCGGGACGCGCCAAATCTGGCCGGGGAAATTATATTGGTGTAACGAGCTCCTATCTGGCCAGCCTCGAAGTCAACGACAGGCTCCGAGTGTCGGTACGGCAGTCTCATATGGCATTCCATTTGCCAGACGCACCGGAAGAGACACCGCTGATTCTCATTGCAGCGGGAAGTGGCATAGCTCCGTTCCGCGGGTTTATTCAGCATCGCGCTGTAATGATCAGATCAGGTCGGAAGTTGGCACCAGCTGTGCTTTATCATGGCTGCCGGGAACCAGGCAAGGATGATATTTATTCAGAAGAGTTTGACGAGTGGGAGAAAGCTGGAGCCGTCACGATCAAGCGTGCCTTCAGTCGAACGCCAGAAAAGTCGGACGGATCCAAATACGTGCAAGATATCGTATGGGCAGACCGACTTCATTTTCTTCAGTTGTGGCGAGAGGGCGCACAGCTCTATATCTGTGGGTCACGAAAGGTCAGCCAGGGTATTGAAAAGGTTATTATAAAGATGCGACAAGAAGAATCGCAGCTTAATGGCGAGCATCTGAGTGACGAAGATGCGAAGAAATGGTGGGATGAGTTGAGGAATATTAGGTATGCTACCGATGTGTTCGACTAGAATGGCGTAACATTCTCACGGATCATCGCGGGGGTGTACTGAAAGGCTTCCGCAATGTCTTAAAATAGCACGAATCTCTCATATCATTAATACAAATACTCAACTCAATAAAGATATCCTAGATTGAAATAGCGCATGCATACATAGTCTCATATGTACCTAGTATACCATGGCCGATTCAAATTAAGGCGGCAGATGGGGGTAGTCTTGCGGCGACGACCGGAGAATCCTTCGTAAGCGCCTCCCAATTGTGAGCAACTAAAGCGGCTTCGCGGCTCTTCAGGACAGCATCAAGGGTCCGCGGCAGCATCTCAGCTTCGTAGGTGTCAATGGCTACCTCCTGATCTATTTCACACCTATGTATCTTCTTCAGTTGGTCTACTAGTAACGCTGCATCCAGAATCCCGTGGTTTGCTCCTTCGCCACGGTACATGGTCATAGCATGAGCGCTATCTCCGGCGAGTGTCACGCGCCCCTTGCGATTGTCCCATTTTCTAGGAGGATAGTCTGCTAGTTTGAAGGCAGTTGTGGGACTTAAATCGTCAGGAATATCCATTACGATGCTTCGGAGGGGTTCAGCGAAATCGTTGGCACGCTTCTTCATAAGTTTTATCCGCTCCTCGTGGGTATCTGGTATGGCATCTGAAAGTGAGTCTCTCACGATCCAAGAGATTATGACTTGCGCGTCGAAGGAACGTTGGCCGTCTGGTTCCTCAAAGCAATCCTATCATGCTGACTGTTAAAGAGCGAGTCAAAGTTAAGAATTGAAATGACTCACGTGTATACTATACCATAGGTAATTTCCAGTTTTCGGGTGAAGACCTTGGAAGAGTAGCGGGTCGAGCGCTCGAACTGAAGCTGCTTGTTCCGGACTGAAGTGGCGTATTACGCCTATAAGGCTCACTGGCAGAGGGTGTAGAGCGTAATCGTTAGGAAGAAGATGCTTGCGAACGTTGCTATTGCTTCCGTCGGCCCCTATTAAAATTGTCCCGTCCGCAAAAGTGCCATCTTCAAAATGCGCCCTAACCCCACCCTCGAATGTTTCCACCGATGCCAACTTTTTGCCTTCTTGGATATTGATTCCGCTTGCAAGTATGGATCTTAACCTCTTTCGGTTCAATCTAAGTCGAGTTTTTGAAGGCGGAATCTTATAGCGAATCTCGCTTAAGGATGTCGTCTGTTGTCAGTATGGAGCGTCGAGAAAGCATTGGAGGGAGGACTAACGCTGTTTCGCAATTGAAGAACAGAAAGTCACCTGCATCGTTGCTTAATGACCCGTCAACTGTGGCCTGTTACCGCTTGGTGATGAGAGACAATGTATACCACTCAGGTACCTAAGGTATGTACAATACCTAGGAGGAAGATTTACATACGTCGGAAACCCTACTCGCGACTCTTGAACCAACAGTTCTCTTTAGAGAGCTTAAACACCAGTGCAGTGTTAAGGCCCAACCCTGTCTAAGATTTCCTGTCAAGGTGCAAACAATCAGGAGCTTTTCGCTTTAGAAGACAGCGATTACTTACCCTCTGTCGACTTTTCGAAAACGGTGTAAGGTATGTTATTCTCGCGACATCCTTGAGCTATGGTGAGGCCAACGATTCCGCCGCCCACAATCAAAACATGCATCCCTGAAGGGTTTTTTTTTTTTTTTTTTTTTTTGCTTAGGTAGGTATGTCAGAAATAAATGGGATAATTATTCGAGAAGATCTTGGCGAGCTTCATCTATATAGCTACTATGCCATTACTCTGGTAGGTATTAGCTATACATTGGAAACCTGATCGCATAGAAGTGGGGAAATCGTGTTTGATTCAGTGAGGCACTGAATGAATAGCCTCTTTTTATCCAGTAGCCAGCAATTTAGGTACCTAGGTACCTACCTAACCTAGTAATAATATCATCATGTGCGAGGTTTGTTTCTGCAACGCAATATCGGACCTCTCTCCTACTCGCTAGCGAAAGCGTGTATTGCTGATGCTCGGTGCAATGACAGGATACGGATTGGAAAACCCCGCATATGTGAGGTGATAGTTCATAAAGCTCATATCCCCTTAGTATGTACGGCGGGTGAGCTGGTTGTCCTAAATGCGTTCGCCCTCCGGACAACAACAGAGAGGGTAGTTGTTTGCTAACTTTAGTGGGTAGTAACATATCATTATCACCTTGCAACAACGACGTTACGTCTGGAAGTTATCTGGACGGGAAAATTAAGGGGCACTTGTGCCACAATCTGTAAACATGTTCGATGAAGCTCAGACAATAAACTGGCTATATAGTAAGGAGTTGAACAAGTAAATTTATTTAGCAAGGGGTGATTGTTCTGCTGTAGGCATTTGGCTCCTTGAGTTACTTGTTTAGAAATGGTGTCTCGCGTTCATTGGACCAATTACGCACCTTAGGGATCTGACTTGGGTAGGTGGATTTGCCATAACTTGCAAGTTACCTACCTACTTAAGGTAGTAAGGTAGGAAAGCACCTAACCAGAAGGTACCTAGGTAATGAGATATACATAGATATCGTTGTTTTGAGGCTGTTACCTCTGTAGGTCGATCGGTGAACACTTCGTAGCTTTATAAACCCAAGAAGCGGGAAGAACCTACTTGTTTCTGGTGTTCGAGACAATTCGACTTTCTTTAAATTGAGACGATGGTGTATAGTACAAATGCACATAAAAGTCTGAGGAAAGCCATATTATCTGGCTTTGCGGCCTCTTTATATTTCGCGTCAATTTCACCAGTATCAGCAGCGGCCGTCAAAGGTTATCGGGACACAGCAGTATCTGTAAACGAGTGGGACCCCGTGCTCCGAGGAATTGAAGACGCAGAATGCGCCGACCTTGCGGTAATTTTCGCTCGCGGCACCTTTGACAAAGGGTATGGCAACCTGGTATCCGACGTAGTTCACGAAGTCTCCGCTAACACATTTAACTAGAAATCTAGGGCCCTGGGTTGGTGGTCCGTTCCGCGATGCTTTGGTTAGCAGGTCGGCAGACATCAAGCTAGCGATCCAAGGTGTCGACGTAGATAGTTATCCAGCAGATCTTGCCGGTTACGTTGAAGAAGGAGGGTCAGGCAGTTGCGGTGCAAGTATCGGAGAGAGCGTGCAGACTTACGTCTCTCATTGCCCAGACGCGAAGGTCGCTATTTGGGGATGGAGGTAAGTCAAGCTAATTAGATTCAGTCTCATCAAGTTTCCAAGGCTGATGTGTTTGATTTTAAAAATAAATAGCCAAGGAGCCCTGTGCGCACACAAGGCGATGGGTGAACTGGGCGATGCGGCTACGAATGTCATCGCTTTGGGTGTTTTCGGCGACCCGGTCGGCGTTTGGCAGGATAGCGTAGATTATCCGGCGATACCAGAAGGTGTCAATTTTCTATCGTACTGCGAGAAGACAACTCCAGATCCTCTATGCGCCAACCCGACGGAAGACTTCCCGCATACCCCTAAAGCATTTATCGACAGACTCAAGGATATCTGGGAGGAGGTAGATACGACGCACATGAATGACGCCCAGAAAGGAGCAGTCGGAGAGCTCTTGATTGAACTTCCCAAACAAGCCGTCAAAGAACTTGGCCAACTGGCGACGGACATCGCAGGGGGTCACCTTCGACGATGGATGCTGAGTCCGCAACACTTTTGGTATGGCATTGACGGGAAGGTTGAGACAGCTGCAGATGATCTTCTTCGTGTATATAATAGTCAAAAATAGTTTGGGATTTAGAGGATATAAAAGAAGTATCTAAGGTATTTAGATTTATATAATTAGACCCTTTTTTATGACACCTCGGGCTACTACCTGGATGACCTAATGGTAAGGCAAGTTTTAGGTAAACCTTGGGCAGGTCGGGGTAGTGGCTGGAGGCGTTTAGGTAGCTTCAGGTAGTACCTACTACCTAAGCTGCTAAGGTACCTGATAGATACCTGTCTTATCGATAGCCGTAACTCACGTCACTTTGGTTCCGCAAGCTGACAAGTACAAAGTAAGCATCAATTCCTCTCCACATGAATTCCAATATTGAACTTCGATTAACTCTCCGTCAGCTTCACAACACCCTCAATTGACGCCGCGATCAAACCAACTCTTCACGGTGGCCTTAGGTGACATTCCGCGATGAAGGCCGTGATCGCCGTCCCTGCGACGCTCGCCCTCGTTTATCGGGCTTATTCTCACAATTCCCTAACACCACTTGGTATTGTAACCGCTGCGTTGACTGCTGCTGCCCATGCCGTTCACCCCTGGAATCTACCCTTCGTTCTCCTCTGCGTCTTTTTCCTAGCCGGTACTCGTGTCACCAAGATAAAAGCAAATGTCAAAGCAGGCCTTACGCTCCACTCCCAGGGGAGTACCGGAGGCGAAGGCCCAAGAACACACGTTCAAGTGCTTGCGAACTCTCTGATGGGCTCTATTCTAACCCTTTTGCACGCTTACCAGCTAAGTGCACGGAGAGATGCGGCAGTTATCAATAAGGAGGTTCCCGATGGCTCGTTCTGTTATAGATGGGGTGGCGATCTACTAGTCCTTGGTGTGATCGCCAATTATGCCGCCGTTTGCGCTGATACTTTCTCCTCCGAGCTCGGCATATTATCCCGCACCCCCCCGAGATTGATTACTTCTTTTTCCCTGCGTAGGGTGCCTCCAGGTACAAACGGAGGCGTTACGTTATGGGGATTGTTCGCAGGCTTCTTGGGATCTGTGATCATCGTCACTAGCGCTTTGTTGTTTCTTCCGTTTTGTGGCGAGGATACCAAGGGTAACGTTGGCGGCGGCAAGAGCTGGACTACTGGCCAGAAAGTTACGCTTGCATGTGCATTGAGCTTATGGGGTGCGTTAGGTAGTCTGCTGGACAGTTTACTTGGAGGCTGGTTCCAGAGAAGCGTCCGAGACGTGCGCTCAGGAAAAATTGTCGAGGGAGAAGGGGGCTCTCGCGTATTAACGTCTCTGTCAGGCACTGAACCTTATAAGCGCCAGGATATGAAAGTGAACGCTAGTACTGCCACAAAAGCTAGTATACTCCATGGAGAAGGAGAGAATGCTGTCGAGAGCCGAACGGATCCATCCCAAGTTGTTGTGGGCGACTCTTCCAAGGATCCCTACGATCCGAAAGATAAGCATCGAATTTCTCATTTTGGCGATCGGAAGCCTACGCGTGTGACGGAGAGCGGCTTTGACTTACTAGACAATAATGATGTCAATTTCCTAATGGCCTTTACAATGAGCGTCGGCGCTGTTGTTATCGCTGGTTGGTATTGGCATGTACCTCTGAGGGATATTCTGAAAGTCTGAATTCGGTACAAAGGAAGACGAGAGATATAGGAACTAGATGGCAATTGACCATGGCTCATGATACTCTACGTTTGTCTGTTTAATCAACCCCTCTTGTTCGTTAGCCTCTTAGCATAACTACGACGGCGCTATGCGGTTTGTCCATATCATGACAATACCATAAAGGTCTCTTATAACCTTAGATAGTTCGGCGTCCCTAACCTACTTGTTGAATCCCGGCCTTCCACGGCCTTGAAGCCTTTCGATATCGCACACAGAATTGTCGCCAATTACGATATCGTTGAAGATGACGGGATTGGCATAGAGAACAGGGTTAACAAATCCCGCAGTCGACTTCCCTGCTGCAAGTCTATCCTCATTGATGCGATTGAACATGGCATCAGCCAAAGGAGTAACGGCTCAGGCGCCGTCGTTGATACTGGGCTCACCTAATACGGCCACAGCAACATTTCTATCGAGGGCTGCGATGTCGGAAAACCCACGACCGGAGCTGTTGTACATGTATGCGCGGCCTGGGTCATGCTCGGTGAAATGGGGAGAAACAGCTGATTATTGATATGCTGGCGTCGGGAAAAACTACGAGAATCCACCAGATGAGGTCTAATTAGGAGCTTTAGCTACTGTCTCGTTCCCATCTGGTACACAAATATAACAAAAGTGTGCGTGCATCCCCCATTTTAGGTAGCCAGTGACACGACGCGACGTCAAGATCCAGGGCAGGCTGACTAAACATTCGGATCATCTTCATTGTAAATGCCAGACGGCTTGGTTGATGCTTACGTTCAGGGGTCGAGTTCCCTGGGGTATGTGAGTCGCATAGATCTTAATGAAGACGCTGACATTTTCCCCCTAATAGTTGTTACAACGTCATTGGCGGATAATTCTGTACAAAACCAGCTTTGCAATCTGCGTTCAACGGACATTCTCTTCTAAATCGGGGATCAGCCGGAAGTCATCTGACAATCGTACACCATGCTCAGAATTGAGAGTGATAATCTCTAAGCAGTTTATTGACCGAGGGATATCTTCGTTGATAATATCCATGTTTTTGTTACCTAAAGTTGCCAAGGCGATCCTCAGCCCGCCTAAATGTTAGCCAGGGTGGACTCGGTAGGTTAATACATATCAGATCAGATTAGATTAGATCTTAGTTGAATTGTCAACGACCAGCTCAACAGGTACTGTATTAAAATATTACGTACTGATATACGTATTCTTGACTCCTTTGCGGGCCTAGCAAAGTAGACTTCCATCAAATCGTTATCACGTATGGTTGCTTTGAAACTACCTACCTAGTTCATCACGAAGATGCTTCTCTTCAATTCACGGTCAAGGAGCTACCCACCTTGGTATTAAACCCCACTCGGCTGCTACGTCGGTATCCCATCGTCTCCATTTGAATCTCAATTGGGGCCAGCGAGGGTTCTAAAAGACGCGCGGCTCATTATAGCCATAGCAGCATCGTTAAGGATACGGCATTAGGAGGTAGGTTAGGTACTTACCTATAGGTATATTAGGCAGGATCATCCTCCGGGAATTTCGCTTTTAGTATGAATTCATTTTCATCAGCTAAGCACCTCCCCTTAGCCAGCTCCTTTAACGCGTCGTATCTAATCACGCGCCTAATGATTTCCAGCCGCAGAATATTAGGCTTGAGTGCCTTAACAGGTGCTGCGACAGCTGCGTCGCTGTCCGACTACTGTACACCCGCTTATGCTGCAAGCGCGTTGCCAGTTCAGAACCTCGGCCTTGGTGTCACTATCGACGCCTCGTCGGTGTCAGCGATTCTCACAACTAACAAATCAGTTAGCTCCGATTGGTTCGAGGGTGCCGTCATCGACTACTGCAATATCACGTTTGCTTATTCTCACGATGGGATAGGTAATGATATTGTTCACGTGTCATATCTGGTTCCGCCACCAGATAAGTTCCTGAGCCGATATGTCTCCACCGGAGGAGGCGGATTGGCTATTAATTCCGGGCTGTCGTTCAGTCCCGTCGGCGTCATCTCCGGTGCCGTATCCGGCATGACGGATGGAGGATTTGGGAACTTCAACACCCAATACGACAAAGTATTCCTCTTGGCAAATCATACGGTCAATTGGCAGGCAACGTACATGTTTGGATATCAGGCCCACCACGAGCTAGCTACACTTGGAAAGCAGTTGACAAGAAACTTCTTCAACGTATCCGATAGCCAAAAGATTTACTCCTACTATCAAGGGTGTTCCGAAGGTGGCCGTGAGGGGTGGAGTCAAATCCAACGTTTTGCCGAACAATTTGACGGGCTTGTCACTGGTGCACCTGCATTCCGCTTCAGTCATCTGCAAACGAATCATTTATCAGGCGGTGTCATAGAAAATTCTATCGGTTACTTCCCGCCTCCTTGCGAGCTCGAGAAAATCGTCAACTTAACGATCGCTGCTTGCGATGGCTTGGATGGTAAGGTAGACGGGGTCGTTGCGAGATCAGACCTCTGCAAGTTGAGCTTCGACTACAATTCAACCATAGGCCAGCCGTATTACTGCCCGGCATCTAACAGTGGGCTCCCGGGAGCTTCCTCTTCCGTGCGTCGGCGTCAGTTTCCGGGACTCAGCCCAACGCCTGAACAGAATGGTACCATTACCGCCGAAGGCGCAGCAGTCGCTTCTGCATTCACAAATGGCCTAATAGACTCCAAGGGGAAGCGAATATACATCAATCCTCAACCCGGCTCTTCCTTCGCAGACGCCACAAACCAGTTCAATGACGAGACGGGCAAATGGGAACCCATTCTCTCGGGCCTGGGACCGCAGTGGATAACCCGATATCTCAACCTCGAACAGAAAGACTCACTTGATAGCTTCGAGAATATTACCGCAGATACGCTACGAGATTGGATGGCGCTCGGTATGCACAAGTACCAAGACTCGCTCCAAACGACTTGGCCAGACCTCAACCCATTCAAGACGGCCGGGGGTAAAGTCATCCTCGTCCACGGGGAGGCAGATTCTGCAATCCCTGCCGCATCTTCAATTCACTATTACGATTCTGTCCGAACTACGATGTACGAAGATCTCAGTTACGACGAGAGCATAGCTGCCATGGACGAGTTTTATCGCCTCTATCTCGTCCCCGGCGGATCTCATTGTGGGAGTAACCGAGACCAGCCAGGCGGTGGTTGGCCCGCAACTACGCTCCAGGCAGTCATCAAATGGGCCGAGGATGGAGTCGCGCCTGAGACGCTCGATAACGTGGGCGATATCAACACCTTGTGTAAATGGCCTCTCCGTCCATTATGGTCAAATAACGGGACTCAATTCGATTGTGTATATGATTCTAAGTCGACAGAATCATGGACTTATACATTTGATGCCTTCAAATACCCAGTCTATTAGACTGTAATAGGTTGTCTAATGTCCATTAATTACTAAATCTACTGGAATCCTCACTTCGGTACATATGTCTATTAGCCACCCATGTACTTGCTATGCCGCAGAGAACCAATACGGATGTGATAGGTAGTATTAAATGAATGTACTCTACCCCCCTAAGTCGTAAATCGTACAGGTATTACTTGTGTCTGCAACACCACATACCCATCCTTTTATACCTCTATGTACCCTAGATAGTTATGATAGCCTGGAAAAAAGGCGGTGATCGGAGTGTTCCTCCTCTAGAAAATGTCCACGCCTGCATGAACCACTCTAACGGGCGATGCAAGCCCGAATGATTCCAACCACATACCAAAACACTACCCCTACTCTAATAGTTAACCATGAAACTCACATCAACCTAATACTTCTAGGCTTGTGACGGAGATGTGCCCTTGTTTGCCTCGGCTAATGACCCTACTGGGATGAAACCAGTTATAGGCAAATGAGACAAATACCATTGGGAGCGCATCCAAGCAGTACAAATAAGCTTCCTTCGACATCAGCTCGCCATCGGAACCCATAATGTACTCTATTACACGATACATGGATCGAATCATGATCAGAGTACTAGAGAGGTATAAGATAAGAACGAGCTTCCTCCACGGTGTCGGTAGCGCTAGAGAGACTCGAGTAGGATTTTTCGAAATACGTCGGTCGAATATAAATGTAACTACCATGAAAAAGCCGAAGAAGAGTATCTGAATGCAGAGACCACCAATGATGATGTTTTCGCCCCGACGAACGGCATCCAAAGTTTTCGCTTGCGTTAAAAGACCGCCACCTAGACACAAGGACGTAAGTACACAAACGGGCCTCGAATAACTATGTAGGATATTTACCTCCGCCTTGAGCAAAAAAGGATAAAACGTCACCAAGAACGAAAACCTTTGTTAACCATCGTGGCTTAATGATCGAATAGGAATTGGCTTCTAGGAGAACAATTAAGCGTCCTAGAATCATGTATATGGAAGCCGCGAAGAGAGTAGGTCCTAGAAGGAGGAGGGTCGACTGGATGATATAAGGATTCTTAGTGAAGTTGGGATATTCCGGTGACGACATTGCTCTTCCGACGTAGCCAACCGCCTCGACTATGTAAAGATTAGTTATCGTGAAAAACTAACTTAGACACGCAGGTGTAGAATCATTAACCGAAGGTAAAATGTGGAATACTTACAGAGACACCCGATTACGAATGGAATGAAATACCATGTTCTTTTCCGGAATAGCAGTATTATATGCCAAATAGCTGAGATGGTGAACAGAAGAATGAATATAATCGCGGCAGCCATAGAAGGCTTGTACCGATAGAATACGTAAGATGGCACTTCGTTAGCCATATTTTAAATCGTTAATCTTCGTGTCTTTGAGGGCGAGGGCTTTCGATACAGTAACTGTCAATATGATTCTTTTATTCGGCATCAGCAAGTGAAGAAATCTTTCCTGCAGACAATACATATCCCGTAAAAACTTCAAGCGGCGAGCACACTCTTATATTCCCAACAATCGATATCTTCTCATCGGACGAAATGCATAGCCTCCTAAATCTAAGACCGCCTAATAGGGGAAGGGAACCCAATCAGCGTAACTAAAATTTGGGATACATCTTTTTTTGGACGTTCAAGATACGAATTACTACGCGTACTCGCATACTCGCACTTATGCGGCTTAGAGTACCGCCACGTTTTAAGCATGTTCGCATTCTCGTACTTTAGGCAACGAGATTCTACTAGGCGCAGATGTCACCTAAACGTTCTGGAAGGGCTAACAAATATCTCTATCACTCTACCGGCACGATCTGTCTGAAACCAGGTGCAGATCTCCATCCACGTCCATATTCGTATGAAATACGTAATTGCCATCACGATGTTTACAGATACCCGACTGCGTACCGTATGGGTGTAGATTATCTAGAGAAGGAATCAGTACATAGGTTATCCACCTCATTATCCGCGCTCTTGTCTTATATGGTCATGTTTCTTAGCATAGGACGTCTCATACTTGAGATAGCAAATCAAATAGATTACGCAGTCTCAGGGATTGCTGGCTCTCATAATTCACACTATCAACAACTTTTTTTTGGGTACCTACTAGGTATTCCACAGTCATGCTAACGTCTAGCTTAGCGTTTCAAGTTTCACTTTTTTTCGTATCTTGTATGCATTCGTACCCACCACCAAGTCGTCTCGCATTAAAGTACGAGTAATGCGAGAAGCCCCCACCTATGTCGTATCTTGACGCGAACGTTAGTTATCTTAAGTGCGAGAAGAAGGGCAAGGCAATATTATTGGTCCAAGCTTATTCAAAGAAAAAGATTTTTTCCCCCACAAACAACAGAGCATGAGAGCCACGTACGCGGCTAATCAGTGGCACACTCACACTTTCTCGAAATCCCACCATATTGTCAACTATTATTGTTGTGTCCCATTATTAGAGATGACCTCTCAACCCTTCTCTCTTGTTACCTTTGGGTTCAATCATAGGTAAACCCGTCGAGGTATTAGGTATGAGATACTAGATTTTAGGTACTTTTTGCATGTAAATGAGCCTTGGGGATATTTAAGCAATGCCTGCCCAACTCTTCTAGCTACATGTAGTTAACGTTAACCATTCTCGATAGTTTAGCACCCTGCGCTTGCTAGACCTATCAATGAATCAAGTGATATTTTGGGTATCGAGAGCTTTAGAGAAAGCATAATCAGCAAGAGAAGGATATCCAAATTTCAAAATAGGAATGGTATTTTTCTTTGGTTCAACTCTTTTGAGGCGCACATTGGGATGGGACTAGGTGTTTAGAGTTCTGTTGAGACTTGTTATGCAACACCTTTGATGACCCCAAAGGAGTTTTAAGGCTGATAAGACATTCATGTATCATATTTATTATTTCCTTATAATAGTAAATAATGTTTACGTCTTAGAATAGGTATCGAATAGCGTTGAAACCAACGGTCCTATATACTCCTAGCGTTATGCTACATATAAAATCATTTTAGATAGCTTCAGGGATGTTTCATACGAAATGATTTTTTGCTGCGTCTTCGGGTTGTTGGCAGAGTTAGACTTAATACTACCTACCTCCTAAGGGAGTAAAGACCGACTTCCGTAATGTTACCATCTCGAAGCAGCATTGTCACTCTATGATACCTTTATCAATACAACTTACAAGGTTGGTCTATGAATCTTACCCTATAGATTATTAATTAAGCTCAATTGCTTGCATAGAAACATCTTTTATGCACTCAATAATGAAAAGGCTATTGAGGCTGAAAGTCGACATTGGTTATGTACCTCTCAGCCCTCTCAAGAATCTCCCGAATCCATAAATATAGATTTATGCGGGGAACCCCTGAAAGATGAAGACAACCTTGGAAGACTTTCAATTGCAACAACATCTCTAGTATTAGCTACGGGAAGAAATTCTATATGTAAAAGATGGAATTGAATAAATTATCTCCAAAATGAACCCGGCCTCTCAATTTTCTGAATTCTATTCGTAAAGATATCGCGGAGTGACAAAGCCGCTGAATGAACGTTTTTGGTGGGAATTTCGACCCCACTAACTGCCGTTTTGCGACATCATACATTTCAGCCGCAAACTTGGTTAATGGCATCTTCCCTGCAGCTTCTCCCACCATGTTGCCAGCATTGGGACTGGATATAGTTGATTGTTGAGAATATGCTGTAGAGACAATTCTCATAAGCGGATGAGCCGACACACTTGGGATTGCACTTGGGACAAGCATCGGCATAGGTATCAGCTTGCTTTTTGCAGACTGATAAATCCGGGGGCCCTGTAGGTGTGGGGATATCGGTGCTAGCTGGAGAAGACGTCTAGAATAATTAGAAGATTGCAAGAGAAAAGTTTACACATGTTGAATCATAGGTACCTGAGCGAGCGCCACAGCAGGCAATGCTAGAACAACGATTGATGCGAACTTCATGGTGAAAACGTTATCGAAACTTCTCCCCGAAGAACGACTCGTCGGATTAATGCGATTATATTTTAGAGTAAAGAGTGATAGTTTTTACATTTAGCTACAAGAAGAAACGAAATATATCAACTTATTTATACTTCATCTTCACCCTGCTCTTTGAGTTACTCACTCTAGTCCAAGCTGATTTAACGTATCTGAGTGGTTGTGAGGGATTGATGTTTAGATGTGCTCCATAATTGAATCTTACGGTGAAGAAGAGAACACACGGTTATCATTGCCGAGAACCTGCCTAGAAAGTCTGCGGTACGAATGGATTTCTCTTTCGAGGCGTAACACTCGCAGGTTTTATTCTTGAGAGTTCAACTCCACTTCTCCTGGCATGTATGATGGCCAACCACGCTGAATTAATTGATCAGAATGAGGACATATAATACCCAACTGCAGCAAAGAAAAAAATAGAGAGAGAGAGAGAGCAGAGGCTTAGATGTAAAATTGTTAGTAATAGAGATAAGTAATAGCGGGTGGGTTGTACACTAAATATCGTCAAGCAAGGATCGATGCGCATTGAGGTGTAAACATGACATGATAAAGAAGATGGCATCCCTGTGCCTTCGATTAGGGGGATAGCTCCTGCCTAAATAAATAAATATATTTCTCTACGCTCTATGAAGCTGTACGCTCAATAGACTCTCCAGGATATCGTGCGCTCCAGTCAGCATTGGCGCAGCAGTATTGAGAGGCCAACAAAAGCTGCGAGCACCGGTAGACTAAACTAAGGAACCCCTCAATGGAAAAATCGCAATACCCGCTCATATAACTTGAACCCCCTGAGCTATTTTACAGCCTTTTACATACCGGGGAGAGAGGTGAGCCCTACGGGGAATAGCGTTAGCCAAAATGCCTTCGGACGAGAGGCTCACACGAGATGACTTACATCCGTCAATGTCTTCGTTGACAGTACTCTTGACCTTGCATGCATTCATCTGCTGCACGCTCTGGGAAGCCAAAGGTCTACCATTCTCGCAAGCTTGGAACATGCAAGACGAATCCATGGCGCGCTGGAGCGCGTCGCCCTTCCAGCCGAACACGTAGTCCGCGTGAGTACCGTATCCCTCGTTGTCGCCATAGCTCAGCGTGAAAGGCTGAGAACCGTCGCTAGGCCACATGTTATTGAACTGAGTCGTATCCCATAAGGTCTCATAAGCTACCTGGGGTACTCGGATCGGGTGACTGCTGGGGCAAGGTCCAGAGTTTTGGAAGGCATCCTTCACGGTGTTATACATGTGGGATTGGTGATCCGGGCTGTCCAGGTTCTTGCCATCCCAGCAGCTACATTCCATACGGTTAGCATAAAAAAGATAATACAAAGCGGGATTTACTAACGCGGGGAAGTGGTGGACTGTCATGATACCACCCGCACAAGGCTTTGTGGGGAAGTCATCGAGCTCGGGAAATCTGGTTCCCTTGTTTTGGAGACAGACGAATTTAAGACCAGGTCCGTACTTTGAAGTCGCGGTAGGAGTGCCCACGGTCATACGGAAACCCTTTGTCGGTTAGCCTCTCACAGCGACTAGACGCCGTCGCATTCCGACTTACCGGCTTGAAGGCTGTGATCTTCTGGTTGCCGTTGGAATAGAAGTCCTGCTGCGTGTAGTAAATTGTCATTCCTCCGTTGATACCGTCAGGCAACGCGGTGTTCTGCATAATCTTTTGGCAGAGAGTTAAGTTAGTTAAGCGTACGGCGAAGTCAGGGGTTAAGTTCGTACAGGAACGCGTTTGTATGTGCCGTTAGGGTGTTTGAAGAACATGACGGCAGTCCAATAATTAGAGAAGTCTTCGGAGAAAGTGCACGTCGTACAAGTTCCCCTATCCCCGATGTCGTCTCCCATACTAGCGTTGAAGGCATTTCCACCAACAATCTGGTGAAGATGGGCCGATGGAACCTTGCCAGGCTCGACGAGGGGATCCAGACGTTGGATGCTCACGGTCGAGCATCCGAATCGAAGTGCAGCCTGAGAAGGCGCGACGAGCGCTAGAGTGAGAGGTAGCCACTTCATCTTCGCAGTTGGTTGTAGGGTTAGAGATGTGTTTCCGCGACGACAAAACGTTTACCACGAGTGCGCGACGAGGTGCTTGATATCCGTCCATATGTACTAGCATCAAAGCCAGACACTTCTCTGGCGTCGAGATTTGCCGACAGCCGGATACCGAGGAAAGGTCTAGAAATAGATTGACCGATCGTCATTCTTTAATAGGTTTCTGCTATTTTACCGTCTTGTTTAATTTTCAATTTAGGCGAGTTCCAAAAGGTCCAACTCGGGAGATGCGTCCCCGCATCTTTCATATCGGGTGAAGCGTAGCATCATCTCATTATCGAATCAAATATCAAGGAACTCGATGGCCAAGACAACAATTCAGGGCTGTGACCCAAGCCGACTCAAGAAATTATGAATTGGGCTCGGTCTTGAATCTGGCATAGGGCGTTAGCCGGGTACGATATATGCGTCACCACAACATTATCTATCTAGCTAGGTATCTGACGAAGCCAAAAAGGTAGAGGCATCGGGCGATACTGTTACAGATCGAGCCAAGAACGATGCCAGCGGCGTAGAGTCTATGCGACGAGGTATAATAGTAGGGCCGAAGGCAGTATGTGGGTGGTAGCCTTACAGTTCACCGGGTTAAATCTGCCGGACTCGGCAATCATGGTAGCACGGTTGTTACGCCTCACGCGGGCTTCGAGTATAATTTAACTTTGAGGCTTGGCTAGAGTTTGGGCCGAGAGTATGGAGATAATTCCAAATTTTGGCTTCAGCAAATAAGTTTGCAATTTCTTTTTCTCGAAATAGATGGAAGACCTGATAAGGACTGACATATACCTTAGGTATTCAATCGATTACTTGTCCTTGAATTTGTATAACGTGTAATATCGAAGATACCTAAATACCTACTTACCTGGGTAAGGTGACGTTGGTTCTAGGTAGAAAGATTTGCCGTCAGACGCGCAAACGATGGGTATCGGGAATTATAGCGGATGATCGACACTATACCCCGCTACGATCTGGTAAACTTTATCCGCCAATAGGTAACATGTACCTAACCTAAGGTACAATACCTTACCTACCTATTTAGCATTAGGCAGCACCCTACTATGCGCTAGCTTAGGTACTATGTAGGCTGCTAAATTTTTAGAAAGCACAACATATCAACAAACATACCGTCCATCATATTTCTAATGTCAGACATTTTCCTGAGACAAAAGGGAAGGTAATGCATCTTCGCTTCCAGATTTTGACCCTACTACCTCGGAGAAAAAATGGCAAGGCGACCAATTATTCTTTAGCATTCACACAAATATGCAAGCCCTACGTCCATAGGTCCATAGCGCAGCGTCTTGTTAGTGTTTGTTATTTTGGTGCTATCTCGTTTCTTAGGAGGAAAATATGAGGTACCTAACCTAAGCTAACATACAACCAAGAATCACCTAGCTTTATACGCCGTCGCTCCCACTATATTCAATTTCTCCACATCCCGATTGCACCCATAGGCCCTGTCCGGGAAATACATTCGATTGGGTTTGGTATGTGAACCCAAAATCGCACGCTGGTCCTCCACTCGGGGCTCCGACGTAATATAGCCCACAGAACCCCGATATTCCCGCCATCATGCCGACGCACCCTTCATTGTCCTGGCAGAGCTGACAACAAGCCGCCGGTTCTTCGTACTTTTCTTCCGGGATATATATCACCGAGATATTCTTCGCATACTCTCCGGACACCAACCCGAACTCTCCAATACCCGAAATGACGTTCGTTGGCGCACATTTAGCAGCAAAGGTTGTGGTTGTTGTTGCCTCACATCCTGTACTAGTCGTAGCAATGCTCGTGGCGACATGGTACGATGTTATTGTACTTGTGACGGTCGTACCATACGTTGTAAAGGTGTAGTACGCTGCGGCCTTCGTGACGGTTGTCGTGGGAGCTGTTACCGTGCTAGTAGGTGTAAATGTCACAGTTGTCACCCCGGACGTCGTCGTCGGGATCAGAGACGTAAACCACGTTACACCTGTCTTGCATATGACCTGCGAAGGATACGAAGCTGGTGCAGTAGTCACTTGGCCCGAGACTGGATCATAACTGCCTCTATACTCTGTTACAGTTGACGGAGTTATACCGTTCGTGCAGACAGTACTAGGCCATGTAGCTGTTGCAACTGTCGGTTGCGCTGTATTCCATAGTGTCGTCGTTGGCACCGTTATGGTTGAGATGCTCCAGGTCAAAAATGTTTGAGTGAGTACTGTGGTAGTAACAGCATCAACCGTAACCTTGGACGTCGAAGGAACCGTTACTTCTTTGCCTGTGAGGATAGACGAGACGGTGCTGATAGTCGTAGAGGTAGGAAGAGACTTAGGTACCGTGCCACCTGTACCCCAGACCGTCGAGCATTGGCTTTCAGTCTTGAAAGAATATTCCGTGCCTGTGGAGGCCTGGGCCAATGTGCCGCATATGGCAATAGTAGAGACGAATAAGCTTAGCATGGTGAAGTTGGCGGTGTGCTTGTTGGCTACCTAGGTACATAGGTATTTGATAATACGCACAAGGACAACATCATAGTCTCTCACAAGAGGTAGCGAGCTGGGCCTGTAAGTATTTATAAATTCGCCAATACTCCCTCGTCAATTATTAAAGTCTAACCCCATCATTCACATACAGGAGCACCAGGGCCAACATACGATTATCGTACAGCATGCTCAGGTCTCATTGCCTGCATCGATCGGTGAACAAGTCAGAAGCTTTGTCATCAGGTAGGAAAGAAAACCCGCTGTTACTTGACTAAATGAGCAGGTCTAGAACTAGTTTGTGCCGAAAATCTGTTCCGGCCCGTCGTCCATTAGGGAGAAAAAGGCAGGAGAAATCACCAAGGTGAACCAATTGCAGTATAGCGTATCAACTTTGAGTGCAAGGCAATTAGGCAAGCTGTATGTAAGCAGCATAACCGAATTGGTGATGCTAGAATGGGTCCTTGAACGGCACAGCTCACTACCTACCTGGTATTTATTGCTACCTACACACGGCGCGCGAGGCCGCCTTCCGGCCCTAGTTCAATGCGTCCGGGAGCATACCATACCAGGTCCTACAACATGGGGCTCCCCGAAGGAATCACTTGGACCGGTGTTATTCCCAATTCGCCAGGTCCTACCTTAGGTAATTTTAAATGTCATGCTTCATGCTGGTTGAGTAAAATTGCTCACCTACTCCTACCATTTTCAAAAGGCTTACAAATGTAGCACGGGTATCTAAGAACCTGAAAACGTCGAAATATTCGTGGAATGATTTTTTTTAGTTCAAAACGAGTACTGAGAAGTGAGTAACGATAGTGTTACAATAATAAACTTCAACCCTTACGAGGTAGGTATCTAACTCGCACTCAACTCGCACTCGATAAGGCTTTCTGTCCGGTTGTCGACTCTCCACTGCGATAGAGGGAGTTAGCATATTAGCCCAATAGCAGATCCGTTAGGTATGTAATCTCTTACAATATTGCAGGCACGCAGTCCAGATGATCGCAGTAGATTCTCTCACTCGTGCCTCGTCCGCTCTCGAGACGAGAAGCCAGTCATCATAACCATGTCCAGCGCTGTCGCTTCCCAATACGCACCCACCGTGGGGATTGCGTATTCATTTATTAGCAATTTACTATATCTGGGTTTCATAACCTTGGAGAGCCGCGTTAGAATTTTGACGCATTGCTCATCAGGCCAGTCGTGAAGGATGGAATGCATGTAGTAAGCCCTACTACCTAAACCACAAACACCACCAAGTTAGCGACAGCCTTATAGGATATATCGGTATCGGGTTGGTTACCTCGGATCGGTTACTCTTCAAAGAAATCGTGCGGCATCCTCTCTATCCGCTTATCTAGGCTGCTAATCTGATCAATCACCGCTGGTAAGTCTTGCAATATGAGGCGCCCAGGTACATGTGAAGGTTGAAAAGATCGCCAAAAGGAGGCCGTCCTTGGAGATGCTCGAAAAAGTCCTTGCTTGTTCCGTAGGCATATTGGTAAGGACCGTCTAAGGCATTGCTGGGAACCCTATATCCCGTCTTTCTCATGTATTCGTGCAAGTTGATATTCGAAGCTAGGAGGCCGCCCGACCTTTCGCCCCACGTCAACGGGTCACTCTACCCTACCATAGATAAATAGGGTGTCTTACATGAATGGGTAGCCAGCACTGATTATAGGTAGGCATAATGATCTAGTAAAGTTCGTTGGCGCATACTCGTCGGCGCCAGTCTCTTTCACATAACCCATGGCACTCAAATGGCGGAGGAATCGCCCTGGGTCTATTAGCCGAGAGAATTCATACCAATATACATTCTCTCTCGTGATACTCACCGACAAGAGCAGAATCGGCACCTACAGCCCCAGTAAGGTCGGTCGATGTTTTGCCTTTGCCGTCGTTTTCTGCCATAACCTTGAATAGTCCCAACTCAACGCAGGTGGTGAGAGCAGTCATCGCCGAGGGCTAATGTATACATTAAAATGCTTATCAAAAAGAAGATATAGGCGCATACCTGTGCCCAGCAATGCTTTATCATAGTCTCACGAGGCGTTTCCAACGCTCGTACTAAACGCCGAGCGGCCGCCACAAGCTCAAGTCTTGCACCATTGTCGACTGCAGAAACTGAGGATGATAGCTCATTGATCCTCCTAACGTGCGTATCAAGGCTAGCTAAGTCACAGGGCTTCAATGCGATCTCGGGGACCGTGGCTTGCCTATCCAAGTGTCCGTTGTCGGTAAGATGTTGCTCAGTCATTTCTAAAGAGACCAAAACGAACTTAGCAATGCAAGATGGAGACAATATATGGTAGGTACAAAACGAGAATGAGGCACGGATAGAATGGGCGAAGTTAGAAAGGGAGATAAACTGGCAAGTATGAATGTCGAGCTTAAAGTCTTTTATTTATGTACCTCCTAGGTACATCCCCATTCCTTATCTTACGGCTGCTTATAGTACTTGGTCCTAAGGCCTCTCTTAACGCCATCTTCCTCCCTCGCTCCCCGTCATGTACCCTCGTGATCTCGCACCCGGCACTTCTCTCCTATGGTCCTCCAGTTATTGGCTCTCTCCTTCTATCTGGTAAATATAAATATCTATGTTTGGCAGGTCTCTGGTCAGATCGAACTCTATTATTCCTAAGTATGAGCACTATGGCCTTCTCATGGGCTGGCGGTGATCACGCACTTCTTTGTTTCCGAATTTCGCATATCGTGGCATACCCCCGCGTTTAGCACTTGCATATTTTGAACCGGCGAACAACTGCTAATCTTTTATATCCGTTCTCGATCTTAGGTACTCATATCGTGCTATTTACCTATAGGTATCTAGTACATAACTCCAACGCCACACCTTTAATGGGTGCGGTCGTCGAGTTTGCGGAAATAGCACTATGAGAGGTAGCTAACTCATCTAATTTTGTTATGTTCATGTTGCACTAAAACATTTAATTGAATTTCTACCTCTCACTTTTATCCTGACACGCTTGAATATTTTGGCCTCTTTATTGACGTTGAGGATTCCCTTTAGCCTTGCTTTACTTCTACCCAACCTTATGCGTGCTTGCGATGTATCAACCAGCGGCTAGCTAAAACAATCAAATTCTAACTGCTCTTAGAGATAAAAGGTACTGGGTTGAGGGATTTAATAGCCGGACGGAGAGTATTTCAATCTGAATTGGACGGATAGCTACACCTACAGACGAGGACGGTGCGAGTTGGTCTCTCTATTCACATTCTATCCAAGCTAATGTCCAATGGAAAAAAGACCTCTCTGATCCAAAAGGTTATACTCAGCTACTTTACTGAAAACGAGCGAATGAAATTTTTATATAGGAGGTACCTAAGTAAATGAATGACCTATATGAACCAATTTGTTTTCTAACCCATTCAACGCGGACACTGCAACACATTTGTATGAACTTACACAATATAACCCCATAATTCCGACGAATTGGTAAATGTCGCCTATATAAAGTGATTCCTACGAGAGATCAAGTCATTGTAAGCGTATCAACAACCACATTAAGCACCAGCAGGCTTTTCTTGGCCCTGCTGCCAGTAGACCTTTTGCTCCGTTTTCCAGTCGTAGTTAGAATCCCCAATCCTGCTCTGGTCGATCCAGATGATCTTTCCAACCTTGGCGTTGTCAATTATACGCTCGAGCTCTATGCTCCAGAAAATCCCATCGGCCTTGGGGGTCTGGCTGTGCGGGAAGACGAGGTACGCAGTGCCCTTAGTCTGATCCGCGTAGTATGTAGAGAAAGCCCTCTGGAAGTCCTTGAACTTCGCGTCCGAGACCTTTGGGTATTGACCCTTGTGGACAAAGTTGTCGCTGTTCCAGATGTTGCGTACGGACGTGAGGCCGACCCCATTCGCCCATATTACAATATTGTTGATGTTCTTGTTGCTCTGACCGGTGAAGAAGATGGCCGTATCGACTTTTGGCTCCCCAAGTTTGGCCCAGGAAGAGAACTTGCTGGGGTCCTGGATGAGCTCGTCTACCTGTTCCTCGTTGGGGATCGTGAGAGCGCGAACATCGACAAGGCTGGACGTGTCTGTAGGAAGGGCGAGAGCAGTGGAGGCTTGCCAAGAAAGCAAGAGAATGGAGCTTAGGAAAGAAAAGAAGAAGAGGAAAGAAGAGCCTTCCCGGAACGCGGTGAACTTCATGTTGCAACGATTTGTGGTGTATTGGGATATGTGTCGTGATATGACTAGTGATTTCAAAGTGTCTCTGTGTTGCGTCTTGTAATGGCTACATGGGCATGTTGAAGTAGGTGGACGCGGAGCATCTTTATATCTTCATCTCGATTTACTACTGTACGCAACAAGTATTCTTCCTTTTGGCTTTCGCCTGTGATATTTACTACGTCAACCCACACAAATTTGAGTCTCACTCGCAACAGATGTTCCTTCCGCTAATGATAGTCACCCAAGTTCTCTTGTGAAGATCCGATAACTCAGACGTAACGCCTAGCAAGGCTTGTAGCGAAGTACCAAGCCGCGCCTGATCTACAAAATACCAGGAGCATACGTATGAACGTGGAATGGTGACATCTTCACCATCAAGTCTATAATTAACAACATAATGTCAATATCTCGAACACGAAGCTGACTTCATGGCTGATCTGCTGAAGATCTTGGTTATAGTTTCAAGCTGAGCTCAACCTACGGTGCTGAATGGGAGCCAGGACTTATGCCGATCGTTATCACGGCCTGAAGAAGGATTTTATATTGATCCCATATCCAAGCGGTTCAGCCCCCAAGAGCCTCATGCGGGGCTGTGAAGCGCAAATTAGCTATCCAGGTGATGTAGATCGATTACTATATGGTTATTTCCTTGGTTGTATAAGCAGACGTCCCGGGTGTTAGCATGAATGACATAATGCGGCCTGGCTGTTGGTGCAATGTGTTAAAGGCGCAGCATAGTAGTGGTCAGCATCAGGAACGCCTTTCTGGTTTCGTGTGCCTCGTGCAATGGCAGCTATTGAAGGTTGTATAAACACTTGGTAAGGAGAGCCAAAGATATGCGTTATACAAGGCTGACTATCCGTCATTGCACTATCATTTCCAGGCATAAGATAATCTCAGGGCGCTGTGGTGTCACTCATAGGATTTTAATGCGGTATTGTATTACACCAAGTATTGCTATGAAATCCTTACGTCTCTATTCTCTGATGTCATAAGTAGATCTCACTTTTAACCACGCCGTGTGTTATAATAAAGTGCTTTAAACGCCTAACGTCGGGTTAAAACCTACCTACCTTACTACCCACTTATTAGGTGATCTATACTTAACTCCTTAATTGTAACACAGCTTTTCCTTGTCCAAAAGCCAAAAAAGCACTATTTGTCTACCTTGGATAAAAACCTTGTATCGTTATAGCCGAAGCGAGCTCCTCACCATGTCGCCTTTTACTCCCCAACCTAATAGCCTAGAAAAGGCCATCTCGGAAAGCGATCTAGCAGCTGTCCAAACCCTGTACGCCGGGACGGCACCTGCACAACAGCCGGCATTCCTTGCTAAGACTGCCGAGCGCGCGGCGCGCCGAGCCCAGATCACGATTCTCGACTGGTGCTTCCGCGCGGGGCTCGCGGTGCCACAAGGCGAGACTCTCAACAACGAACTGTACGACCAGGCTTGCTTCTCGCGCTCGCCAGCCGTGTTTGAGGTACTGGCTGCCCACGGTTGGGATCTCAACGCACATCACAGCGAATTTGTGGGTGACGCACTGAGCCTCGCGGCGTACCATGGAGACACCGCGCTCGCCGAGTTCCTGCTAGAGCATGGCGGTGTTGACCCGAACCAGGCCTGGGGTTACCAGGAGCACGAGGCCGGCGTCTGGGCCGTCGTTGGGCCGCATCGATCGCCCGAGTTTTTACGAACCATGTTGTCCCACGGCTGGAAGCAGGCCGACAGCACTGCTCATATCGCGGCTGCAGAGCACGGCGATATGGAGATCCTCCGCCTGCTCGTAGAGGCCGGCAGTGCCAAACTAGAAGCCACGGATCCCTGGTGGGGCAACCCGACGGAGATCGAGGCGGATCGGTGGGGCACGGCGCTGTACCGGGCTGCCTTAAAGGGCCAGGAGGACGCCGTGGCGTATCTTCTCGAGAAAGGAGCGGATCCTTCGTTCAAGGATGAGAAGGGGAGGTCTTGCGCTTGGGCGGCGAGAGAAGGGGGCAGTCAGAGGATTGTTGAGATGTTGGAGGAGAAAGGGGTAAAAGAGTAATGTAGGGAAGAAGAGAAGAGAATGTTAGTGGGGCGTTATCTATAGGGGCTTCACGAAAGGAATGGTAGTGCTACGAAATATGTTGCTTTCACCATTAGACAATTGGAATAAGTACCTCTTTACTTCATCCTTTACCATTCTATCTTGAGCGTCACATTGTGATCAATCTTTGAACCCCCAAAGCACACCGCCGACATTCCATACGAAGACTTGCAGCATAGATTAGGCACGTAAAACTCTTCACATAAGCATATACTCAAGACTTCATGGGTACGCATTTTACTCATTGCAATAGTGTTACGGACCATAGTGTTGATATAAGAAACCTGTAACAATCTATACAGTTGGCCCATCCCTTATCAACTGGTGCTCCGCAGCCAACGCGTCTGGGTTATTATCCTCAAACCCAAAATTCCAGATACGAACGGGTGTCCAGCCTCCACCCCTATAGGCACCATGGCTACTTTCCCCCCCAACATGCTGCATCACGACGGGCGTCAACGCCCAGCGTAAATCACCCGTCGCATCCGCATATTCTTCTATAAAGCTATCGGTCGGTACATCAGACCACCTATTTCTATGGAAAAGGGGCAACAGCACGTCAGAAACCTTGGCACGCGGAAACACGAGCCCTTGTCCACAGCACGCGTGATCAGGCATTAGATGTACACCCGTCGGTCGCGGCGCCACACAATTACCACCAGCGGCGAAGTAAAGCAGAATTAGGAGAGGGGTGAACACAAGTGTAACCAGAAGGAATACCGAGCGCGTAAGGTGTAAACGCGCTGCGGGTACATACCGCCGCATCAAAAGTAGGATGCATGTAGTACCAGCAACGACGGCAGAAGATGAGGTCATGTATTTTAACCAGTACTCCGAGTTCCAACCAAGGAGACCCTCATAATAGAAGAGCCGTAAATAGAGGACTGCTTTTGCGATCAGTCTAGTCGCACCAGAACTCACATTCTTTTCGTGTACTTACAATCCATATACCCTGCTTTCCATGTCTTGGTCGTAGCAACTTCTAATGCTCTTGCGATTCGATGCCACCACCCGTCCATAAAAACGACATCATCCTCAATCATTAACAGGTAGGGAGCCCTAGTCTTTACACACTCTTCCATAACAATCGAATAATCGAATTTGGCTTTGACCCCGTGAGATTCCTTACGCTCTATGGTTCGAGCCAGGTTTAGTCTGGCCGGGTCATCGCTATAAAAAACCATCTGATCAGCCATATTGGCAAGCCATGGCTGCTGGTGACCTTGGTGCTTTCTCAGGTCGGTATGGGCAAGAAGCACAACAAAGTAAAGATCTTCCCGCTCTTTTGCACTAAGGCCGTGTTGTAGGGAACCCAACGTTGACTCGAGGTACGATATCCCTTGCCTCTGCGCCGAGGGAATTCCAATACACAGTGCAGGCGGAGTACTGCTATTTCTTTGCAGATGTCCCTTGGTACCTTGTAGATTGGCATGCTCTATGCTCTGTTGTATTCGATACGTCGAATAGCTAGGGGCGCGCGCACGTTCTGACTGAAAAAATACGGAGGTTGGATCTTTCCAGCATGTTAATCGAAGATATATTATAAGCGACGAGTACTAAATTCTCACAACACTGTTAATATTTTGCCTCTTGGTATCCATAGCCAACCTACAGATCTTGAGATGGCAAACGGGTACTGACAAGAAATGAAAATCCCAAAAGCAGCCGTACACTAGCATGCATCCTACAACCCCAATGTTCAAATAATACTAGCAAAAGATACGAAAAGACAACGATTCAATAACAACAATAACACCAAAGTGAAAAGACTTAGTTCATCATAAAAGAGACGGTTTCTGGTCCTGGATAATAGGCATAAGAAAAGTAAGAAATTGCAAGCACTTACTGAAAGAAACTCCGAAGTCCTACCCTTCCTGTATTTAATTGGGGGCCTTCCACAAGTAGTGAAAGACAGCGCAGATCTAGCATTACGGAGATTTCTAAATCCTTTGTGCTGGGCTTGAGACACTGTGTAACATCATATGCCGTGTAGCCCTTAGGCGCCGTCCAGCCTGATCCGATGACGAAATTGACCAGTTACCGGCTTTTAGAAGCGTCCCGGCAGCGCGGATTAGTGCCCCCCTCGGCGCCGAGGGGGAAAAGGGGGAAGGCATATACTCAAACACCGCGCCTAACCACATCTAGAGTTGTCAGCTAAAAGGATTCCGCATGACATCACCAACGTCCTAGATAGAAAGTACGGAAAACCAACAAGCCAAAAAGCAAATGCGTGTAACACCCGCTGATACTTGCCCAATACGCATAAGATCTGAAGTCTTCATAGCCTCACAATGTTAACGTGGACGCCGACAACGCCGCAAAACAACGCCGCAAAACTGCGTAAAGATGGCGATCTTGCTTGAAGCTGTGACGACGTATTCTCAATCAATTACGAGAGAAAGGCTGATGGCGGATGGGAAAGAGCTTGAAGGTAAACGAAAAGTCAACGACACTTGAGATATAAAAGGGGTTGGTTTCGTCCAAACTTAGGTTGTGTATTATCTCTACCATCACATTCACATCTCGATCAATATCACCATCAATCAGCACACTATCTTATCATTTCGCTACCTAGTTTAAAAACCACCAAAAAGCCAAATTAACACTATCATCATGTTCTCCGCAAAGACCTTCCTCCTTTTTGTTGCCGCGGCCGCCAGCCCCTTAGCTACCGCCCTGGCCGAAAACGGGACGGTAGAGGCTGCCGACTTCTGGGCCATGTTCTGCGACGACACAGAGTGCTCCCAGAACTGTGGCCAGTCTGTACAAGTCTCGAACCCCGGCTGCCTCAACCAGAACGGCCGCCAGTCCATTCGATTCCACGGTGGCGACGTCGGCTCGGGTGACTACTCCCTGGTCATTTCCCCTAGCGGCGACTGTCCTTGCCAGGAGTCGTGTTCGAGCATTCCTACCAACACTGAGTGCTGGGACATCTCGCGATTCCAGGATGCCAAGTCATTCCGGTTCATCGGAGGCCACTGCGACGGCAACAACTGCTAAGTTTCGCTTCCACGGGATGCGCTAGGATGCTATCAGCCGCGGGCTTATTACCTAGGGCGCGAATCACGCTGCAAAATATTGGGTTTCAGTCAGGGAAAACCGTTAACTCTCTTTCCATTATTGAAGTTTTGATTTAAATTGTACATCATGTGTGGAGGGTCATATTTCAGGAATTTCATCGAAACGTTATCATAGAGTTTACTATTAGTCATTCGTTTCAATGCTATTTTATTTATACGATGGTTAGTTGGTTTTTTGAAACATGCTAACAGATAAATGGGTTTTATTCGTCTTTTGAAGTTACATGAGGCACCACGTCCGAGGTGCACAAAAGCCCTGAGTTTACGAACGTCATTCGTCTTAACGTCTTACGTTTTACGTCTTACGTTTTAATGGAAATATAATAACCTGTAATAACCTTTCGGGTATTATAAGTATCGTGGGTATCTTAGGTATTATATCGTATTAGAAATATTATATTGTAAATGCTTTAAATTTATAAAAGGTTATTATTATTAATTTATATTAAATTATTAAGTAAAATCGATTTTTTTAAATAAGGTTTTATATAAAAAATGAATAAAATTTCGGATTTTTAATTAAATATAATAAATATATTAAATAAAAAAGAAATTATTAAAAAATAAAAAAAAAATTTATTTTATATAATTTTATAATATATATATATTTTAATAATATTTAAAGTTAAAATTAAAATTAGGATTAAAATTAAGTAATTTAAAAAAAGATTATTTAATTTATAAAAAAAGTTAAAAAATTAATATATAAATATATTAACTATTTTATTTTTTAAAAATAAAAAATAATTTTATTATATATGGTTTTTTAAAGTAAAAATATATTAAATATAAAATATTTAAATAAAAATTTATATTAAATACTTTTATAAATAATTAAGTAAAAAATTATTTGCGTAAATAAAGTTATTAAGTAAAAACATGTAATTAAAATAAAATTAAAATTATAAAACTTATTTTTTTTACACGTTAAAATATTAAACGTTAAATGTAAGGTTTAATTATATTATAAAAAAAAACCGATTTAAAATATAAAAGGGTAAAAGCTAAGGGCCGGATTTTTTAAAAACGTAAAAGTTTTTAATTTAAATCGAGCCGAAATTTCGAACGAACTTTTTTAAAAAATTAAAAAAAAATTAATAGCATAAAAATAATATAAATTAAAGTTAAAGATTAATAATTAAAGGTTTAAACTATAATTAATTATTAAAGAAAAAAATATAAAATAATTTTATAAAAATAAAAAAAAAATAAAAAAGTTATAAAATAATAATTATATACTTAAATTACTTTTTATTATTATTTTTATCTTTTTAAATATTTTTATTTTTTGCTTTAAAGTTTAAAAGCATTTTAAGGTGGACTTTTTTATAAAAGCTTTAAAAATTACTTTAAAGTTTTTTAATATTATAAATTAATAAACTAAAAAGTTATTCCGTAATAAAAAGCGGGGTTCCATAATGTTAAGACCGGAAAAACCTTTAAAACACGTAAAAAAAATATTAATTTAATTAATTTAATGGATTTTATAAAATTTAATATTAAATTTAATAAAATTAATTAAATCTATTAAATTATAACGAACTTACATTTAAGTTCGTAAAAATGTAATAATTAACGTTTAATTTTAAATAAATAATAACGATATAAATTAAATGTTAAAATATTATTAAAAGCGTTTATTAAAAAAGCTTAAAATTTTTTCCTTTATATAAATATAAGATTTAAATTAATAGTTAAAAAAGTGTAAATGAATAATTAAATATATGGTAGTATTATATATCCCGTAAGCTTTTTTATTTTTTTATTTAAAAGTATTATAATCTTAATGATTTTAGTAATTTAATTAATTTCGTTAAAATTAACGAAATTAACGAGATTAATAAAATTATTACCTTTTATTAAATTATCTAAAGTTTATCCGTTTAATTGTACGTTTTAAAAACCTTGCTTTTATATAAAGTATGGTTTTCGCGTTATTAGTTCGTAACATTATCTTTTTTTTCTTAAGTTTTTTATCTTTAAAGATTTTTCGGTAAGCGTATTTTGTAATGTTCCTTTTTTTTTTTTATTATTTTTTAACTGATTTATTAAAATGTTAAATTGTGTATTTAAGTTCGTTACGAAAAGTAAAAACCGTGTTAATTAGTAAAAAAGCAAAAAACTTTAAGCTTTTTTAATTAAGTTAGTTAATACTTTACGCATATTGTGTTTAAATTATGTTTATTTTAAAAAACCCTTATATTATTTTTTGCCGAGTTTTTTTTTTATAATATTTATATTAAGAAAAGTTATCGTTTTAATTATAACGTATTGAAAATAAACTTTTTAACCAAGTTAAAATAAAAATTAAACTTTTTTAAAAATAAACAGTATTAAATAAAAAATAAAATCTTTCGTTTTAAAAAGGAAATAATAAATCGTTTTAAATAAATTAAAAAAAGTTAAAAAAATATTTCTTGTTACTTTATTTACTTTAAGGAAATTTATCATAAAAAAGATATTTTTTAATATAAAAAAAATTAAATTATAAAAAAGAGGAAAAAAAAAAAGTAAAAGTTAAAATGCTTTAAGTTTAATTAGTTTATTTATACTTTTTAATTTTTTTAAAGGCGATTTTAACGGGGCTACTATTTTTTAAAATGGTTTTAACTTAAAGTTAAATCCGTTATTACTTGTAAATAATTAAGGTTTTTTCAGTAAAACATTTTCACAAGTTTTTAAGCATTTTTAAAATATTTAATTAATTCTTATATATTTTCCTTTAATAAATAATTTTTTTATTTAATTAAATATTTAATTTAATTTTTAAATTTTTTAAAATTTAATACCTTTTTAATAACGTATTTTTAATTAGCTTTAATATTTAAAGTAATTTATATTAACGCATTTTCAGGTGCTTTTTTTAATAAAAAAATATAAAATATTAAATGTAACTTTATTTTTGCTAATAATAATAATTTATAATTAATTTCCGAAATAACTTTTTTAATTTTAAAAAGTTTAAGTTTTTTATAATTTAATTTATTATTTAATTTTTTAATTTTAATATTTTATTATAATAAATAAACCTTATTTTCCTTTTTAAAAATTAATCTTTTAATTTTATATTAATTATTATATTTCTTTATTTTTATTTATAAAAACTTAAGTTTATTTATTAAATATTTTTACGTAATTATAATTTATTTTATTATAATTTTTATTTTAAATAAAAATTTTTTTATATTTTTATTAATAGAGCTATTATATGTAATTTTTATTTAAAATAATAATTTTACTTAATCATTTTACATTTTATTAATATATATGCGAAAATATTATTTTAACATTTAATTTAAATGTTTTATTTATTTGTTTAATTGTAAATAATATACTGTAAATAATATACTGTAAATAGCTTTTATTTTACATTTATTTTTATTATTAAATTAATTTAAAATTTAAATATAAATAATTTATTTTTATTTAATATAATACATTTTAATAATTTATATTTATTAATTATATATTTAAAAAAAATATAAGTTAAATTTTTCGTTATATTAGATTTTTTATATAATATAAAATGTTTATATTTAATTAATTTATTAACTATTACTTATATATTATTATATAAAATATTAATTATAAGTTTTTTTTAATAATAATAATTTAATAATGAAATTTTACGTTATAATTTTTCATGCTTTATTTGGAATTTTTATTAATTATATAAATTCATATAATTTATATTTAATTAATTTTATTTTATTACACATATTATATTTATTAATTACTTTTTTAATTATTATTAATAAATTAAAAAAATTATAATTTTTTATAATTTATTATATAATTTAAAAAATATTTTAATATTTATATAATAAATGTTTATAATATTTTTTAATAAATTTATATTATAAGTTTTTAAATACGTATGCTTTTTTTAAATAAGTAATTATATTGTTTTTTATTTTAATTTCTTAAGGTAATTCTTTATTAAATATAACCGCTTTAATACGTGTTATTTAAATATTATTTTTTTTTATAAAATATAATATTAAAAAAATAAACGCTTTTTATTTATTTAATATAAATATTATTTTTTCTTTTATTATATTTTTAATACTAACGCTATTTAATTTATTAAATATATTTATTTACGTATTTACTTTTTTTATAATATAAATTATTTTAAAATTAAAATTACTAAAGTATTTTACTTATTTTTAAACTTTAAATTTTAATTTTTAAGTAATTATTAACGTTTTAAAGTTATAGGGTTAGGGTTAGGGTTAGGGTTAGGGTTAGGGTTAGGGTTAGGGTTAGGGTTAGGGTTAGGGTTAGGGTTAGGGTTAGGGTTAGGGTTAGGG